CTGCGCATGCGCATGATCGCACTTTATTCCTTTTCAGGACGGTGGAGACGCAGCGGCCGTTTGGTGTGCCGTCTTCGACCCGGCCGTTTTGTGTCATTCTTGGCTCCGTAGCACCGCCGGTCGCCGGTCGCCGGTACACCGACTGATGCTCCAGCACCTCATCTCAGCCCTTTTGCTCACTCGTGGCTACGGAGCCATGGATGCGTATTGCAACAACCTGCAGCATCACTCGTCCAGCATGACCTCCGGCCTGGGGAAGCTTTTGTCGCCGGTTGATTGGCCGCACACGCCGTCGTCTAATGTCTGAGACAAGACGGGCCTTGGTGGGTAGCTTAAGGCCGTTGTGCGGAATGAAACAATGATGCACCACGGAAAGCCCACGACACCCTCACGCACGCTGGCTCGGCTCGGTTACACTCCTCCGTTGGCTTACGTGGTTCGCAGGATGGAAACCCGCTGTGCCGTCGCCGGCCGGAGCCCAGGCTGAAGCATAAGCCGGCTGGCTCCCACTGACATCGGCATCCTCGACATCCAGCTTCATGCGATGGCCGAGATTGACCTCCGTACATCCCGCCCGCGCCAGGATGCGAGGCTGCTGTCCTTTTGATCAAACGCAGTTTCGACAGTTTGACCTTGATCATCCGGAGCTCCAGAGCTACCCCAACTGTGACCAGCTTGACCCGGCTTGCGGTCTCTCCCGGTGGCACCGTCGAGCAGCATATCCAAAAAGCCATCCCGCCTCAGCACGCGTTTTGTCGCCACGATTGCGCAGTTCGTCGGAGCTCATTCGGATAACCAGCTCAAACGTTTTGGCTGGTCTTAGTGAGCCCATCCAACCACCGCCGCGAGCCGGTTGAACCCCATCACTGGACGTCCATCGTCAGCTGGCATCCGTTCCGCCAGCTTGCGATGTCGCAAGTGAAACATCCTGTCTCTCGTTTTGATGCAGGTGGGGTGCCTGTCGAGACTCGCGAAGAAAGACAGGCACTCCGCTGCAGAGAGAATGAGGCCGCCACCAGGCCCAAGGTTAAGACAGGTCCGAATTATCATGCTTGCCAAGCTGCTGGCAAGGTGTCCCAGGCCTGCGAGAAACGGAAGCCTGTGCTCGAACTCATCCACTTCCCCAAGGCGAGAGCTGCTATCCAGGTCGAGGGCTTTCCCGAACAAAGAGAACCCCCGATGTCCGCTGTCCACAGGACGGATACCAGGCTTCTCGGGCACCGAGAAACCGTCGTGCTGATGTCGGTGATTGACACGGCAGTGGATACAAGTCTAAACCACTTTTCCCTTCGTCTGATGCCGTATTCCCTGTCAGAATCAGAAGCTGTTTGGCCGGACTTCTGCCACCGCAACCCTCTCCGGGGCAGATCAAAGCAACGGTCTTACACGAAGTTGCGGTGACGGCCTCCGATCTTGGTCCGTCCAGGGTCTCGACACCACACCACACACCACCAGTGATGATCCTCCGCGGTCTTCCACACCATGGCTAAGCCTGGAAAACGTTCATGCAAAGCCCCCGCCATCCGCCATGCACATGATGCACTCTTTCCTCTCGCCCTTTCTTCCCCCTCATCCAGGGTTCTAGATTTCGCGTATCATTGTCTGTATGCATCGCACCATGACGAGTCAAGTGCCCGCCATTCGACGACTGAGAGGCCGCATGAGCTCTCTCCTGTCGCACGTCGCATTGCACGCTTGTCGCGACGTCAGCCGTTTGCCATTACAGGGCCGTCTTCGTCGCCGCCAGTGCCGCTCAACCTACCTAGCGACCACATCCAACCGTACCATCCGGCTTAGTGGCCAATTCGGCGTCACCTGTTGAGATTAATTTGTATTGTTGTAGGTAGTTCGCTGGTACTCCCAATAGGGGCCGCAGGTCTTATCATCCTCGTCGTCAAGCCACCGTGAGACGCCTCGTCCATCTAGCTTCGTGGCTGCCGAGACTCTCATCCCTTGATCCACCTCCAGATGCAAGCTTTGCTTTCACGTAGTAGGATTCTTTTGTTCCACTGAGTAATACGATCCTACGTGAATTGACTTCTACTCTGCAAGCCTGAGCGTCAGTAATCTTTTGAATCCTTGGCAAGCTGATATCCGTCCTTCCGAGGCAGTGCCTTCAAACATTAGATTTCGGTGCCCTGGTATTAGTACGCGTGGCAGGGCTGTCTTTGAACCATATTATCAATTCCATCCGAGCTTTTGCGTTTCTATAATTGACCAACCGGACCGGCCTGGCGGGACTGGTCGCCTGCCCTCTTGTTTGAACAGCTTCAGCCTTATCGAGCTTCTCGATGTCCTGTGAACTCGCGCGAGGACTTCGTGTCGTAGGTCTTGGTTTGTTTTTGAATCGTTGGGAGGAGCGTGACATGTCTGTACCGTTCTCGGAACTCATGGTCAACCAACTTCTCTTCGTCGTGTAAGCTGGTAGAATAGCTGTTCATGTTTTGATGTCCCGCGAGACGATGTGAGGATCGTGTGAAGTTCGTCTGCTCTCCGTGTAGTTGATTCGTAGTCGCCTCCCTTCTGGAAGCTCTTCGTCGCCTTCGTCCATGCCTAACTTGATACTTTACATGCTGTAGACTATAGTGTCGTCGTCATGATCGTGATGGTCATGGGCTTGCTGTCGAGTATTTTTTGGCTGATTACCTCTCCTCCCAGAGGCACTGAGATCGTATTTCCGTGGTGCTGCGGTGATATGAGCTGTCGATTGCTCTTGAAGGCCATCGTCCTGCTCACCTGCGGAACAATGATGTCTTCTCTGTGAATTCCGTTCAAATAGTCGTCGACATGTCCACGCCCGTTGTTCGAAGCAGCCGATTCGCCTCCAGCACGTTTTCGAAAACGAGGGAGTCAATGGGGCTTCTGACAGCGTGGACTCTCTTGCTCCCCGGCCCTGTTATAGATCCTGTGTCGACCAGTTCGTCGTAGGCGTGGGCGATGGCCAGATGTTCGGTGTGGCTTCTTTGCACGCATTCGTCTCGGTGAATCAAGTGTCCCGGGTTTCTCTGACGTAGCTCTCGGTCATCGTCTCTGTGGATATCTGATCGTCGCCTGCGTGAAGTCTTCGGTGATCTGCCCGTCAACAGTCTCTTTCCCTAAAGCAACGTCGTGCTACTCCATTGAAGTTCGCCTGGGGACATACCTGCCCCCAACAAGCATGGCTCGTCTCGTCGGTTGGAGTGTGCGATTCTGGTGTTTATTCTGATGTTTAACGAGAAGGCTGTCTGATGTCTTTGGGGTCGACGGTGCTGGGGAGATGGGCCGTCAGGATGGGCGGCTGGTGTAACCTCAGGCCAGGTCCAGAGAGATGTTCGACGAACTACAGTTATACATCGGAGAACTCATATAGATACGTCTGCTGGTGACCTCGAGCGGGGGCGTCTTTGTCCCAAGACTGTGTCTGTCGATGAATGTCAATGTCATCAAAACCACGCTGGGGGGGCCGCTACATCGTGATTGTTCTCTTACAAAGAGCACCCCTCCAAGAACAAGGCCATTGTAAGGACGGATACCCTCAAGAGTAACTTAGCAATAATACGGAGTTTATCTTCCTTCCTGATGTGATGTTTTTGTCGGCCTGTGGATCATTCTCTGTCTGCCCGTCTCCTGTCCCGGCCTCGACACTCCTTCCTCGTCGGTCAGGGGCAACGGTCCCATCTCCACAGCAACAAGCAGCCCACGCAACATCTTCAGACGGCCTTTTCACAGACTCGATTGGCATCTCACTTCTTGAATCGTATCGCCGGAAGACGGCAGGAGCCCCCAAGTCTCTTTTATTGCTACCCCCTCCAGCCTTTCTCGTCGTCGGTGCCTCCTCCCTCCTGATCTGTCGCGTCTCCTCCGATTAGGGGCCATCATCAGCCGCTCAGATCACCGCAAACTCGACAGAGACATGCCATACATCAGCCTCCAAGAATAAACCAACATCGTAAGTATCTCAACAACACAATTACTCCCGAGCCTTCTTCTCAGGGGAAGAGCAACCCGTCTGGCCAACCCGTCTGGTCTCTCCACGACTCCCGGTCCCGCTTTCCTCGGCTCCCTCTCCTTCGTCTGAAAAGAACCGCACCCAAACGGTTGAAAATCATTTACAATCTGGACTTGGCATATCAGATTCCATCAGTTTCGTCGTAAGTTTGGTTACTTCGAGCCTAGATCTCAGATTCTGGTTCCCTGGGCTATCTTCTGCCTTTCTATCCACAGACCCAAGCATCTTCCTGGACACTTCCCAACCAGCCCCCCTTTTATAAACAACTTCTTCTTCTTCGGACAAACGTCGATTGTCGTCTCAATTCACCATCGAAACATATCAGACGTTCTCCCGGCTGCCCTGAGGCGGCATTCACCAAAGCTCCTTCCCTTCCCTCCCACGCCTCACCTTTCGCCCCTATTTAATACCACCCACGTCACCCTCAACCTCACCCTTCTTCTTCTTCCACACAACACACTTCCAACAACTCTTACTCACAAGAGTGCTTCACAACTTAACATCAACAAGCATCGCCTAACCTGGCTTGAGGCAGCTCTTACCATCGACAACATAATATCGTTGTCGTCTGGGGTTACCGCCCCGTCCCTTCCACCCCCACGAGACCTCGTTGTCTCTTCTACCTCACTTCTACCCTCCTCTATTTTACTCGATTACGACCTCGATCGACTTTGCTTTCTTACGCTCAGCTTTTGAGTCCTCTCGGTCTCGACCACCTCTGGCCTCGAGCAATCTGCTATCCTGGAGATCAGCAGTCACGCCCTCGTCCAATAACCGACTTGATCATTGTAAGTTCACGGCCTCAAGCTGAAGTTTTTTATTTTCCTCTTGCATTCTATTACCCTGGACTTTGAGTCTCGTCACTTTCTTCCTTCCTACCACGTCTTCCTGCCTAGAAAGCCATCAGCCTCATGCTACACGCGTCAGGAGACTTGGGGTTTTGAAGGATGCTGGCTAACTAATCGGCTTGTCGAAGCTCTACATTACAGCGTTTTCACGACCAGAACTAAGCATGTCTCGGTCCAACGGAACTGCGGCGACGCCGTACGGATACGGCTCCATGAAGCTGATCATCCCCGACGACGGCCCCTGCCATCCCATCGTGGGTGGCTCATACCAGCAGCAGCGCGAGCATCAGATTGATGTCGCGACTAAGATCGTCACCGGTCCGCATGGTTGCGTATCAGAACTCTCCAAGGACTGTTGGCCTGAGCCCGCCTTTCCTGAGCCCGCCTTCTGGAGACGTAACAACCAGCACGAAGTCAGCAGCGAGGCTTCTGCTGCAGACACTCAGTCCTCGGCCGTCAACTCGTCGATCAATTCACCCAGTCCAGAGTCCTCGGAGATTCATGGACAAGCCCCGATGTTGATCCAGTCTCTGCGTATTTTCCCTATTGGAAGAGAAATCATCTCGACTCTTTGGTCGATTGACACCCCCGCCATCGGAAACTTGGCAATTGCGTCAAAGGGAACTTCTGGTGCCGTCGCGTTCTACATTGTAAGAACAGCTCATCTACCACTTCTCAGTCTGCCAATGCTGACCTTTCTCAGTCGCGTTTCCACCTGCCTTCGGGAGACTTCCAGGATTGCGACCGGCTTCCCGGCGCGCTCGATGGCATGGCACCCGAGCGGAAGGCGACTATCGGAATTGGCAGCCACCTCCTCATCACAGGAAAGGATAAGTATCCATCGGCGACGGCTATCAAGGGCGTCCACGAGATCTGGGCTTCCGCTGCTCTTCGCGATAAGATGTGGGACTTTACTCAATCGCACAAGAATCAACCCGCGATGTACTTCAAGCTCTTCCCGTACCTCATGTCCGAGCATTTTTTGCTGCTTCGAGAGGGTAAGCTCGAAGAGAAGTTCGACGCTTACGACGTGCCCACCGACGAGAGAAACATCAGCTACCGTCATTTGCGCGAGATGGGCTACAACATCCCGATGTGTAAGTCTTCACCAGCAATTCCCTGTTTTGATGCGGGAGACTAACTGAAACCAGTACGCGCGCTCTCGCAGTACGGAGGAAACCTCACGCACATGAGACTCCATGAGGTTCCGATGCTTGACATCAGACTCGTCAATCTGATCTTGTCGATTTGCCCGAGTCTGGAGGCGCTGAGCTTGTTCGAGTGCGATCTTCTGCACTTCAACTCAATCATCCCCCTTCTCAACGCCGTCCACTGGGCTTCGAAGAAGATGAAGAAGACGCCGGTTCTCATCGACTTTTTCCCACGCACATACTTCGGGCTAAAGGGATATGGTCAAGGAACGCACATCATCTCCTGGGATGGTCTTGACGTTGGGACGCTTGGCCCCTCGGTCTTCACGACCGTCTTGGTGGCAGTTCTGAAGGCCCTGCCGATGGGGATTGACCTGCTTGGCCAGGGCAAGCTATTCCGAAAGTTTCTCGACTTGGTTCCCATGAAGCCAGGAGCCAGCACGGTGTTCTGTCACCACTTGTTTTCCTACCTCGACTCGCTCGCCGATCGATCAATCCCGGAGGAAGTCCGAGACGCTTTGGAGAACCAGGTGCTCCTGTCCGTTTACCAGGGCACGGAAAAAGTGTTCAAATGCCGCGATCGTGACGAAGCTTTCCAGAGCTTCGATTGCTGCCGTTGCGGTTCGACCATGATCAGAGGTCTTTTTGACAAGACGCAGGCAGCACGTCCCGACGACCAGCGTGTTTGCCGAGTCTGTGTATTAGACTACGAGTTGGAGGGCCAGGAGCACCATCGCCTCCAGAAAAAGCGCGGCCTCCTCGACGGTTTCCTTCGCATCAAGGAGGAGGTTGCTGTCGAGAACATGGTCTCTTCGAGCGATATCCCGACCCTCGAGGAGGACCTGGCCATCATCAAGGCTCCGATCATGGAGAACAGGTTCATCTCGGGTCCGGCTCCCGACTCGGCTCACAGACACGCCGCATGGCTAGAGAGATTCAATCTGCCTGACGTGGCGGATTTGACTGACGAAAACCGGGACATCGACGTTCTTTGTGTCGCTCTCAATGCAGCACTTCTTGATGTGCACACCAAGATGTCTGAATTGGACGGTATCGATCTGGACCATCCTATGCACAGACGTCGGGCTCACACCCGAGGCAAGTACTTCCGGCAGACTTGGGAGTCTACCATCTGGAGAGAGGTGACCAAGGAGAGAGAGGTCAACGGCGGTGTGAAGCCAGCTGGATTCTGGTAAGAGCTTTTCTTACAATCGCGGACACCAAAGTCTTGCATTACACGCCAACTTTGCTTTGACGAACTTACACTTACTTGCACCCGACATCCACACGACAACTCCGAACAACCTCATCCACCCACTTCTTCCTACCGACAAGATGACAGATGATTTTGCAGAGTTTGGATGTTTTCAGGATTGTACAGGGAAATTTGCATATCGAGCAGCAAGGATGGATGATGGACAGCAAGACACACAGGCAGGTGCTTTGCCTGAATATGCATTGCAGCAATTTGGACAGACGCGGAGGAGCTTCTGGATGATAGAAGCACAAGACGCGTGGCACTAATTGGGTTTCTCGCCACTTGCATTTCGGTTTCTTTTTCGGTACGGGTTTCTTTAGTTTGCTTTTCATTTTGACTTGGCTCAGGGGCTGTACGCCCAATCACTTCTTTTTCTAGCTATGCCATAGAACACGATAGGCAGCATGCAATGGAAGTTTCTGCACAAAGAACCAGCTTCTTTGGTCGTGATGATGATGTGAATGGTGGTCTTGTGTTCCCCCGGCTTCTGAATGCCAAGACAGGTAGTCTACAAAGTCAATGGTATGTCTATGCAGTGGATGTTGTACAATTGTGATACACGCTCAATGACCTCATCCCTTCCCTCCACAATGCTCTGAATGACTCTCCAGTGGTTTTCTATAGTTTCAAGAAGACTCATCCTTCTGTTCCTGCTCTTCAGCCTGCTCCTGACTCTGCTCTCCAGATGACAAGCCGACAACGTTCCGTAGCGTCCCAAAGCTCAAACAATCGCTAATCCTGTTGGCCCCAGAAAACAGCATGACGAGCCGCTCAACACCGCATCCCCAGCCACCCGTGGGCGGCAGTCCTGCGTTGAGAGCCTTGATATAGCTCTTATCAAGCGGCGCGTCCCTCGCGGCCTCCTCCTCCTCCTCCCCGTCAGCCCCCTTCCCGGTGCCCAGCATCCGGTGCTCCGCGAGCTTGCGCGCCTGCGCCACGGGGTCGTTCTCCTCCTCGTACATGTTGGCCAGCTCGCGGCCGTTGACGAACAGCTCCGTCCGCGCCGACACGAGCTGCAGCGTCTTGGGGCACAGGAAGCTCTTGGCCAGCGGGCTCATGCACGCCGGGTGGTGCGTCACGAACACGGGCGCCTCGAACGACTTGGGCTCCAGGTAGATGGCCGCCAGCCGGTCGAGCAGCTTCGGCATCGTCGGCGGCAGGCCCCCCGGGACCTCGATCTTGCAGAGCGCCAGCACGGCCACGAGCTCCGAGTACGCGTCCTTGCCCGTCAGCTTCGGCAGCCGGATCCCGCCCAGGGCCTCCTGCAGCGCGGGTACGAACTCGAGCTGCCGGAAGGGCCGCCTGAACTTGGACGCGTCGATGGGCTGGAGCGAGGTCAGCTCCGTGGCGATGAGCTCCTGGCAGCGGTCGGCCAGGCCGGAGAGCAGCTCCTCGGTGCGGGATATGAGCTCGGGGAGGGTGGTGTAGGCGCTGTAGAACTCGCACATGGTGAACTCGGGGTTGTGGGTGGCGTCGATGCCCTCGTTGCGGAAGGCGGGGCCGATCTCGAAGACGTTGTGGACGCCGCCGACGACGAGGCGCTTGAGCCAGAGCTCGGGGGCGATGCGGAGGGAGAGCTCGCGGGAGGGGAACTCGGTGGCGGCGGTGGTGAAGGAGCGGGCGACGGCGCCGCCGGCGTTCTCGGCGAGGATGGGCGTCTGGAACTCGAGGAAGCTGCGCTCGTGGAAGTAGTCGCGCATGTACTTGGTGATGTGCGACCGCAGGCGGAGGACCTCGGAGACCTCGGGGTTGACGATCATGTCGAGGTGGCGCTTCTGCGCGCGGGTTTCGGCGTCGGTGAGGGTCTGGGGGATCTGCTCCATGGCCGGGGAGAGGAGCTCCGGTAGGAGGACGGCGTTGAGGGTGAGCTCGCCGGTGGACGTCCGGGAGGGCTTGCCGGTGATGGCTGGCATACGATCTCAGCACATGGTCTTCTCTCATCACATTGGGACGGCTTACAGATGTGGTCGCCCTTCTCGATGATGCGGGAGAAGAGCTTGAAGGTATCTTTGGTCACGTTGGAATCGCTCAGGTTGCGGAAGTTGATCATGCCCTGGATCTTTTCGAACTCATTGACAATGGTGACGAAGACGAGCTTGTTCCCGTGGGAGCGGACAGATTGGACGCGGCCTGTGGCCCTTGGGTCAGCATGTGAGGGAAGCAAGCCGCGAGGCACATTGTCTCTAGAGACGAGGGCGCGCCTGGTAACGATATTTTCTGCGTACCATACAGGGTGACGATCTCGTCGCTCCCCTCCTCGAGCTTGTCCTGGATCCATTTCCTCTTGAACTTTGGCACGGACATCTTCTCGCCGCGGTGGACCAGCCGCGGGTGCGTCTCCTTGTACAGGCCCTTCTCCGAGACCTCGGCGAGGGCCTTGCGGCGCATCTTTTCAAATTCGGACTCTCTGGCCCTCTCATTCTGATGTGTTGAGCTATCTGGTTGCCTCTGACTCGTCCCTACTCTATCCCGCCCCTGCCTCGCAGCGCCTCCGTCTTGGAGTCTGCTGCTCGTGCCACCACTTGGCCGCCCGACATGGAAGGACTGGAAGGGCCTTGCTGCGACCCGCGGGGCCCTCAATACCGGCCGCAGAAGCCGTAGATTCTGTATTGATGTCATTGCGCCTGGGGGTCTCTCGTTAGCCTTCGTGCGTCTTTGACAAGGTTGCGCAAAGTTCCAAATGGTGAGAGAAGGTAGTTTTCAGATGTTTGGCGTTTGAATTCATCCACAGCAAGCTGTGTAAGTCGCAGCGGTTCTAATGCTTGCATAATGCGATCATCATGTAGGGTAGGGAATGTTAAAAGAAAAAAGTCTTGACTTACCACCATAACTGTGCTCAAGAAGATGATTGATCTCCTTGAGTTGGTTGAGGAGTTCAGTAGAGAAGGCAAATTTTGTGACGGCGCGCTTTTTTGTTCGCGCTTGACGTTATCGATAAGCGAAGAAAAAAAGACAGTGGAGGTCGGCCTTAAGACGGCCCGAAGCTTTCTGCTGCCGTCATGCATGCAGCGAGGTCCGTGCAGCCGCGTTAAGCAGGCTTGCTTGCCAGACTCCAATCGCGATGCGATAAGATAAGGCACCGGGGAGCTGCTGTAAAATCTCGACTCCGACGTCAAGCGCCCATCACGGCAAGCAAGCTACGGTATAATCAACCACCACACGCACCCGCCGACGTCAACGTATCTCGAAACCAAATCACCGAACCCTTTCAATCCACACCAACACAGACAAATACCATCAAGATGTCTTTCTTTGGAATGGGCCGCCCCAAGCTCTCTTCGGAGGAGAAGATTGCCATGGCCGAGCAGGAGATGCGTCTGCTTGCCGACATGCACAACCGGTATGTACCCACCCATCAAGCCGTTTCCATCCCAGGAGCTGTGTAAACTCTGGGAGAGCACGAATCGGTTGAGCTTGATGTTTCTCGCTGACACTCTGCCGTCCTCAGCCTCACCAAGATCTGCCAACAAAAGTGCCTCCCCGACTACCGCGAGGCCGACCTCAACAAGGGCGAGTCCGTCTGCCTCGACCGCTGCGCGGCCAAGTTCTTCGAAGCGCACATGAAGGCGTCGGAGGTGATGCAGGCCGAGAGCCAGAAGAGAGGCGGAGCCATGGGCGGCGGAATGTTTTAAGCCCTTGAGTTTTTGACGACGAGCAATTGGAAATTACGAAGGCGGGGGGAAACGTCGTGCGGGAGCATGACTTTCCTATGACGAGGAAAGAAAAACAAAACCGCTTGCTGTATCGACTCGGCCGCGACGGCCGACTGTACGGATAGGAGAGGCTCTGGAGTGACGAGCCCGGCTTTTGCATTGCCTGGGAGAGATATCCAGGGATGTGTGGGATGTATTTGAAGCACACCCGTGACGGGGCTTCGTGTATAATACGGGACTCTGTGACCGAGGTCCTTGGAGTAACAATGAAACTACCCTCAATAACTCGCTACCAGATGAGCCTCACCTTAGGAGTTGTTTCCATTGACTGAGTTAGGAATCAGGCTCTGGGAAGCTGGAGTTAACGTTAGCGATCGGAATGAGATCGCCTCTGGAGGACAGAAGACTTCTATACGGGCAGTCAGCAATTGGTCTGCTTATTCCCTCTGTGCTGGATAGTGACAACTGGGCGTCAGCAATGAACGTGCCGAGAAACTTGTTGTCCGCAATCAAGTCAGTACAGCTGGCCGTTTCATGATGGCTTCGCGTGATATGCTGGAAGAAAAAGAAACAATCCAATTCCTCCAATCAACTCCAGGTAAGGCCTGCCTGCCATCACAACTCAACACCGATCTGAAGAAACTCCCGAAAGACGGAAAAACCAACGTCCACCCAGGCGCAGCACAGCAAAACACCGCACTGCCCAGGAGGCAGCCGGGCATGAATCGGCCAATCGAGTTTCCCATATTAACGCAGGACGGACAACTTGAGAACCGGGTTGCCGGGCCCCGGTTGATAGACTTTCGATGAACCGAGCCAGATGATGAGATAAGTTAGGTAGCGAGGGCGGCCCTCGTCTGCGCCAAAGCTTGTGACATTGTCGTCCAGAGTACCGCAGTATGACCATATCAACACATAAAGGGGGTTTGGTTGGGCATATGCGGCTGATGGACGACGAACGGCGCATGTGCCAGATTCCCGCGGTGCCGATATCTGTGCAAGCCATATGCCCGTGTCCTGTCCCAGCAGGAGCTCAGTCACTAAGGAGTTATAAGGTTTTGTACATGACTCTCTCCCTCCCTCCCTCTCTCTCCTATATGTATCTCCCGTCAAACCGTCACGAACCGCAGTGCGATTCAAACATCGACAACCTTTCCTTGTTACCCCAGAAACCAGGGGGTATGGCCGCAGTTCATCGACGGTCTTTTTGCCGCTGTCGGTAAAACGAAAATGAACGGCACAACTGCCGCAATGTATTCGACGGGCGAGCCCCCGCGGGGCCCGGGATGATAAACACAGCAAAGAAAAGAGCACAGTTTTGAAATTCGGCCGTGAGGAATTAAACGGATGAAGTGACGCGAGATTATGGACTGTGCCCAAGGTATCCGTACCCGAATGCGAAGATGGGCCAAGAAAAGCCAACCAGGAAGTCCAGAACGTCTTTTCGCCTATCCGTAATACGCTGCAGAAATAGAAATTAAAAACGAAAAAACAAGGTTCGATACCAAGGCCAAGGAACAATTATCGATTCCTTCCCGTCGACCCGCTCCGGCAACCTAACCCGCCAGATTACACCAAAAAAGCTACGTGAATGACACCGCGGACGGTAATGACGACGGCAAGGGGGAGAGGTTCCCACCAACCCCCCCGTCCCGTCCACCACGGCGCATGTGCCGGGCTGATCTGCCATTTTCTTGACTTTACCTTGCCCGTCGATATCCTCCCGCCGGCACTGGAAAGAATGCGATGCAAATCACAACTGTGTCGAGAAGTTCAAACCCGAGAGCTTGGGGCTGGTCTCGCTCCCGCGGTCCAGATCTGCGACAGGGGGAACGGGGGGGAAGGGGGAAGGGTGGTGGTCCGCGCGACGACTTTCTTTGACGTGACGGGCATGAACGGACGGGGTCTCGAGGGTGCGTGTGGCTGTCGCTCCAAAAAGTTGAGCAAAGTTTTTGATGGGTTTGTGTTTTGGTGTGGTGGTGGTGGTTGATGCGTTTCGATACTTCGGATGGAATGATATTTGGGTTTGGCGGCGGCTACGGCGGTGAGCATTGACTGAGCTTGTTTTTTCGCTTTTCAGAGTTAGGATGAAGCATCGACATGTGAGGTAGAAACTACGTAGGCAGCGAATTGGGCATCACCGGCGGCTAATCCGATCTCACAATAGCATCATCACTGGCAATCCAATTCCTGTTGGAGGTTGGCGATGATATGATAAGAGAGTGGTTAGCAGCATTCCTCGCTCCCTCACTGGTGGTTCAACTTTGACTGAGCCTCAAACCGTGGTGCCGTGGTGGGGTCACCTCTGGCGTGGCTTAGCGGCGTTTCCTTGCGTCTGTCGTCACTGCGCAGGGTCGATCGCCATTCAATGCCCTAGGTTCCCGTCTTCTGCGCCCATTGTTTGTGTCCCATTTCTCGGAGCGGCGGCGCACCACCACGGAGGACGGGGTTCTCTGTGGGGGCTGGGCTCGATGTGGGATCGGAGCCCGTGGGCAGCAGAGGGAGAGGAGAGGGCGGCGCGGCATTGATGAGGGTGGGAAAGGGGATGCAGGGAAGTGTAACGGTGCCATGGCCGATGGGTCGTGGAGATGACGGTCCGGTCGGGTTGAAGAAAGACGTTGACGTAGGCTGTTAATTAGTTAAGCCGCGGGAACGGCTTCGCGGAAACGGAGAGGAGGCCTCGTTTCTTCAAGTCAAGTAAAAACAGCTAGCGGGAGAAAGCCTCGTTGTTAACCAGAGGTTCCCGGCGAGAAACGAGTGAGGAACGAAAAAGAGCGTATCCAGAGACGCGTATTCTGCCTTCGCTTATCAACGGGGGCTTAACGGGGAGGACATATTGCTTCTTCTGGCTCCCCGTAAAAGAGAACCCATAATAGCGGAATATGCATGCCGCCGAGGGGGTTTGAACGGTGTTCGTACGGAGTGGACGTCGACGGAAGCTACTATTTGTTTTGGTCTGAAGTTGTCTAAGAAAGACGAAAACAAAACACAGACAAAAGGACTGATTCAGCCTCTCACCTGCAGTCATCAGCAAGAGGCATGTGAAGGATTATTTTAGGATGGAGAGACGTCAGGAAACATGCGGAAGTGTCAGCCTCTAATTCAGCCCGTCCAGCTTTTGCGACAATGGAATGTCGAGAGACGTTCGTTGACGGGCCTATCAGCTCGGGAGCCACGGCGTCGTCCGGCTGGGCGTCCTCGAGTGAGCCGGAGGCCGTTGGGCAGTCTCGTGGGCTTAATTTAAGGTCCTGCATAAGGCACGATGTAGTGTAGGACGGTAGGGCAGTGTGTAAATCACTCCAGAGAGAAGCAACGAGGTGGCTGTACAAGCCTCATTTCGGTGGTCGTTTGCAGGTTGCAGAAGTTGGAAGAACCTAAGGCACCGGACGGGCTAATTAGCGACAGAATGGAAGGTTCGGTTCGGTCCCCAATTGTGCTGTCACCAAAGTCGTGCATGTTAAGGGGAAACGGGTCGCGTGAGTCTGCATGCTGACTTGCATAAGTGGCCCCGTCGGCGGTGCACTAACAAATTGTACAGGTCAGCACACATTGACAACCCACATCCACCACCATCACAACCTACCTACGGTGAGGTGCATCTCCAGTCCTATTCCTGGCGCAGTTGGCAGGGCCTGCTGCAACCTCCCACGGGTCCGGGTTCTCTGCACAGCCCTACTGTCCCTGGAACGAAGGCCATCGTCCAAGGTCTTGGTGGTATTGGATCCAATTGGATCGGGGCAAGTCTGGAGACTGGAGACTGGAGACTTGGAGGTGGTGGACGGTGGGTGGTTGTGATGATGGTGTGGTGTGCACTGGCGTTCTGGCTGTGCTGTGCCGGCACTAGTCCTTGACTTGCTTGGCCCAGGGCCCAGGTGCGGTTTATGGAGTTGTCTTGTAATTAATTGCCTTTACCTATGACGGGAGGGCCAGGATTGCTGTGCTTTTGATGTTGTTTTTTTGAGGCCTCTCTCGCTGCTGCGGATAAATCCATTTGAGATGATAAACCGGGCGCGTGCTCTCGTTCGTGTTTGTGTCTTGTCATTTCTGCATCTCCAACCGCTGATCCATCATCATCTGCCGTCGACCGGTCGACTACCTAAGAAGGCTACAACACCACCACGCTCGCTGCCCTACGAACACCACACGCTACACGCTACACACTACCGTCCATCCCTCCATCGATCCGTCAGCGATCCGCGACACTAATACGAGAAGAGGAGGACGCCGTAATACCAAGAAGCTCCCCAACACCAGACGACGCAAGACCACGACACCACGGCGCGGCCAGACCTTTTCAGGGCCCCACTCCCTCTTGCCTTACAGCAGACAGACTGTTACCTGAAAGACTGAGAATCGTCCATCTTACACTCCGGGTGTGATCGACTAGCGAAGCGAATCGAATCGAAGCCGTCATATCATCACCTTCTCTTCAACCATCCGAGAGTCTGACTACTAATTCAATCGTACACCGACCCGAGAACGATCAACTGACGGCTACGAGCATTTACTGAAGTAATTGTCACTTCATTCAGAGACTCAGCGTCGCCCCTTTGGACTGGACCTTTTTTCGACTTCCCGTCCCTTCCTCCAGTTCCTCGGCACTCCCCACTAATTACCCATTCGAACCCGTGAAGGCCCCCCTTCTGGTCCTTCGTCCTTGGTCCTCGCTCCACTCCTGCTCACTCCTGGAGTCCAGAGTCTCCACCTCCCTCCAAGGATTCCCTCTTTCCGCCTAGCGCAGACCCTGGTCACTGCCTCCTCTCCTTCCCTCCCCCCTCGTCGCTCCTCCTCCCCAGGCTTTCCTGCCTCCTGCCGCTGCAAGACGGGTGTACTCTGTACAGCGTGCGCTACTTTCATACGAATAACCACCCCTTCCTCACGGCAAGTTCGACACCACGCCCAGCCTTCCTTTCCTGCCTGTCAGAATTGGAACCCCAGGAGACGGCGAAGAGAAAAAAAGAAGCCCCTGGACCGATATTGTGTACTTCGTACTGAACAGATCAAACTCGTCAACCTGTTTCAGCTTCACACCAACAACCACCTCCTCATTCCCTCTTTTTATTTTTTATTTATTCTTTTTCCATCCAGCAACAGCTTCCCCCCTTGCTGTCACCCAAACCCAAAAAGTCGGTCGTTGAGAAGAAGGTTGGCTGCGACAAAGAGATAGAGAGGGCCCGAAACTCTATTCCGTCGCTTTTCCCTCCCTTCTTTTGACCTGTTTTCATTTCCTCATTCTGCCACCACCATCAGCGCCTGCTTCTGCTTATTGTTCGTCGAATTTCCCGCCGACGGGGTCCTCCCTCGCTCTCCACTCGCTTTTTATCCCTTAAACCGGCCTCCAGCCTTCCCCCGAAAGGAAGTCACTCGATCCCGTCCTCAATCCGTCCTTTTCCGACCGGTGCCGCCTGTCGTTGTGCCCATTTGCTTGCACGACGCGCAGCCCTGACCGCCCTGCTGCCGCTGCCGCTGCCGCCGCCGCTGCTGCCTGCCTCTCCGATCGACGCCCTCACCCAATTCCACTCTCCTTCTCGACTCCTCCCGGGGAGTCGCCAATACCGTCGACCTGGCTACGAGGCTTGACTCCCGCCGCTCTTTGCTCGGCGGTGACCCCAACTTTGCCGGCTACGACCAAGAACTCGCCGCACAACAATACGCTCAGCAATACCAACAACAGTACCAACAGCAATACAACCCCCCGCAAACTTCTAATCAAGGTTACGCTTTCCGCGAAGGCATCGCACCATCCACCATGAACGGCTCTCGTCCCGCCAGTAGCACCCAAGGCTTCATGGGCTTCGGCTTCATGGGTGCCAAATGGCCTCGCATCTTCTTTGGCATCACCCTTATTCAGGCCATAATCTGCCTGGGCTTCGAGGCGTAAGAAACCGACGCATCAATAGTCGCACAATGTCGCGCCATGCTGACAATCCCACAGTTACGTCTTCTGGAAATTCCAGACCAGTTTGACCGACGTCGAGCAGGCCCAACAAAGCGCTCAGGAGGACTCGCCTCGACGCACGATCCCGACCTTCTTAACCCTCTTCATCTTCGGCTTCCTCTACGAGTTGGTTATCGTATGGGATGCTCTCCGCGCCAAGAATACCATTCAGGTCATTGGTGTCTGCATCGCAAACCTGGCCCTCATGGTCTACACGGCGATCCAAGTCGACCAAATCGCCGAGGCAATCGACCAGCTGAAAGTCAACAACGCCCTCATCAACCCCCAGGACGACATGTGGGCCGACGTCAAACCGTACCTCGTGGCCATTCCCTGCATTCTCGCCTTCGGCACCATCGCCATGGGTCTTGTTGCCTGGAAGCTTTACCAGGTTTTCGCTTGGGACATTCTGAAGACGATAGGAGCCGACTACAGAATGAAGAAGCGATTCCTGCACTACCAGGTATGTCATTGATCACGCTATCCCCGCCCAGACGACTCGCGCTGACCATTGCCGTCTAGATTTACATTGCACTCCTGAAGTTCGATTTCTTCTTCTTCCTCGGCTTCACGGTTCAGTTCCTCGTTATTGTCAACCCCAGTACCGACGCCGAATTCGGCTTGACCATCGCTGCAATCCCCGTTACGATCGCCATTCTGCTCTTGGCGGCTTGGTTCACCAGAATTGAGAACAAGCCTGGCATGATTGCTGTCCTGGTGCTCTACTTTGGCGCCCTCAGCTACTTCATCTTCAAGCTGGTTCGCATCTACCAGCCGACAACGCGGTTGCAGTACCAGCCAGTCAAGAAGTCCCTGACCGCATTCACCGTCATCACCATCCTCCTCATCATTTGTACGATCGTTAACTGCGTCATTTGCATGCGGAACTTCGGTGCTGGCCTTAAGACGCATCTGCGAAAGCCTTCAAGGGACGTGGAAAAGAACCCCGACCTGAACTCCATCAACCTTCAAGACGTCAAGCCTACCATGGCTAGCCGTATGACGATCGACTAAAAGAAGGGTGGAGCTGGCTTGACCCGACGAGGCACCGAACGATTGAAAGAGACGCCGCGCGATTGTACAAAGACATGACTTACGAACAATGCCACCTTTCTTATCCAACAAAATAAAATCCAGGAAGGGATTGTGGACGGACGGAACGGTGACACGCGGGCCGGGAGCGTGTTGGACTGGTTGAGATTCCCCATCTTCGGCTTTTCATTTTCCTTGTTTGTTCACATTGTACGGCGTTGACGACATTCTCTCTCCCTCCACCACCCAGCAGTGGGAGACGAAGACTGAGGGCGGAGTTATGGATTGATTCTACTTTGGTCGCTCTTGCGACAGCGACACCACCCAGGATACCACGATGGCCGATGGCCCACCGCACGTGGTGAGAAGTTTTGTATGGGCCGATGGCCAAATCTTCTCACGGTCGAGGCCGAGAATCTGGGTTTAGACAGCGATTTTGCTTTGAGACTTTCCTTAGTGTATCCTAGCCAGCATGAGGTAATTCAGATCATCATGAAAGAAGTTTCCAAACCGAGATGAATCTGAAGTTTGATCCACGTGATGCTCTATTGTGTCGTCATTGCATGAGATTGTTTTGAGGAAGTCATTTATGGTGGGTTTGATCAACACGAGTCGACTAACACATCCTCGTGAGATGTATAGACGCATGCGTGGTAGAGTGAATTTGTAGTTGTATTCCCGCTATCCAATAACCAAGACCGCTTCCCAACCCCGCGACTCGAAATCGAGTCACAATCAAATATTCCCACCGGTGTTTACCAACCAAAGCAGAGTGAACGCCTTCCCCGTAACCATTTAAACCCCCCAAATTCCGATTGTTCCTAACGCCGCTTATCTTCCAAACCCATTCCAGGTAAAGTCGAGGCCGGAATCACCCACCCTCGCCTCGTGTTTGTAATATTTCGCTTTATCGACATTTGTATCTCTAAACTCGCTTCACCCCCTCTCGGACGAGCTCGCGTGCGACGAAGACTCGACTACTCCGTCCACTAGAGCTTGATCTCCCGGGCATCCTTAATGTGGCCCTCGTTGGGACAGTACGGGCACTTGAAGCGCGAGCCCTTGGTGAGGCGCTGCAGCGACTCCTTGCAGATGACGTGGCCGCACGGCAGCATCATGGGCGGGTTCTGCTCGGTGGTCTGCTCCTTGCTGACGGGGCAGACGAAGATGGGGTGGTAGATCATGCTGCGCGGCAGCGGGGTCTCGAAGGCGAGCTCGTTCTCGGTGGTCCACTCGGTGCGCTTGGCCTTCATGTAGGAGGTGTACTTCATGAGCTGGGGGAGGGCGATGGCGCCGGCGGTGGCGGCGACGTAGAGCGGGGACTCGGCGGAGAGGCCGAGGAGGGAGCAGAACTCGCGGGTGAAGGAGAGGGCGACGTCGTCGAAGGCGGCAGTGGTGTCGAAGATGTTGGCGTAGGGGGAGGTCGCGATGTTGGAGGCGTAGACCATGGCGCACGAGAGCTGCTGGATCTCCTTGAGGTGGCGGGCCTGGAAGCGGCCGAAGTTGGCCTGGGCGTAGGACATGGCGCCGGCGCGGCCGTTGGAGCCGGGGGGGTCGGCGGGGAGGCCGTTGACCTCGGGGCCCTTGAAGAGCCAGACGAACTGGAGCTTGGAGAGCTCGAATTCGAGGTTGGAGCCGCGGGCCTCGAGGTCGTGGGACTTCTCCTGGGCCCACTCGATGGCGGGGACGAGGTTGCGGTTCTTGAGGTGGTTGAGGATGTTGTACATGCTGGCGAACTTCTCCTGCAGCTCCTGGGACTGGAGGGAGATGCCGGCGTCGGGGAGGGGCGGGGAGGAGGGGTTGTTCGGGGAGGCGGCGCGCGGGGGAGGGCGCTCGTGGGCTTCGCGGAGGAAGGTCGAGGCGACGCTGAACTGGCCCTCGCGCAGCATGTGCATGGCGACGGCGCGGTTGATTAATGAGGGATATGAGGCCATCGCATCGTAGTCTGTTGGAAGGGGTCGTGTAGGGAAGGACTGCGAGGTCTTGGTGTTAGCTTGAGGGTTCGTCCCATGGAGAGGGCTTGTCCCATGGAGAGGGCTTGTGAATGCGGTACCTTCTCGAGGGCCTTTCCATAGACTTTCTGCGCCTTGGAAACCTCCTTCAAGTCGTTGTTTATCGCGTCGAAGCTGGCGTTTACGGGATTCTGGAGCTTGGTCATGGTCAAGCTTGCGCGGTGCGGATCGGATGCTGGGAATACGGGTGAGCACACGACCAACCACCGCCGATGGGTTCCGTCCCGGGACGGCGAAACGTACCATTGGCAACTTGCTCCCTTGCCTGCAGGAGCAGATCGAGTAGCTTGTCTGCGTCCTTGACGGCCGAGTTGAGGGTTGCCTTGCGGAAGCGGGAGAGATCCGCCTGGAGCGTCATCATGGGGTTCTGTTCCGCCATGTTGGCGGTGGTGGTTGGCATATGGCGTTGTATGTCGTGATGTGTGGGGTTGGTGTTGAATGCTGCGGCGCGGCGATGTAGCTCGACTGATGGAAGTTACGACGGACAGATCATGGTCTTGAGGTGCTGAATCGAAGCCCCGGTCACCTAAGGTATGCTGTTGTGGTTGTCGTCGCCGTCGTTATCGTGAGGTGGTCGTCGGTTATCGTCGTATCTAAGTTGGGGCGATACTTGGACCTTGCAGTTAGCTGAATCAGTTCAGTGGCTGTAGTGGCCGTTGAGTTGACGCAGACCGCTGGCACAGTGCTGAGACAGCCAAGCGTGACGCATTGAGTTGCCGGTGAAATGGCGGCCCGGTTGGTTAAATTGACGAGGGGAGCGCATAACCGGCAGGGGGGCGGGGACGGGGTCGGGATGAGCTGCCCGGTTCTTGGGGGCACCTAAATAAGGTACCTCGTAGATCTGGGGGACCTTTAGCGTACATTCCGATACCAGTTGACCGCTGCCCGCCCTTTGTTTCTCGTGCTACCCATTCGCTGAAGGAGTTGCAGGTGGTACAGCTCCCGGCCCAACCAGTAAGGACTGCATTGCGTCACATGCCGACCACCCACCGAACGAGAAGGAATCGAAGCCTAAGAGATCGAGACAGTCAACATCCCAACGAGACGCGCAAGTCACATGCAGGTTGGCATTTACTATTGTGTGTTTAAGTGCGACTCTTTCGACAATCAACCGACGAACCGACAGAGGCGACTATGAACTCGACTGCTTGGAGGTAGAGTGCCGTCGATGCTCCGAGTGCAATCGCCGCGCTCATGCAAATGGGGATGGCATTCCGATTCCCCTTCCCGGTCAACGACCCGCGGATGCACCGTGAGGAGGAACTGACGCTGGCGAGGGTCGCGTCGCAGCAGCGAAGCAGAGGACCTTCGCCCCTGGATACTCCCCTACCGCTCGAGGCGCGAAAGGAGGCCTCGACAGAGCCCGCTACACCGTCTCCCTTGCCGACGACAAAGAGGAAATGGGTATTTGCCGATCCGGTCGCTTTCAGGTGAGATTTTACAGATCTTGGTTAAATGTCGTTCTTCTGACTGGTTTTGTCTGCAGATACCTCGAAAGCGATCCGTCCGTCACCGTAATCGAGCGCCGAGGTGTCTTGCAGGGCTACGAGTTGTACCTGGTCGAACAATGGGCTTGTTCGCGAAAGTCGCCCACGCTGGTGATTGTCACCTATACTGGTGACCCGAAACATTCTGTCGTAGTTGGGGTGCTGGACGTCCCTGCGGACGAGAGTACCTGGTCAGACCGCCTTCGATTCTACTTCAGGGCCATTCACCAGTACCATGCGCGACCGAAGGAAACGCCGCTGGGCGATGTCATGGTTACGAACCTAAGCAGCTTCCCGTCTGCCCTTACAGTCATACCGGTCCCCGAAGGCGACATACGTAGCCACCGTCAGGCCTTCATCGTCAACGAGAATCTCAAGCGACTGGGGTGTTCCGGCCGATCTGGCATGAACCTGTCGGACCCCACACCGGCGACTCAGGCCAAATTTTACCAGCTTTACAAGACCAGCGAGAAGGTCCCGTTTCCGCAGTCGGTGGTGGAACTCGTCAAGCTGTGCCAGGTCTCGCTGTTCATGTTCGGGAAGCTGGACAACGAATACATCGACGGATTGCTGTGCGACAAGACAGAAGAAGCTATTGGGAACTGGTGGACGGAGCTCGGTGCTGAATCGTACAACATCGAGCCGACGGACGGCATTCTGGGCCCGACTACTGTGGCAGCCCTTTTGGGTATGCTGATGGGCGCAAGGAATCGTCTGCATTACTACGGCGCTCCTGTATCGAAAGATGTGTTTGACATCGAGAGCACGAAAAGGGGCATTGCGTACTTTCAGAAATCACACAAACTCGAGCGGACGAGACGACTCGATCGCCCAACAATACTCAAGCTCCATAGCGTCACGGCAAAAGCGGCTGCTGGCGAAGGATGGGGCGTGCAAAAGGCTGTCAAGTCAACTGTAGCTGAAATCGGCGGCAAAAGGGGCGAGCTGGTTATTGGTATGGTCGGCGGTAAAGACAAGGCCGGCATTGCTGATATCGAGACCGTCGACATTGACAAGTTCATAGCATTGGCATATGGCGAGCGAGCGAAGTGGCTGTGGTATGGCAGACCGCGAAAGACGGTTCCGGAACTCCAGGAGAAGTCATCCGACTTTGCACCGCCGCTGGCCGGGAAGGACGAGGCTGCCGCTCAGGTAAACAAGCGGACACAATCATTACCGCTTGAGGAAGAGATGCAAAGGCAAAGAGAGGAGTCTTCAGGGGTCTATTCAGCTCCGGCACCCGCTTCAGCCGTTAGTATCGTTGAAAACCCTGGTGATAAGGATGCTCTGAGAAAAACGGTCTTCAAGTCGGTTGCCGGCAGAGTAAGCGACGCGAAGTCAGGACTAGGACGCATCAAAGACGTCGTTGGAACCGGTCTGAGAGGCCACGCGAGTCGCCCTAGCAGAGACGACTTTGGCGAGAACGGTTACAACAGCTCCGGTATTTCAGCACTCGCGCAAACGTCCGCGGCAGCCCTGTCATCCCCAGTCGTGGTTGGTAGAGCCTTCACGTGGAAGAACAAGCCGGAGGAGTATCTGGCCCAGTTCAAGAAGGAAGCCGAGGTAGCGCAAGGCGGTCGAGATTCGTCACAGGAGCTGGTCAAATCTCCTGCGACAGTCACTCCCGCAACAGCCAAGCAGGTTCGCGAATTGTCCGAGCCCAGCTCTACACATATCGAAGGAGTATTCGCAACGCCCCCTAATGGCCCGGCCAACGGCATAATCAAGGATGAGCCCGAGCGGTTTCAACCATCCGTGGCCGGTTCAGTTGTCGACGAAGCAGATCTTCATGGCCCTTTCGAGGCTGAGAGGAGTGGCAACAATGGCGTAAGCTTTCTGCAACGACGGCACTCTATTGCTGTCTCGAGACTGTCTTACAAGCACTCTTTGAACGAAGCTCGGTGGCCGCGAAGGTTATCTTTCGGCGACGCCGAAGAAGCTGTCTTGCGATGGGAGGAAATCACGGAGGTTTACGACGACAAGCACTTCGCCACGGCCGACGCCCTACAGCAACAGGCCAGCCTCGCCGAGTTCGCCCGCAGCCTCTACGACTCTATCGCGACCATCAAGCGGGAGGTCAACCCCTGGGTGGAGTCCAAGGTCAAGGCCGTCGAGAGCATGGACGAGCACTACAACCGGGAGCAGGAGGAGCTCCAGAACCTCTACTACCAGCTCAGCGAGGCCTACCACCGCGTCAAGCAGAGCTCGTCGGAGCTCATCGCCGAAGAGCGCGCGCACATCACCGAGGCGATTAAGGAGGTCGAGGTGCTGGTCGCGCGCCTTGAGTACGAGGTCAACGGCCTCGTGAGCAAGGTCGACGACGTCGAGGACGGGGTCGCGCTGTTCGAGCGGCAGGTCGAGGACGTCGAGAAGCGCGCCGAGGAGCTGAAGAGGACGCTCGAGACGGAGAGCTGGGCGCACTGGTTCGTCAGGACGCTGACGGGCATCGGGACGGGGCCGAACATCACGAGGGGGTCGTAGAGGTGATGGTGGTCTCTGGGCTGCATAGCGTGGTTCGTTTTGCTTTGGTATCGGGAATACCCCTCTTTTCTAGGGCTTGCATATTTTATCAGAAGACTCTCGTGGGGTTCGTATTTGGCCGCGATGGTATTGTATATTTATTCATGTGCCGTGGGAGCAGATTATCTTGACGTTGAATTTATCAGTAATACTGGACCGGGTTTGGGCTGCCGTGGATGTCCACGGAATTAAATATGCAGTGAGAGCCACAAAACCCGGCAAGATGAACTACGCCGCACGCCTCGTCGTGGTGGGAATAAAATGCAGTGAAATCACGCTGATTGGGTCATGGGTAGAATCTTGTCGTCATCGTCGCCTTCGTCGTCATCGTCGCCTTCGTCGTCATTGGTTCCATCCGTCATCAGTGTTCGTCGTTTATACGGGTGATCTTATTCCTCCATGGAGAATAGCCCGCTGGTGAGGGAATGTTTCCAAGTTTCCTTAGCTCGGTTGTTGTTACGGTCATGATGGTTCGTATTTGAGGATGAGTGTGATGAAATGGATATCGATGAAAAGGGAAGAAAGAAGTGTGATATTAGACCTATCGCCCTTAGATGCAAAGCTCCTCATGGAATGATACGTGTCAAGCCCTTTATGCAACCCTTTGCTTTCATGGGTACGATGATATCGCCGATTGATTACTATTATAATCACGCTCATCAGGCGGAAGCAAAGACGTAGACAGTTTTGTTTGTACGGGCGTCAGTAGATCATCATATGCCCACGTTTAGGTACCGAGCGTGACATTCGCAAACGTGTATCTCAATAGACTTCCAGAATCATCTCCTTGGTACCTGTTCCGCATCCAACTCGCTTGCCGTGGCATTCGCAGTATCCATTTCTCTAGGCGGTCCCGCGAACCGATTCGTGTCCAGCTCCAAAGGAGGGGGGTGAGGACTTGTCTGCCATTGCTGGTGAGAATACCCAGAGGGAGTCTGCGTCTTGGACCAGTCTTGTTGCATTCCGTAACCGTCACCATTCTGAGCGCCGGGCGCAGTAGCAGCGGCCGTGGTGGCATCATGCTTCTTCTTCCACCGCCTCCTGAGCATGAAGAACACCAGCACGCCCAATGCGATGCCGGCCAGTGGACCGATGACCACGCCGGCTATCCACGCCTTGCTCGATCCCGAGTTCGACCCCGAATCTGCGGCTGCTGACGTATTCGTTGCCGTCGAAGTCGCTCGACCTGGAATTTCCCTGGGTTAACACAAGTTCCTCCTCAACCGGAGGACGGGCTCACTACAGACCTGTCGGAGACCCCGTGGAGGTGGCCTCTATGGACAGAAACAGCTCCGTCTCTGTGTTTGCGCCTGCGCACCAGAGGTCACTGTAGAAAGCACCGTCGGCTGGTGGCGTCGCGTAGACCGACATCGTCCAGCAAGTCGCCCCAGGATTGCTATATTCCGGAGAAACACTGTCAGCCTCTCGCTCCTTGTTCGATTTTCTTCACCGACTGATGTGTCCACCGCGTGAGCTCATCATACCATGTTCTCGTACTTCCCCCGGCAAACGTCAATGTATCACTGCGACATTCGGTGGGTAGGGGACATGACGCGGCGGTGCAGCAGCCCGCGAAGCCCCCCGATGCTGTGCGAGTCTGGCCGGAGCCGCAGAATTTGGCACTGGCTTTTGTTTAGAACACATGTTAGTCATTTGAGCTTGGAAGATTCGATACTCTTCCCGAGATGGGAGACGGAATGGACTTACTGGTGAGGCCCTTAATGAACCACCCCCTGAAGTTGGCAGCACCCGTCGCGTCTGGCCGTATCCAGGTCGATGCAGCTTCTGCTCTCAAAGCCATGACCGCCATGAACACGCAAAACTTGAAGAGATTCCGAGAATACATGATGCTGAACCAGAATAAGGTTGGTTGTAAGACAAGAACGCCACCGAAGCGAGGAGGAAGTAGGCCAGGCGATAAGGGAGGACGGGCATAGAGACGGTGGCGACTTTATTGTGTTGGCCCCCTAGATTCACAGACTCCCTTTCTTTTTCCCCGGCCGGGGTATGCCATGCTACTGCTACCTGAGAATGCCAAAGGATCGCGACCTAAAACCAACTCCCAGCTGGTTCGCCGAGATCCCGGGACATGATTCTCTCGATATTGCTGGTTCACTCGGGTTGGCCAGAACGCGGGCTATGACGGTCTGATCTGCACATCAATTCCTATTCAAAACGGCATAACAGCTGATTCTGGCAGGGGAGGAAGCGGCGTAGTTGTATGCATGTCAGATTTCGATGACACCCTGAGCAGCAGATTGGTTTTAAGGCTGGCGAATGAGAATGAAGGCGTGATTAACGTATCGCTAACGGCGATCAACGTTGATTAGTCGAAGTAGGTCGATAACATTGGCTCGGGTCTTGACGACATATCTTGATTAATTTAGTCGTTTATTTACTATTATAAGAAGGAGTTGCTTGATGATGAGTTGATACACGGGCACACCCGGGCAACATGCAATGGAGAGAGCGAAAGAATTAACAGAAGGAGTTCATGAACACAGAACACAAAACAAGCAGATATCAAATAACAAGTGGCTTGTATCTTGTTTTATCTCGCACCTCTTCACTCTTGCTTGAGGGCCATCCCATCATCTTTTTAAATCATTCGTGGAATCCAGTTCTCTGAAAGGTCACAAGACGGCGAGGCCTTCACTCTCAAGGTGGTTTTGTTCTTGTGTGGCGGAGCGAGCATCTGTGTCCTTGAACTCAAAAGATCCAAATATACCAAAAGTTTACGTGGAAACTCATTATGTTATATTAAAACCAGATCACTCCCTCCGTCCTCCTACACACGCAATCCTTTGATGGTAAGGGTCTGCGCCTCTGTAACTGACGATGACCACGAAAGAAACACCTCACGAGCATTTTTGCCCGACATGTTTTCTTCGGCGATTGAAAAGCAAGATTTGCCAATGCTTCTCATCGTCTACGAGGGGGACATCGACTGCGACAACGTCGATTCCGAATAATGCACCTAAGCATCAAAGCTCTCCAAACCTACCACCTCTTACTCAGGACAGTATCTCGAATGATGGTGACTGGGTAACCACAGATGACGAAGGCAGTGACGGGGCTCATGGCACCTGTGATGCGGTCTACCCGGCCAATGTCAACGAGGGTGAACATGAGGTTCCCTTGAGAGATGCACAAGGAATCGAAGGGCCCTCTTCGTTAAGCCCGAGAACCAACAACTCAAGTGTTACCCAGAATGACGACCTAGACTGGCCAGCAGGTGTAAGCATCGACCCCCTCGTCGCCGCAATCTACCACAACGCCACGAAGAGCCCGCTCGGCGGGCTTCCCGACCACGTCCTCCTCGACATTATGGAATGTCTCGACCTGGCCACGCTGTGCCAGCTTCGTCGGTCATCACGAACTTTCATGAGGCTCTTCTCATCCAAAAAGTTCACCAAGTTGTGGGAACGCGGCGAAGGATACCAATTGCTTTGGGCGTCACCCTTTCAAGCCAAAGGGTGGGTAAAAGCCCTAGAAGTCGGGGCGCCGGAGGTCAGGTCCTTCTGCAAGCCTTGCAAGGCCAACCGTCGACCCGGGAGCAAGCTGTTCTACAGAGCCGAGGCTCCCATGTATTGTTCAGGATGCAATGAAAGTCATCCGTCCAGCATCTTTTCAGCGTCCCAACGCCTCAACACGCCCGACAAAAGAATATGCATCGGTAGGGAGGGATTCGTACCGCTGTGTGAGCATAAGGTGTTCAACTGGAACGACTTTGTTCGAGCATCGCGGCATGGATCGGACGTCCCTCGGCATAGGGGTCGGATGGGATTTCACTGCGGTCATCCGAGTCACGTAGAGAGAATCGGCCAACATGCCCACTCGGGTAGCAGAACTGCAATTTTCCAAAACAATAGCGGCCAGGCTCCCTGGGCCAGACAAGTATTCTTGCAAAACGAAACACACTTCTCATTCCCTCTGACGCCCGCCGGGTCACGCATCACAGCCGAACAGATGCGCGGAAGCCTGGCGGCAGTGCAGAAGAAGTCTTCGTGTCTATGGTTGCCCGACTCAGGGCCTCGCCGTTTGGATCCCCTGGGATGCTTCGATCCTAATAAGTGTGTCTGCCTGATTTACGAAGGCAGGGAACTTTTCGAGCTACCTCTTCATCCCGATGTCAAAAGGGCCGTAAGACAGCTGGGTTATTGCGAGTGTAAGTTGACATAAGTCCCCTGCATGATAGCCTTGCGATTCGTCATTCAAGATAGTGCTGTGCTGGTCATGTATTAACTGCGACACAGCTTCCCATAAACTATCTCGACGGACCAAAGACGAGACCGCGCACTTTAGCGTCAGCTTTACTCCTTGTCACGATCACCCGGTCTGTTGGAAGCTGGACATGACGCGCTCGTTTGCTCCGAGGACGAACCAGGCCCGATTTCACCCGTCAAGTCCTCAGTGGTATCTCGCGTTGGACCCTTCATCTCATAATCTCACCGAAGATACTGAATTTAAGGGGGTAACTTGGTGTGACGACCAGAGATGCCGCAACTACTACAAGCTTCGAGAGCATTCTAGTATCGGTACTGTGTGCAGGCCTGACTGGCAGTAGTTGGAGAGGAGGCATACCTTCATATGAATTTGGTAGAAAGGGAAGAGTGTATGCTGCGAGCGCTCTGAAAACCCTCCTTCCGTTTATTTAAATCGAATAATTGCCTGGAGATGAGAGTGGACGGAAGCCAAGTTCCGTTCCGCCGGAGGCATAAGGGGGGCCTGGGGAAATGAAGTTAGGGAAAAGGAAATTTCAAACGTTTCTCTTCGTCCACAACCAAACTTTTGACTATTCGCGCATATCTTGAGCAAACCGCCTCCTGTTTTGGTATGTTCTGTTTGTTCTGGTGTAGGAGCTCGAGAAGCAAAGTTAGAGCCAACCCAAACCTCTCAGATTTAGTGAGACGGATGGAAACCGACACGACGGAAAAACAACGGAGAAGCATCGGTTGATGGCACATGAAGGGAAGCGTCATATAAAGGCCTATTCAACTCTCTGAGCAGAATAGACCATTCTATCCCTCGTAGTAACCATAATGCAATTTGGACCTGTCATCCTTGTTTGTCGTCTCTGCTGTTACATTATTCGTGATTTGTATGTAGTTCACCGTAGAACAACAAGAAGTGTGGTCAGAACCTCATAACAGTAACACGGATGTAGAGAGGGAAAGTATAACGCTATACCAAGACCGGTTTTCATAGCCATTCGAGAAATGCAGAACCCTCGACAATGGTCTTGCCGAAACTTTTCTCCACCAATTCGGCGTTGTTTTAGTAGCCGTTTACATCATCGGGCCTAGAGAACGCCTCAGAACTTTCGAAGGGAGATTAGGACTAGGGACCGTCTGGGCAGCTTGTAGCGGTGGACTGAAGATTGAATTTAGAAAAGTGTTGCGCGGAGCCTGTCATGACGTTCGAACTATTATTTTTCTGCAATATATATGACCAGGTCCTCGTCTCCGACCGGCACGATCCGCAACGTGCGATCAATGTGTACAATTGCTGTCTCCGTCATTCACCCGGCCTTGGGGCACATGTTCTTGAATGGTATTCTAGCAGCGTTTCCTTGGTACCTCCTAGCGGCCTGAAACTTCAAACCAGCACCCGATAAGTTCCCATAGATGGATACTACAAGAGCGATGGTAAACGGTGACTGAAATAAAGGGAGGTAGTGCGAAGGATTCTTCACGACTCGGAAGCCCAACATCTTTCAGAAGAATCTTTCCACACACGAAATCCAATCACTCGTGGTCTCCGACCTCTTCGGAGGTACCCAGCTGTCTGGTGTCATTTATCCACCAACACGCCTGATCAACGAACGCAGTCAGTAGCCACGGTTCCTATCACGCAATCGAGACCTCGGCATCAGCATCGGCATCGCCCTAGCCAGTTCCCGTCTGGCTTTTATAAGTCCGGTAAACGAGAGAGGGGACGGTAGTCAGGAGCGCTGCGGCTGCGATGCCAACAGTAGCGTCGTCACACTGCCCAGAAGCCATAATGTTCCGGGAACAAATGATCGGAGCGGTGCCCTTACCGCTCATGTCCCAATCTTCCGACCCAACTGACAACAGGCTTCTCATGTGGGTGAACACTTCAAAAGCAACTGGGGTCGACGAAGATGAAGAGAGCTGTCACGTACTTACATATGGTATGTTATGTAGTTACCGACAAACCGGGCCCACGAGAGCGATGTTGCAAATCAGGGGAGCAGGGTTATTCGACAAAAAACCGTCAGAAAGTGTATGCGGCTTATGAATACATTCCACAGGCTTTTGGAGGTTGAACAATCTCAGTTAGCTACAACGACCTGTCACTACCAAGTTGATGTAACGAGACGAGGAACGCGACTGAGTCGATGACCTCTAGGATGGCCGCACTCCTAGCAAAGATGCCGATAGTAGGTAGGATGGTACGGCTTTTTGACCGCAGTGTACTCTCGATACTTTGAGGATATAAACGTCAGCGTCCGGAGTCGACTTATACCGCGGTGAATACTTCAAAAGCAACGGCGACAGACAACAGCAGAGACAACGCCAGAGACAGCGACAGAGATGAGGGGGGCTTTAATACAAAAGCAGGTGATCACCTTGTCATCAAGAAATTTCTGCGTAAAATCATCATCATCTCTAGTCATTCCTTCTTCCCATCTAGCTGTCTACTTTTGTCTATCCACAAACCCTCAAATCCTCGAAGCCCAATCCCAAACCTCCAACCCAACACCCCCAACAACAACCCTCCCGCCCTCGATAACCTCCAAGTCCCCGGCATCAGCAACGCCGCTGTACTCATCCGCCAGCATCGTCACCTCCTCAACCCCCTCCCGCCACCCGACCTTCCACATCTTGACCCGCTGGTCATTACTCGCCGTCGCGTACACTACTTCCCCGGCCTCCGTCCCCCGGAGGACCGCGAGCCCGTTGATGGCCGCCGCGTGGGCTTTCCTCACACCGGCCCTACCCATCGCCGTGAATCCAGCCTGCGGATCAAGCGTCGTGATCCCGAGCGCGTCGTCGTCGCCGCCTGTGAGTACCACGACCTGTGAAGCAGTGCGGTGGATGTCGAGCGCCTTCACGCTGCTCTGGTGAACCCGCGCCGTGGACTGCAAAACGAACTCCCCGCCCTCGCTCTTCCACACGCCGAGACACCCGTCCGTCGCAGCGGTGACGACCTCCCACGCCGCGTCCTGGCCACCGACAGTGAGATGCCGCACCTGCGTTAGACACGCGCCCGTATACCTGCCCCTAGCCAACAACTCGAACCCTTTCTCGGGCGTATACCGGTACGTCTTAACCACCGAATTCGAAAACGCCATCGTGATTCCCACAGCCCTGCCGTCCTCAACCCACGCCGCGTCGAAACTCGTGATCCGCAGGTCCCCGTCGGCGCTCCTGTCCTCGAACACCGCCTCACGCATCAGACCTAACCCAGCCGCGCCGCCGAGCTCCGTCACACGCCAGACCATGAACTCCTCGTTCCCGCTACAGCTGAAGAGCAGCTCCTGTCCGAGCCACTTGAGCGACTGCAGGCCCGCCGTGTGGACCTTAACAACCTTCACGCAGCGCAGCTCTCTCTCCAGGGGGTTCGCTGCTGCGGAGATGTACTCCCAGATCCGGATCGCCGTGTCCTCGGCGCCAGTCGCGATGTAGCGCCCAGAGTACGCCACGGCCCTTACCTCGCGCCCGTGGGTCCCGCGCTTCAGGGTGCCGTGGTGCACGACGGCCGTCTCGGGCGCCGGCTGCTCGTACACGCCCAGCGTGGCGGCCTTGTTGAAGACGAACCGCACGCGTTGCGGGTGCCGGAAGCGGGTATACGCGAAGGCGCGGTGCGCGCCGCCGCAGTCCATACGGACGAGCTCCTCGTGCCGCGTCTCGTTCCACACGACGAAGTTCTTGCTGCGGAAGCCGCAGAGGACCAGATCCCCCGCGTCCGAGACCCACGCGTCCTCGAGGTTCGGCACGGCCGCGGGCGCGGTTTCGTGGCGGAGGGCGAGGGAGGAGGGTGTTAGTTCGTAGATGCGGTAGTTGCCGTCCCTGCTCGTCGTGATGATGTGCGTCTTTGTTCCTGACGATGTCGGTAGGGGTTTGATGGATGTGATGCTGTCCGAGGTGCGGCGTTCCGGGGCGGGGAACGGCGTGAGCTGGTTGTCATTCTCTGAGCGGCGGAAGACGCTCATGTATCCGTGTCTCGAGCCGAGGATGAGGAGGTCGGAGACGAGGCAGGCGGCCGTGAAGACGAAGCGGTTGTCGAGGTCGAGGGGGACCATAGACGTGATCGTGCAGGACTCCAAGTCCAGCGTGAGCATCTGCATGGCTTCCTCGCCGCCGAGTATCGTGACGAGGAACTCGAGCTTCTTCTCGTCAGGCGAGTCCAGGCAGAAGATGTCGGCGACCTTCCCAGGAACCGTCCCGACCTCGCGGATCTCGCCCCCCCTGTAGATGAAGATCTTCTTGTTCGCGGTGCCCAGCAGGGCGACCCCGTCAACCGGACTCTTCAGGCTCGTGCAAGCCCTCAAAGAAGCTGTCGTCTCGGCCTCGGTCCCGATCTCTTTCCACGTCAACTCCTCCCCCTTAAACGACCCGAGCAGAAGCCGACCGGCGGTACTCGTCGCAAGCAGCTCATCCGCCCCGACGAATGCGAATCGGTGAAAGGCTTCCCTCGCCCCGGCAGCCGCGCCGCCTAACTTGCCAACCACGTCCCGCATCACCAACGTCCTCAACTCACTCGGCAAGGCCTTCACGCTCGCGACCGCCGCCGAAGCCGAGCGGTCCGTCAGCAGGTTGACTTTACTATCCTGCCCGCCCGTCGCGACCACGACCTCGCCCCCCTCCGTCTCCCGCAGCGCCGTGGCCCAGATGTGTTTCCCGTCGTGACGCGCGTGCGTCTCGAGATGCGTCAGGCCGCCGCGGACGTCTACGTCACCGTGCTGCTCCGCGCCCAGACCCCGCCGCCACCCCTCGACGTCGAGGTCGAGCTTCCACCTCTGCAGCGTCGAGTCCTCGCCGAAGGAGTACAAGCTGGTCGCTGCCTCGCCACCGGCACCGCCGCGGCGCACGAGCAGCCCGTCCATGGTGCGCGGGAACCTGACGTGCCAGATGCGCGAGATGTGGCCCATCGTCATGGCCAGGGGCTTGCTCGTCGCAACAGTCGTCTCTACTTCCGCCGTGACATCCGCCGCGGCGGCGCTTCCGCTGCCGCCGAACCCGGTCTCCCGCGCCTCCGCGAGGGAGTCGTGCAGTAACCGCGCGGCGCCCGCGCGTTCGGAGACGTCCCAGACGCGAATCGTCCTGTCGTCGCTGCAGCTCGCCAGCAACCTTCCCCTCGCGCTCCCGCCGAGGTCGATCTCGGGCGAGATGTCGACGCCGAAGATGGACCCCTCGTGGCCGGTGAAGACGAAGAGGACCTCGCACCGCGGCTTCGCCTCTCCGAAGTGGCACTTCCACAGCAGGATCTCGCCGAAGACGGTGCCGCCCGCGACGAGCACCGCGGACTCGGAGAGCCAGGTCGAGGTCGCGGAGTACAGGATGGGCCGGGACGGGGACGCGATCCTGCCGAAGCGGATCGTGTCGTCGGAAACGGAGAACTCGAGGGCCTCGTTGTGCGCGGTGATGAGCACGCCGCGGGAGGAGTCGGAGGGGGAGATGGCGCCGTCGTAGATCCAGTCCGGGGCCTTGGCCTCGACGATCCTTGGTGTCGGCGGTTGGTCACCGTCGTGTCCGGCTGACAAGCGGCTCTCGATGGCGCTTACGGGGAGGACCGTCACGGCCTGGTTCCCCCAGAGCAGCACGCTCCCACCCCCGACGCTGATGCCGTGGATGGGCTGGGCGCGGAAGATCCTCAGCTGGCAGCGCAGCCTGCTGTCCCCGTCGTAGACCTTGAGGTGCGTGTCCTCCCCGGCCAGGAGGTACGTCTTCTCGCCTTTCTTGCCGTCTCCTTCACTCGAAGGGGTAGTCAGGAAGCAGAGGCCGGTGACCGGGGTGAGCTGGTGGTCCCGCCGCAGTCGAGGCCCGGCCGGCTCTGGGTCCTTGATATGGGAGATTTCATGTCAGCGATTTTGTGACTGATTGGGGTTCCCATCTGCAGCTCTCCAGTTCATGGATGTTTTCCCACGTCCCGCTGCAACTACGACAGGACGGGCTATTTTTGAAAATGAGACTGAAGAATAGGGACGAATGATGACTAACTGCATAATGATTCATTTGGCGGGAAGGGAATCGTGGTTCGGGTATTTTTTTTCTCTTTCTCTTTTGGCGCGTATGAACCCCCTCCCCGAGTTTGGACTTAAAATCTCACCTCACCAGACGGAGACGGGGTGTGAGCTGAGCTGAGCTTTAGGAGCGAGCCGGGTGGGTGATCGTTCGTTCGTTCAGGCGCGTTTGTGAAATTAGGTTGTTGCCTACGGATCCCAGGATCATCATGCTAGCCTTTGGTTTTGCGGCTGAGCGGCGTGAAATCTTTCTCACTCTCTGTCGTCTGTCAGCACGGTTGTGGACCGAGTCATCGCGTGGTGGATTTCTATTTTTTTTTTTTCTTGGGCCGTTTGTGGGATGAAGTTTACTATCGACAGTGTCAATTGCGTCAGGAAATGCACGTTGCCGCCTGCCGCGCCCGCAATTGCGGCCTGTCACGATTCGATGACAACTGCCACATGAAACGCTCAAATGTCAAGAAAATGGCTCATGGGAAACGTCTTGAGTGTGAATCTAGTTTGTTTTTCGCTATAAGCACGATTTGAAGTTCTATAGACAATGTGCCTGGTAGGGTATCATCCATCCCCAGGAATCACTCCTCCTCATCATCCCCAATATCCATCAAGCTAAACATTCATAACCACCTCGCGTGTCGTTCGTAATTGTAAAGCCGTTACCCAACGCCAACGATGCAAAATCAAGTGGTTGCCAAATACCCCAGCTTCCTCGTACAAACATTACCGCCCCGTAATCCACTTAAGAACTTAAGAACGGTGAGAGTAGGGCTCGTAGGCCATGTCACCACGGGCGCCGCTGGCGTAGCGGGGAGCACCGTACTGGGTGGCCTGCTGCTGCTTGTAGTAGCCGTTCTCCTCGTGGATGGGCTGGTAGGCGCTGTTGCCCTGGGGAATGAGCTTCTCGCCGTCGGAGTTGCGCTTGCGCTCCTTGCGGGTGTGGCTGGGAGCGCAGCAGCAGATGGTGAAGAACCAGAAGAAGCCAGCACCGAGGGCGAGGGCGGCGGAGATCCAGACAAGAGCAAGGAAGCTGTTGTTGAAGGAAGCGGAAACGCCGTACCACTTGGCGGAAGCCTCGACGGCGCCGACGACGACGACGGACATGGCGGTGGAGAGAGCGGCGGAAGCGCAGACGGCGACGGAAGCGACAGAGGCGACCAGGAAGGTCACGCAGGACATGGCGCGGGTGCAGTTGGCGAAGATGCCGAAGAGGACCTCGAGGCCAAGGGCGATGAAGGCGATGATGTAGGCGACCTGGGTCCACTTGGTGACGGTCTTGAAGGCGGACAGAGCGCTGGTGACCTCATCGGGAAGCTCGACCTTGCGGCCAGAGACGGAGCCGATGGTGGTGAGGGTGGAGGTGTTCAGGTACTCGGCAGCCCAGTCGAACTTGGCCTTGGTGCAGGTCTTGTCGCCGTTGGAGGCGGTAGTGCAGTAGCCCCAGAGAGCGATGTCGTAGAGGTTGTCGAGGCCGAGGTCGGCGGCGGTGATGTTGCTGGTCTGGGTGGTACCGTCGGTCTGAGCCTTGGAGACGCCGTGGAGCAGAGCACGGTTGTGGTAGTTGCCGAAGTTCTCGGCCTTGACGTCGCGACTCACTACGCTCGATAGCGAAGCAGGGTTAATCTCGAGATCGGTGAGGTTGACGCGGAACATGTAGAGGTCCTTGTTGGAAACACCGCCGAGGGCCGCCACCATCAAGAAGATGAGGGAACCGACGGTCAGGATGAATGGCAGAGCCACACAGATAACACGACCGACACCCATTTTCAGTTGTTTTTGTTGTTGGTTTATCGGGATAAGTTGGTAGTCGTCGAGGGTATGATGTAAGGTCTCGGTTAGAGTGGGTCGATTGGTTTGTTGGTTCAACGAGTGTAGAGAACGATCGTTGATTTAGAGTTTGTTGTTGTAGGGAGGTGGTTAGCGAAGGAGAGGGAAGAGAAGAAGTCCCTTTGGATGTTTGTTAGGAGGAGGTGGGAGGATATAAACGGATGTGAGTGAGATGGGAGTAAGAGGCAAGAGGCTGACACAAGACGGACGAGCGTTGATGTTTATAAAACTGGTTGGAAGTAGGCTGGGCCACCCGCACCGGGCTCCAAGTGCCGTTTACGTACATGCGTACAGTATCCATAGTGCAGGACCTGACGGGACTGGGACGTGTACAGAGGGCGCAGGGCCGGTTGGCTGGGGGGAGAGAAGACGGGCAGGGACAGGGACGCGGACGTGGCGCAGTAAGAAGGACGTATTTACGAATTTTTGGTGGAGATGGGACGGAGTGTGATGCGCAGCGCAGCCCAGCGTGCGGCAGTGAATGGTGATGTTCCAGTCCCGTCTGCTAGCAGCCAGAGCCCGTTAGAAGGTCAACAGCAGCAGCACCCTCAGCCTGGGCAATGTCTGATACCCAAACGCAGCAAGCCAAAGTCCTGTTCCCTAGAAAATAAGGTGGTGAGGTACCCACTTCGCCTTCCGCCTGTCTGGCTGCTGACGGGCTGCAAAAGCCGCCTCCACACGCGACTCAGCCCCCGGTTCTGCTAGGAAGACCCATGACGATTGGGGAATCCCTCGACCGAGCAACGGCGTCGACGACATGTGCGGCCCTACTGCGTATGAAGTACGGCCAACACTCCCACATGCCGTGTGCGGGAATAATCGTGCCTTCTAACTTCTGTCGAATGTCGATTCATCATCCATGTTCGCACATATCCGTAAGGCACTTCTCATGCCGTCTTGGCTTCTAGAGAATTGATTAATTCGCACTGAACGCGGAGGGGCTTTGGAGATGACCGATGCCTAAACACTAAAAACACCACGAAATAGACCCAAAAAAAACACCTAGAGCCAAAAGAGAACAAGACCGGCGAGGATGGCAGCGGGATGCAGGATGCAGGGTTAGAGGCGAGGGACGATGGCGGACTAGGATCCTCGTCCGTAGGGCAGAGAAACCGGTGACGGTGATGCCTGGAAAGAACCAAAAGAGAAAAAAAAAAGATTTCGTACTTTCTGGCTGTGCTGCCTGCGCACGGGTACTTTCTGACACTGGCGTCAAACCTTGCCCGTCACCACCTTCACTTCACACTTCACACTTCTGCAACGCTTACACAGCAACAGCCCCTTCGGCATCTCGTTCCATGAATTCCATGATCTTCAGATGTCGGTGTTCTTCATGTAAAGAGGCATCTGCGCATCCTTTCGTCACCGGTCGCGGGTTCATAGCCTATCGCTACGCTGAGTGCCTACCCAGCAAGAATAGCCCCTCCAAAGTCCAAATCCTAATCTCACGTACAGATAAAGCCTGTCGATGCCCGCCGCAGATTGATGAGCGACGCAGCCGGGCCAAGAGTCTCGAGAAATACAGCAGCTGAAGGCTAGCGGGGACCCTGCCATTTCCCCAATTCAAGACCGACCCCAAGACGGCGTCGCCAGGAAATCTGACTTGGTTGACCGACAGAAACTAGACCGCAACAGGTGAAGGAAGGGGAATGCCTCCTCTTCACGTCACTGGGAGCAGTACGCGTCCCGTCTCTCGCCTCTCTCATTCGCCCTTGAACCTGTTTGACCGGTCGGACTCGTGTGTCGTGAACCTGACTACAGTTCAGATGATGGACCGAAGATCGCACACTGTGTACGGGCTTCCATACTTTTTTGGTTTCTTCTCTGCAGAGAGAGGCGACTCGCGAAAAGAAAAAAAAATGTCTGGGGTTGGGTTATGCTCCGCATTGCCTAGATTCTTCAATCGCAGACTTGTTTTGTTTCCCTTGCCGGGATTATCACCATCCTGTTGGAAGCCGATCGGTGGCCCGTTGCTCAGTCACCAGAAAACACCATTGGGCATTGGCAGCACCGCGACATCAAGATTCGCCTTGATCGGCACCGGTTCGTTGTCTGACACGTCCAAGCTGCACGTCGAGCCCCATACGTCCACGCAATAAAAGTGGTCCAGGTTCGGTGGTCGTCATCCTGCGGAGGCTCAGCCGTTTGTTTTTTTCCTTCGTGTGTCTACCATTGCAGTAGCTCTGCACTTGGCACCGGGTTTTCTAATCACCCACGTTCCGTCTACCCAGTCACCAGGCGCAGTGAGCAGACTGGAAAGCTGACTGACCGGAGATAGTATCTCAAGATACATATCACCTGCGGACCAGGTCACAGATGCACAGGACGGGAGCTGCTCAGCCCCACGGGACGAACGTTTTGGTAGCAGCCGGCTATCGGGTTGGTGAGGTGGTAATGCGTGTGGCTGACCTTCGGGCTCGCCAGATCGCCCACTCAGGGAGCCAGGGACATCCATCATCCCACTCAGGGCCCTGCGGTCCCGCGTCCAGTGGGCTTCCCCCGCCTCCCCCTCCGAGAGAGACAGGTCTTGACCGAACTCGCACTAGCCTCAAAAATCCGAACGAGGCGCAACTCTCTAATTTTAGAAACAAATCGTTTTCCCTCCCGTCCCGTCTCTCTTTTGCGCCTCACGCCGACGCCATCATGATTAAGCTACCCTTGAGCAATCCAACAACCACTTTCCGCAGCTGCCCACAGACGCAAGGGCTCGGTTTTTCATTATGGGGCCAAGCCGACATCAAAAACGAATTAAGGTTGCCGAGATTTCACCCCTGGGAATCGTCGCCATTGGCCGCGCGACGTCCTTGACGCGAACGACCGCCGTCACCGCCACCACGGCCGAGCTCAAAGTCCAGGTCCAGGCCCGTTGATAGCTTGCCATGCCGTCCAGATTCGGAGAGAAGGAGCCGACACGACCCAGCACCTTATCGGCGTCTGGAGACGGAGCAGCTCTCATATGACAGGGGTTTCTTAAACGTGCAGTGAGGGTCCGTTGGGTGTTTGGTGCACTTACACGGCAGATGACAAAGGAAACAACACCCGATTCCCAGGGTCCAGTGACGTTTATCGAGCCCGTCGTGGCTTGACGGGCGGGTGGGGTCACTTGGCAGCTCTGATTTCTAAAGACTTGCGTCCTGGCCGCGAATACCATCGTGGCTCGGTTATCACAAACTGCGCTGTCACGGTCTCGGCGTGGAGTCGACTGGCTGGGCGCGCGGGAGACCCTCCCAGCTTCGATGCAGCGTCGATCTTGTCGCCAAGTGAGGCACATATGTTCTTGTGAACCCCTCCTCTGCGTCGAAGCCTGCGTAATCTGCATCACGAGAGGACGATGTGCATGCGGCGTATGAAGCATAGAGAGAATGTCTCTTGTGTGCTAGAGTGAGCGACGGCACCACTCTTCACAGCTGAGTCTCCGACTGATGCCGATAGCTACAGCCGTATCTTGCACTCCTGAGGTGACTTGGAATCAATTCAGCACTTCGCCCATCCAGTCGTCTTCTAGCGAATATGGCAGAACATGCGAGGTTGTGTGATTCAAGATACATGTTAATCTGTCGAAAGTCGGTTCCTCCGTACCTAGCACCATTCTGGACTCCAAGCGTGTCAAGTTGTTTACCCTGAGACTCTGACAACTGAGAGCAATTCGAAGTCTACCCCAGAGTAGTGAGCAACATCGTCATAACATTCGCATGGATTACATGGCAGTTTGAGTGCGACCGCAATAAGCTTACAAACATTTCGAGAAACGTAAAGCACCTGGAACTTGAAGATGTCCTCCGAAGACCTCATTAGACATTGTTCCATAAACATATGTAAGAGGTCTTCCAGAGCTTGAAACACGAACACTAGACTTTTGTCTTTGGGGGAAACGGTAAACTCGTAGGACGGACCATATCAGCGTGTACAGTCTCGTTCTGGGTTCTCATGTTGAGCAACGGCGTAAATGCCCGGGCATATGTATGCGATTCCGGTCGGTGTAGCCTCCTTCCTGGTCGTTGAGATGTTAATAGATCTAAGACTGAAGTCTTTAAGACCTAAGATATGAAGATAGTTGTATGAAGCTATTAAGTGAGGGTTGGCCCCTGAAATGCTTTATTACTATGACGATGCACGTTAACTGTATATACTGCCCAGGACCTCGGCCGCCCACGATAAGCGCCGCCCGTCTCTAAAGTACTATATCACTTATAAATCTCTATACTGGGCCCTTGAAGCTGGGTTTAAGTGGGAAACGTCTGAACGTTCCCTTCTAAAGTATATACTGTGGCGGTTGGGTAAAGCTGGTGATAGAAACTCTGCGGTTTTGCGATAACGGGTATGCCTCTTCCTGGCGTTTATCTTTCTTAGGTATAATAAAGAGGCTTTCATTAAATTTATTAAGGTATTATAGATTGTAATAAAGTCTAAGTAAAGAAGAGAATTATACATAGAGAAAACTCAAGCTCCAGTACAACTTTCAACGCTGTTCCAGACCTAGATCATGACCTCAACGTACAGCAAGGTATATATGCTCTAAGAAAGACGTATAATATTTATGAAGAAAAGGACAGCAACAACCAGCCTTAGAGAGGACAAGTCTGAAGCATGGCCGCGCGCAGTCACATTTAGATGGGATCTGTATATATACTATGTTTGACGTATTTGGATGAACAGCATCGCGGCTAGGAATGGAAATAAGAGGCTGTTGGCAAAGGGGAAGTTTGCAAGATAAAGGACGTAAACAGCTTGAGCGTTAAAACAGCACTGCCAAGAAATTCTGATGAGAATCCTTGGGACGTTTTCAGAGTTCATGGGTCACGGCAACCAGATGCCACGGAGATGGATGTTTGCTAGAGAAGCACCGACATCTTTCAAACATGTCGTTCGTAAGACTCTGCCATGCCTGCCGTCCCACTCACCCAACGCCGCGACGGGAAGAGCCTCGAGTAGAGACTAGGGCAAAAAAAAAAAAAAGTCAACTCGAGTCGAGATCCGTTTCAGCATACACGGCAAATTGAGCATCACGACCGGGTGACGGACAGGGTGTGGCCTGTCATAGCGCCGCGCCGGATAGACAGCCGACCTGGCTTTCTTCAAAGTCGGAGGCCGAAGCCGGGTTTTGGGACGCGCGGCGGACGGCGAACCGCATTACAAAACATCTGGCCATCCCATAAGGTAGCTCGCTCTCGTGGACCGGTGGTTTTTTTGGCTCGCCGGCTTCCATTGTTGGTGTGGCGTGGTTTTTCTTCGGGGTGAGGGGGCCGAATCCGAGAGGCGGCGTGTGTCGGCCTTGGCCTCGGGGAGAAAAGCTGCATTTTTTGAGAACACACACAGACACACACGCCGAAAGCCCGCTGCAGCCGCAATCCCATCATGTTTGACACGGTTGTGCTCTTCACGCAGTTGTTTGCTGGAGATTCGAGCAACGTGGGCTAAGGTGCATGATATGCCCGGTAAGCAAACGGCACCCCCCCCACCTTTTTTCTCTCTTTTCTGAGGCCCTCCTCGACCGGTGGTGGCACGGCAGCCAGTCACAGCACGTGCTCGCGTGAACGCGGGGACAACGCACCACGGGAGGAATGCGAGCGAGGTTCTTGTTGGAATGGACGCGCAGCAGTAGGTGTCAGGGTCTGGATGTGATGGATGCAAAGAAAAAAAGTGTGGACAAGACCAACAGCCCACAGGGCCGCCCGCGGCGACGGTTGAAAACAGGCGGCGTTGCGGGGTTGTCGCGACAGGTCTTACCGCCGCCTGGCATCGTATCGTCTCTTGGGGGCAGTGCCGCCTTTGGCAGACGTCGGACGAGAGTTGACGCGTCAAGCGTGGATCACGTAGTTACGAGATGCGATTCATCCCACCTGTGCCTGGCCTTCTTTTCGGTCAATGTAAGGAAGGTAAGGTATTCATTCACACACAGCTTGTGGCCGCCGTCCGTGATAGAGTGGGGCGGTCAGTGCACAACTCGCGCCGCTGTACCGGAGCCGGCTGGAGATGGAGAAGATGGAACTGGAGATATAGGAGCTGGAGTTTGGAGCCCGGAGAAAGAGGAATTGATGTTGGATCGAATGAGGGACGGATTTAAGTGGTGTTAGGTCCTAGACATACGGATACCAGGCTCAGGCGGGAGGGTTTGGCGGATCTCTCGGAGCATCTCGTCGGGTGTCAGCGGATGCTTAAATCTGAGTCCAGTATCGCCGGAGCAAACCGTCGTCCATGAAGTACCTATCCAGGATGCATCTGAGATCACAGAATGTTAGATGTTGGATGTCGCCAGCCACTCCTTACCCGCATCTGCACTGATGAACCGATGCTAACTTTGTTCCCCTCCTTTCCTTTCCTCTCCTCTCCTCCCCTCTCCATCGGTCCCCGTCTCGTCTCGTCTCGTCTCGTCTCCTCGTCTCCTCCCCTCCCCTCTCCGCCCGGCTGCCACACACATGCGCACACACACATCCAACTCAAGCCGCATATCACGACCGGGAAGCCCCGGCAGCCCCGTGGTCTCTGCTCAATGCCGCCGGAGGACCACGAGTCGACCTGTTGGAACTGCGTGAGCTCGTAGATGCAGCGACGGCGGCATTCGCACCGTCGCGCTAAAAAGAAACCGGTGACGAGAGAGACTACCTACTTCGACGCCAAGTTTCGTCACTCGGAGGAGGATTGTTGAACTGATATCTGTGTGGTGGCGATGGAGGTGGAAAATAATGGAAGTACCTGTGCAGCAATGGAGCCGTGGAAAAGTACTTTGCGCAGCAGCAAATCGGGTCAGTAGCGGTGGCCAGGCCTAGGCCCTTTTTCATTTCGAGTCTCTCCAGCTCCCACCCGTTCGACTTCCCAATTGGCACCCGGCAGCGACAGTGGAGGGCCCCATTTCCAATTGTGATCGTGGTCCTCCCACAAACAGCACGAACTGCATCAGTCACCACCGCGATGCATGCTGAATGTTCAGGAGGGGCATTAAATGGTCCAATCCGGTTGCATTGGATAGCACCGGGCTTCACCTGGCCGAGTTGCACTGCATCTGCCCTTCCCATCTCATCTGGTTCACGTTGAGACCCCATTGGACACCGGGGAACATTAGCTCCAGGCTTCGTCTAGGCTTGGTCCTGGTGAGCACGAGGATTGAACGTGACGAGTCACCACGATCATGCCGCTGTGTACAAGATGACAATTTGTGTCTCTATTCCCATGCATATCCATATGCCGTCGCTGCCCGAACTGGAAATTAAGAAGAAGACACGAGAAACTCAAGTATCCTCCCTCATCCTACTTGACGACAATCATCCACGGCCTGAGCGAGCCTGATCTACAGCTGCTACGTTGATCCGGTGTTCCGTTTACGCCCATGTTTTTTTTTTTATGTCTCCGTCACAACCTTGTCTGGTCTGGCGTCCGCATCGTCCAACATCGACACAGGGGTCAAGCGCCAAAGCATCATCCAAGCACATCTGCACCTTGACTTCAGTAGCGACCTCTAATCCAGGCATCTGGCCATTGTCAACGCCAACCTAACAACTGTCATCGACATGCAGCAACCAACCAACATCGTCTCCTCTGTGCTCTCAAGGTTATCACAGATAAGCACCGCAGCTGCCTTCAAAGTAATTTATATCCCACCAAGTTCCTTGACGGGGCGGTAAGGAAGACCCCCAGCAAGCCGATTCGGCCCAAACAGCACATGGCAAGGCAAGGCCGGGAAGCTGGGAGCCAAGACTGGACAGGGTAGCTGGTCAAAACCACCAAGAATACGCAGTTAGAGCCCAAGACGACCAGGGCAAGAGATAGCACAGACAAGAGTCAACCCAACTTCCAAGCGTGTGCAACCAAGCCTGGTCATGGTCAGCTACTTCTAAGGTCAGGTCAGCCCAGGGCAGTGGACCAGTACAAGTTTCAGGCGGCGTCGACAGGGAAAACAGCGACGAGAGAAAATAGCGAGACAGACAAGTCGCAAGTCCCAAGTCCCAAGACCCAAGACCCCAAGACCCCAAGACCCCAAGACCCGAGTTCCAACAACTCCATCTTTGGATCCTTGGCAACCCAGCCGCCAACCACCACCACTCACTCACTCACTCACTCACTCACTACGGGTAGGCTCTGCTCTGCTCACTGAGGTGCTGTTGCTGCTGCTGCATTGCGTTGAATTAGGACTGCCACTGCACTTCCTCTCTGCAGAATCTGATCGACTAAACTTTCTCACCACAAACACTCACACCTTCTCCCGCCACACACCTTCCTCCGACATACTCGACTTCTCCCACCTACACACCGATACCCTACCTAACACCACCTTACCTACGGATACCTAGGTACCGGGACACCAGGCCAATCGACCAACTTTACTTCCCACTTTTGCATTTGAATTGCCTTCGGCAGCAAACAACCTCCATCTTCCATCTCCACCATCGACGCTCTCCGCAGCTCTGTTCCGCCTGTCCTGTCCGTCTTGCTTCCACTCATCATCCACCCCGCATTCCATTGAACTTGCCTCTTGGCCCGCAGAGGTGACGACGTATCGAGCAGTAGTAGACCGACCGGGACCTACCTGATCTCTCACCCATCTATCCATCGAGGTACGGATCCGAACCTTATATCCGTTGGCTTATCCCGTGCCTGTCGCCTAAGCACCCGCCGCTGCATTCGTCTCTCCTCACCTACGCCTAACCGCTCCTTCGCCTTATCTCCCGCCCACGCGATCCGAACGAGGCTGACTCTGATTTCTTTTCAAAACACAGGCCTCGGCGAATGCCTCAATAGCTTCAGCCCATCCGTCCCGTGCGGCCGACTTCTGTCCCATTTTCTCTCGCTTGTCCAAACACCACACGCCTGCGAGCCACGTCGACGTCACTCGCCCGCTTCTTCGCTTACAGAACCACCCGACACATCCCCAACGATCGATCAAAGGCAGTCGCCTTAACGCGCCCAAAACGGACAACTCAAGTGGACGCCGCTCTCCCTCCCGCATCCGCTTCCTGTCCATCCTCGATCGTTTATTCCATCCTCCCTAGAACCGTCATTGCAACGCAGCATCACTTTTTTATCCCGAGCCCCTGCCAGACCCTGGGTGTAGCGGCGACACGACCAGGCTAGCCACATCAGACGAAGACGAGGCCGGCCGACGCGCACACCCCGATCGATCATAGCTACGACCGCCGCTCCCCTCCCCCCTATCGTCGGCAAATAGAGCTACATCATGGGAAACCAGCCCTCCAAAGAAGGCGGCCATGCATCTGCCAAGGGCGCCCCGACCGCCGAAGACCTCAAGTCTTACCCGTCTTTTGGCAGATCCGATACCAAGGATTCGTCGCGGTCCTTCAAGGCGCTGCGATCCAAAATTCCCGGGTCGAGCAACAAAACTGACAGCCCGAGGAACTCTGTCATTGCCTCTCCTGGCGACGAAAAAGCCGACCCCGCGAGCGCGAAAACCCGAGGCCGCAATGACTCCGCCTCTTCTCCTACGTCGCCATCAGGTGACCTAGCCTCCCCGCTCGACGATTCCCAGCCGCCGCCCTCCCCAACGCAATCCAGCACTATCAAGAGCGGAAGCGGCCATCACGATGTGAGCGCCGCCCAAGCTTCCGGCGAGGTTGACCACGTATCCGATCAGCCGCCTTGCGCTGGAGGCAGCCTCAACACCCACATGCAGCAGCCAGGAAAGTCCATCTTGGCAAAGGGCGGTGACGGTACCTCGACGCCAGTCGCCAAAACGTCATCTACCAGCTCTGCTGACAGGCACGAGGGCGGCGTTGCCATGAGCGAAATCAAGGACATCGACCTCGACGACTTCATCAAGCGACTTCTCGACGCGGGCTACGCTGGCAAGGTCACAAAGAGCGTGTGCCTGAAGAACGCCGAGATTGTCGCCATCTGCTCACGAGCTCGCGAGGTTCTTCTTTCTCAGCCTGCCCTCTTGGAACTCGATGCCCCGGTCAAAATCGTCGGTGATGTCCACGGACAATACACGGATCTGATTCGCATGTTCGAAATGTGTGGTTTCCCCCCTTCGTCCAACTATCTCTTCCTGGGCGACTACGTCGATCGCGGCAAGCAGTCTCTCGAGACAATCCTTCTTCTGCTTTGCTACAAACTCAAGTTCCCCGAGAACTTCTTCCTCCTGAGAGGCAACCACGAGTGCGCAAACGTGACGCGAGTCTATGGATTCTACGACGAATGCAAACGGCGCTGCAATGTGAAGATTTGGAAGACTTTCATCGATTGCTTCAACACGCTTCCCATCGCTGCTATCGTCGCAGGCAAGATTTTCTGCGTCCACGGCGGCTTGTCTCCGGCGCTGGGCCACATGGACGACATCCGCGGCATTGCGCGACCTACCGATGTCCCCGACTACGGACTTTTGAATGATCTCTTGTGGTCTGATCCTGCCGATATGGAGCAAGATTGGGAGGCCAACGAACGAGGCGTCAGTTATTGTTTCGGCAAGAAGGTTATCCTCGACTTCCTCGCTGCACACGACTTCGACTTGATTTGCCGAGCTCACATGGTGGTTGAGGACGGATACGAGTTTTTCAACGATAGAGTCCTTGTTACGGTATTCAGTGCTCCCAACGTATGTTCTTCAGCTTCACCAACTGAAACTTTGGCTAACGACAATCACAGTACTGCGGCGAATTCGATAATTGGGGCGCCGTCATGTCCGTTTCCAACGAGTTGCTCTGCAGCTTCGAGCTGCTGAAGCCGCTAGATTCAAGCGCGCTGAAGAGCCATATCAAGAAGGGCAGAAACAAGAGGCAGAGCATGCTGAACAGTCCGGTGAGTAGATACCGTCCACGGCTTTTGTGAAGAGAAACTAATATGGCCACAGCCTGCGCATGTCGAGCCGCGAAGCGTTTGATGAGGTGGTCGTGGCGGGGAGAAGAGGGACAGCACATTACATCCATGCACAATTGGATTATCATGAATTACAATAGTCGGGCAACCGGGCGAAACAGTCAGACCAGAAATTTTGCGGCAGCCGATACAGCTCCGGCGACATCTCGAATATCCTCGGCAGGTGGAACTCCCCGAAGGAAGCAGACGCCGACCCGAGTCCGAAGCGACGGACGATGCCTGTGAAGGCGTAAAAGCCGAGTCGAGGGATGGCCAGGTTGGGATACCTGGCAGGGTCAACCTCGAGCGGGCAACGTTCGTCAGTCCAGGCACTGATACGGTTTGGACAAGATTGGGAGGCAACTGGAGACGGACGGATTTCTTCGATAAGACGGACAAAAAAGGAGGCGGGTTATGGCCGCCGTGTTTCAAGTCTGATAGACGACGGCCTATGTTGCAGGTCTGTCTTGGACAGCTACGATGCAAGCTAGCGATACTGTGTACGAACAGGTCATTTATGGATTACCGTCGATGAATGAACGCATCGACTAGCCGGCGGGGATATTATTCAGCAGTAGTTAGGGATTATGGGACTTTACTTTCCTCTCACATTTCGTTGTCGTTGTGCGATTGCCAAGTGAGAATTTGGTGATGTCTAAGAATGGAGATGACTGCAACCTCAGAAGCCATGAAGTCGAACAAGTCAGCCTCATCTGGGGCGGCGCTGAAAAACGAGGCGATCGCAAGCTGAAGCTACGCGTGCCACCGCGCTTGAGGTAAGGTAGCTTCCCGCGGCAGAGGTGCAGTACCTGCCTACCCCTCCAAGGCGGCGTGCCCCACCTTTCGTCCCCGGGCCAGCCTGTGACATCCCATCAACTTCTTTTTTTTTTCCGCCGTAACTTAACCAGACGAACCACCGCGATATAGGCATATCGTTACGCAGGTTGCCTCCGCGAGTCGATTTGAGACAGAATTCAATTCGTTTCATCTTGCTTGAAAGGAATTGATATCTATAGTCGCACCTGGGATTCCAAGGTTGCGTCGTTTGCCGTGAGTGAAAGCTTTTTTTTTCCACATCTCTTTCTCACCAGTCAACTCACTCATCTCAGACCCGCCCGTACCTTCCTTTCCTGACCTCGCCTTCAAATACCACTGGTCCCTTCTTCCGTCCCGGCCATCTTTCATTAGCAAAGAATTACCTTATTCTTTGCCGTGTCGCGTCAGGTAAACCGAGAAATTTTGAGCACACATCGAGATGGAGAACCACGCAGTTCCTCAGGTCGACGAGTCCGACCAGCGCGCTTCGAAGCGTCTTAAGGTGGACGATTCCACGACGCAGGCCGAGGCACCCGTCGTCGATGCCCCGAAGGAGGTGCAGGCTGCAAAGGAGGAGCGTGTCGCCGTCGACGAGGCCACGAAGCGCGTAGAGCCTGTTTCATCAAAGGAGGATGGTGAGAAGGCGACGCCTGCTGCGACCAACGGAGCCCCGGCTGCTTCTGCCGGCGAGGCTGATGTTGCTATGAGCGATGCTCCTGCTCCGGCCCAAAAGGAGACCACGGAAGGAACTGCTGGCACACAGAACGGCGATGCGCCTGCCGCGAAGAAGACGGACGACAGAGACAGGCAACGCGGCTGTGCCCCCATCAAGGCTGAGTGAGTGTTCTTGGAGCAGGTCAGCGACTCATATGGCTGACTCAGATGCAGGTTCCTCATCCACAAGGATAGCCAGCCAAAGGAGGCAGAGGAGATGGTCGACGATGATGACGCCGCCGAGGGCCGTGGCCAGGACGACCAGCAGAAGGGCGACAAGAGAGACGGCAGGGACAGCCGCGATAAGAAGAAGCGTGAGAAGCGCGAGAAGGGCCAGAACAAAGAGCGCAGCTTCGGCCACTTCGACGATGCCCTCCGTCTCTGCAACAGCCGCGCCTACACACCCGAGTTCTCCCCGCGTGAGTGCAGGTTCGGCGACAGATGTAACCTAGTCCACGATCTGCGCAAGTACCTTAAGGAGGGCCGCCGTGAGGACCTGGCGACTTTTGACGGCAAGTGTCCCGTTTTTGAGGAGTGGGGTATTTGCCCCTCCGGCTGGAAGTGTCGCTTCGTCAAGAGCCACATGAAGGAGGTTGAGCACGAGGACGGCCGCAAGGAGCTTGTTCTCGTTGAGGAGCCCAAGAAGACGAGCGGCGAGGCACCTGTTGAGACTGGACGTGAGGATTTGCGGCCTGGCGTCTACAACAACACTGAGAACCAGCTTAAGATTGATCTCAGCCGCAAGCGCGTTGACTTCACCGAAACGGACAAGTACATCACCTGGATGAACAAGGACACGAGACTGAATGACCAGTTCCATCAACGCCGCAAGGACCAGGTGATTGGCAGCAACGACGACCTGCGCGCGCAGTACGTCGAGCCGCCCCTGAAGCCGTCTGAGAAGCGCAAGCTGTACTTCGGCAAAGAGACTCCCGCCCTGGCTCCCCTGACCACACAGGGCAACTTGCCTTTCCGTCGTCTCTGTGTCGACCTCGGCGCTCAGTTGACCTACTCCGAGATGGCTCTGGGTATGCCTCTTGTGCAGGGAGTCAAGAATGACTGGGCGCTGATGAAGGCGCACGAGAGCGAGATCAGCCCGCCTAAGATTAGCCCCGACGCCGACATCGTCAAGGGTTACGACAACGCCCGCGACCTGAAGTTCGGTGCTCAAATCTCTGGCAACCAGGCATGGCACTGCGTCAAGGCAGCCGACCTCCTGAACCGCTTCGTGCCCCACCTGCGTCTCATTGACCTCAACTGCGGCTGCCCCATCGACATGATCTACAAGTCTGGCGGAGGCTCTGCCCTTCTCGAGGCTCACGGCAAGCTCGAGCGCATGGTCCGCGGCATGAACACCGTCTCCGGAGAGATTCCGATCACGGTCAAGCTCCGCACCGGCGTTAAATCCAACCGTTCCACCGCCGCCAGCATCATCGGCAAGCTCGCCTTTGGTTCCCGCGAGAACCGCGAAAAGCAGGGCGCCCCCGGCTGCGCCGCCATCACCCTCCACGGCCGCAGCAGAGAACAGCGCTACACGAAGAAGGCCGACTGGAGCTACATCGCCGAGTGCGCCGTCATGATCAAGGAGTACAACCAGCAGAAGGACAAGCTCACCGACACGATCGGGGAGGCCGACGAGTCCACCCTCCCCAACGCCAAGGACGGACGCATGTTCTTCCTCGGAAACGGCGACTGCTACTCCCACGTCGAGTACTTTGAGCACGTCGAGAAGGCCAAGGTCGACACCGTGATGATCGGCCGCGGTGCCCTCGTCAAGCCTTGGCTGTTCGAGGAGATCGAGAAGGGCCAGTACCTCGACAAGTCCGCCACGGAACGTCTCGCCTACGTCGAGAAGTTCTGCAAGTTCGGCATGGAGGCTTGGGGCACCGACGAGCTGGGCATCGGCTTCACCCGCCGCTTCCTGCTGGAGTGGCTCTCCTTCGCGCACCGCTACGTTCCCATCGGTCTGCTCGAGCACCTCCCGCCCGACCTCAACGACCGCCCTCCTGCGTACTTCGGACGCAACGACCTGGAGACGCTCCTCGCCAGTAAGAACTACCGGGACTGGATCAAGATCAGGTATGTCCTCGTCAGTTCTTATGAATTATGTTTGCCTGCTAACCACGACACAGTGAGATGTTCCTTGGTCCCGCCCACCCCAACTTCACCTTCCAGCCCAAGCACAAGTCTCACGCCTACGAGGCCGAGGGTTAGAGCAGGAATACCAACAGGACAGTTGAAGGATGTGAATCGAAGGATCAGGGGAATAATTTGCTACATTTGGCTTTTATACGCGGACTTCGCGTACTGGTGTAAAGCAGATACAAGGAGACTGCGGGAGGTTTGGGGATACCATCACAAAATCAGATATTGCTGTTTTCGAAAGCATGAAGTGGGATAGATACAACAGAGACCATTTCACGTACGCATTGAGGAGTTCCACAGTGGCTGGGTATCTCTGTCTAGACTTAGCTTGACAACGAACGTCCCAACCAGGGCACTGCCGCTGAGATATATTAAATCAGCGACCGCATTCGAGAGACCTGGAAATGCGAGACATTACATCTTTCTGGAAGGAATTTCGGTATTGAATCCCTGGGTCTACTACGAAGGAAGGACCTACGTGATGATGGTCTCGTATGTAGCATCGGCGACACTTCGATACTCAGATATCCACGATTCATCCGCCGCCTCCCGTCTCTGTTCATCGTCTTGGTAGTGTACAAAAGACGAATACGCGGCTGAAGAACGCGCCACGGAATTAACATCCCACTCAGGACGCTTTGAGAGGTGTACACCCCGGCAATGTGTTTTACCGACTGGGACGAATTGCCGAAGATGACCGATCCAAACTACGAAACAGATGCGGACACCGCCTGGGCCGTACAGACCAGCGAGACGATTGTTCTACCATTCATGATCGAGGGGAACGATTCATCATGGGCAATGGCCGTCATCAGACGCAAAGCCTAATCAACAGGTTGCGGGGAATGATATTCCCCTTTGGTGCGTGTACCGGCAAGCTCAGAGAGAGGGCTGATGAAGCACTACGGAAGATATTCCGATGCGTCCAAGCCCGTGTCTTCTTTCCCGATGGCGTATTGGCGGCTATTCATAGGGTCTTGTTAGTTGGGTGGTGATGTTCCGATCTTGAATGGCACCGGGGGCGAGTGGCGGGTGCTGTGCTGTCGGCTGAGATGACCAACCCGCTACCTGTTCTCTTACCCATCTGCATCGCATATATATTTGTCTAATTCTTTTTTGTAGGATAGCAAATGTACTCTGCGTGAACTGACTGGGATGGATCTTTGCAGTATTTCTTCCTGGCTGAAAGCGAGGATGTCTTCGGGCATACATGTACCAGCATGACATTCCTACTGCGTACTTGACCTGGATGATTTCGACGTCCTTCATCTCTCTTCCTGGGAGTATACTGAGCACGAATACGTGAGGCTCTACGTACGTGACACGGAAGCACGTACGATCCTGGATTGGGATATGCTAGTCTACTCCCAGGGTTGCGTGCCTCTTCAAGATGGCATGTACGGCTTGGGTCTGGGACATCCCCGCTCCGTCAAGGGGACTCGAAAGCGTTACAACTTGCATCGGGAGGTGGGGTGATGGACGCCGAGATGTGCTCGCGGATGGTGAGATTTCGGTTTAAAAGGGCTTGTGAAGCCATGATCGACACCAGACACCAACATCGCTTCGGGCTCCCAGGTTTGCTGTCCGAGGAGGAAATACTCCATGTCCTTTGTCTGGAAGGAGCAGCCGCTCCTGGACACCTTTTTCTTCTCGGCCACGTAGTTCTTCTCCCTTCATAAGACGACTGAAACATCGGATCCGGCATCTCTACTCCTCGTGTTCGTCGGCTGTGTATTTGATCAGGAATATCGTGTTGAGATTCAACCTCCGCGGGGAGGCTTCTTGCTACCCACTGAAGGAAGTCTCACGAGTGTGCTTCTTTCGTGAGGTCTCTAACACTGAGAGACGGATCTCTGACAATATATTCGGAGCTTGGCTCCGCGTTGATGAAGCAAGGATAAATTCAGAAACTCCACACCTGTTTTTATACTCGCATGGCATCACGGGCAGAGTAAACGAGGGGTGTGCGATGTTTGGACGGTTTACCGGCGATGCGGAGCGGGAAGTCTTCGTTGAGCTGCTGTTCGCGGTAAAAATGTAGAGGGGACTATAAATGGGTTTCATGCCAGTCTGCTCGTTTTAGCCATTCATGCAGCCTGGCACCAATGATTTCCCCGGGCATGCATCTCTTGGTGGAACTTTCTAGAGTTCGTATTCGCCCACGGCGTTGGCATGTCTCGTGTATGCTTCTCAATGATTTATCTGTCATCTACATAGATACCAGCTAAATAACCACGCATGACCGGATCACCATCGGCTGGCTTCCCTGGTCTTCTTATACGTTTGGGAAGCATTCGATATGCATAGTCAACGGTGCCAGGTCCTCTCTTGTGGCAGTCTTTCGGTGCGGGTCAACGGTTTGCTCCCGTGGTTGCACAGGTAGCAGTCTGCTCAGCTTCTACGCTGTCCCTTGAAGCACTGGGTCTCGATCTCACCAAGTTGCACCAGCTATTAAGACAGAAGACATGGCGTTGTTGCGAGATGGCAGTGCTGGAGATGAGTTGTTTAAATATTCTTGTCCTCCGGTGACTTTTCTAAATCAGGCAAGCTGCCCACGCACCGCCAAGACTCTTTTCACGGTGTCCAGTTTATCGCTCCTACGCTGGGAGCAAGATCTTCTGCTACAAGTATTAAAGCTAAGACGGCCCCCCCCTTAGTCGACCAGGACGTTCATACCACAATGTTGTTCATCTTGAGGCAAGGCGGCCCTCTGAACATTGACCCTATTAATGGCTGCTGCAGAAGAGGAGCAATGATAGTACTGATATCTGAAATCCCGCATTGCAGATCCTACCCCGTCATGGCACCGGTTCTCACTTTTGTCGTTCTCTTTCGAGTATATGCTGATCCGGATAGGCGGACGAGGTGCTGAGGTGTAAAGCTACGTATAAATATCTTGTGCTCTAGTTGTAGGCTTTCCGTCCATGTCTTCAGTGGCATATTGACAATGAGCTCATTCTGGTCGCACGAGAACGAACAGTAGCCGGTGAACCAAATCGTGGGGCTGCACGACGTGCCACGTTTATGTACCCGCGCAACCTACTAGTTGTTAAGGCCAGCCTAGGGACTTCTAACGGGTATCCCTCTACAATAAAAAGGATGAAGGGAACGAGGAGATTATGAACGTAAATGATTTTACTCAACAGCAAAGAGTTTCTACAAAATGTGTTCGGTCATTCGAGTGACTTTCCTCACAGACCCGACAGTGATGATCTCTTGCTGGGCTTCGGAAGAGCCGTCCAAAAGAATGGAAGCTCTTCAATTCACACTAATTCAGCGGAACCGTGGCCAAAGCTATTTTACCTCAAGCCATAGATACGAACCTCAAACTTCTATTTACGTATGCCTACGTAGTCGCTTGCTCTCGCTTTCATCCCTATTTGCTGAGTCTTATTGATGAGAATAAACCACTTAACAGAGCTTTAAGCTTTAGACAGACGTCCATGAAGAAGCTCATGTTCATGATGATGTCAACTTCTGGATACTATGTAACAGCTGACCTCACTTAACTCCTGACGTTCAAGAAGCTGCGATTTCTGCGCCGTCAATGCCTACACCAGCGACTTCGCTTCTATTTCAACTCGCTGCGATTAGTCGTGGTAACATGGACTGAGCCAATTTTGGGACAGCAAGTCTTGGAATAAAATGTCATTGTTCCTTGAAACTCTCGACCCAAATACGGCATAGGAGAATGTAAAGAGGGACATGGTTTCTGTTGTCTTATGGCCCTATAAGTATCCCAAGATGCAGGAAGTATCGGTCTATTGCCGCTGTCATCTGTTGGAGTGTTCTGAACATATTCTCAACCAATTCCTGGTTGATCTCAATGTTCTGCCCAGTGGATGAGCTGATAGTAGTAGGAGCGTTGTGAATATGAATCCTTCAAGCCTCCCACCCCTCCCCCCTTCTTAACTCTCTCTCTTTTTTCGCCGCTGGCACTTGAGTACTTGAAAATAAGAATAAAACGAAGACACCAGGTTTTGGTGATAGTACGACTTGCTTGATTGAATGAATGCTGGAGTTTCCGTTGCTTTTATTCAATCATAGCACTTCACCGTTCACGTTTACCCCACAGACGCCAATCTAGGAGCTACCAAACCCTTCTCCATCAGGACCATTCAGGAAAGTGTTCTTAGACTATATAGTTGCTGCGGGCGGCGTGCGGCTCAAGAGATTGTTGACGAGCGTCATGTCTCTAAGGTTGAGCAGACTGGCATTATTTAAGTCCCACCCCAAGCTCCAAGCTGACTTGTATTCCAAAAGAGCAGCACGCATTTGAAGAACCAGACGCCATTGCTTCTCTTTCTCGGGAGTTTCCAAAGACTGCTCATCTAGTTTTGAGAATGATTGCCTTGCCTAGCGAGACTGAGAACTTGACGCAACCTAAGTACGATAATGCCTATCCTTCCCGGGGATCACCGCTATTCGTCATATTTCATGTCTTTTACGCTCGTGAATAATCAATAAACAGAGACTAGGGACTACTTAGTCACAGAGCGCGTATACTTCATGCTCAGCCTGGTCATAATCATGCCGTAGCTAGAGCCTCTTCGCAGCAGTTCAAGCATAGAATAGGTTGTTATTCTGGAGCTAACCTTTGGGCCCTTCAATCTGGCCATTGTCCTTTGTTTGAAATCTTCAGATCGTCCACGACCACAAACTCGGTTTGATGGTTTTAGACGAGACGTTCAATGTGCGGGATGTCTCGTTGCCCGCTGGTTGCCCGACCTTGCCCTCGTCATCTGGACGTACGCACGCCGTCAAGTAAACAGCCTTTTCTTACCACACAAGTTTCCTAGAGTAAGGTAGGGGGCTTCTTCTCGTTGCTTCGAGTTGATGAAATTGCTTGTGACATGCACATTCGTTATGTGCAAATTGGCATCAGTGTCGTCTGTTCCTCTCAACCGCAATGCTGGATTCGAAGTCTCGTGCTAAAAGTCTGTGGTTGAACTCGTAAGAGCTACTAATGCCTGTGGAGATTATAACTTAACTATGCGGTTTCCTTCGTTATCTTTTTGGCGTTGTCCGCCATCTTTGTCACTGTCCTTGTAGTAACTCTTAGCTAGAATAAACTAAAGAAATGAAGCTCGTCATTTCATCGCAGAATTAGCATTTTGGAACTTGCCAGAGCGATGCCATGGTGAGTGTTATTGATACGGGCGCGCAGCCACATGCAGGCAGTGCGAAGCCCACGGGTGTCTAAGAATCACTCCTTGATACGACTTTGTCCATCAATGCCTCCAAAACGTGGGATCTTCTACCTTTTAAAGTCCCGTCATCCAAGAGATATCGTACTCGCCCACAACAACTTGCGTTTCTAGAGTAACCTTAAGAACATTAGAGCCTCAGATTCCTGCCATCCGCGCACAGCTTAAAGTTGAATCAAGAACAAACTGAAGCACTATTCTTAGTGTGATATTTTGAAGTATGCCACGGCCAAGTCATCACCCCTCAAATAAGCATCGCGTTATTTGTTAGCTCCGCAATGTCTTTTTTCGCTCGTCGTCGCCGTCATTCACGAATAAGGGGATTCGAATACCGGAGCGAGGAGAGGTCAATATAACAGATGTGGAGAGTTACTTGAGAGACACTCGGGATAAGTTCGATGTTTGGGGATGCACCTTGTAACCATTTGACGCAGTTCTGCGATGCCCACAAGGGCACATTTGCTGGTTCTGTGTGACCTCTTCGGAAGAGAGGATGAAACACTCGTCAGGTAAATGGGCCTATATACAAAGGGGGTTATCTTGAAACGTACCTCAAGCATATGAAAACGAAGGATGTCTGAAGTCGGGTTTTGACGACGCCCGTTTACAAAGCAATCCAAAGGGTAGTTTATATCGTTGCGGCTGAACTCTCTCCAGAAGAGCCACGCCGCGAGTTTTTTCAGTAGATTCGAAGCGTCACACGTCGTTACTTTACATGGGTTACGATTGCAAAGATTCCAGAAAGAGTGTCCGTTGTCGTCGCAGCTTGACTAGAACTACTAGCCTAGGTGCTGAGAACACGTTGATGTTTCGAAAGATGCTAACTGTTGTTGATGACGATTTTACAGTCGATTCTTCAACGGCCAGATATCATTGTTACTCACCAATACGGGGTGCAGTGGTGCAGCGTAAACCTGGTTTGGAAAATCGCCGGTGTACACATGGCAAATGAGTAACTGTTGATTCTTGAGTTATATAAGTAGGTCATTTTATAAACTTTGAGAATTGGGAAAGACAAATCTGAATGCCAAGCATCTCTCGTTGTCTCTGGAAGCTGAGTATCTGTCTCGGGTTTGATGGCACGCCACGACAGCCCACCACAGCACCTAAGCAGCATGACTTCACTCTGTCATCCATTTGATGCCTTCCGTCTACGTCTGTCTTCCGTACTGTTATTGGATTGTACATCAAGATAAGCACAACGACAATGGCCTGATCAAGACGGAGAGTTTGTTGTCCTGAGGAGGCATGGGAGGCAGGGCTTGTACATGCAAGAAAAGCGGAGGACGCATAACGAAAAGGTAACTGCGCTGATGCTTTGCCTTGTTAGAGACCTTGGTTGCTACTGAATGACAATAAATACTTTCAAACGATTTCTTCTCTCTGCCTTGTCAGAAAGCCTTCTCACAGTGGTGGAATGGTAAACACTTCCTCACGTATTTCGGGAGGAGTCGGGGGGAAGTGAATATCTAAGAGAAGACAGCAATCAGATACATCAAACCAAGCCACGACAACTTAGTCAAGTACCAAATCTCGAGTTGTGCTCCCAGAATTCAGTCATGGTCTACTTACTGACAAACTCACACATCTAGAGCATCCGAGCGAAGCTGACTCCATCACCTTCGACATCCTCTCTCCTTCACTACTGTCTTGTTGTTATGCTGGTACGAATACGCAAGTAGATCCTCCAGCACCTCTCCCTTCAAGATCAAGATCGACAGACTCTATCTTCCGTAGTTCTGGATGAGCCCCTGTGTCTACTCCAATGCCGCCCAGTCCCAAATGATCCCGGAAGGTGCGGTTTGGCCTACAGTCTACTCGTGTGGTGGGGAAGCCAGACTTGAACGAACAAATCGTTCTCTCTTTTATATCAGTGAGCACCACTAACTAAGACCAATGCGAGACTCGCTCCAAGGAAGCTGCAGTCCTTATGATCTCAGAAGGATCACACAGTCAGCTTGTTTTCTGTCTGTGTTGGAAACAGATCAATGCTGCTGGTCCTGCTTCGACGACCAATCGCCGAATGAATCCCGCCCGCCGGTATATAAACTGCTCAAGGCGCGTCTTCGAAGTTACTCTCCAACCACATGGTAGAGCAAATTCGCAACGCGTCGCCCCCATGCGGTGGTGACGGCGACGGCGAGCAGAGCGTGAGTCGTAACATCCTCTGTGCTTCTCCAGAGGTCCGCTGTGCCAAAGATACAAACGACCGTACGTCTGCTATACAGCCCCTGCCCTTCCTTCTTGTCCGTAGATTATACAGAACACAGATAATGCGGTACTCGTCAGGGCGAGATCTGTCTGGGGCTATGCTGATGTTCGTGTGCTGTCGTCTCGTACGCTCTCAATCATGTGACAGGACCCAAGAAGAGAGTCAAGTGGCTTCGAGTGGATGCGATCAGCCATTGAATGGTTTGTTAGTTTCCAGCCACACGTTACGTTACTGGACCCCGTTATATTCCCTGATGCGTTATTCTTACCTGGGCAACAGCTGGCTTCGTATTCGCCGGGATGATAGCAAGATGAAGATGAACTGGTGCCCAGCTCTGAAAGCCTACAAAGCGGTTTACCAATGCGAGTTCCACGGTACATTTCTCAAGATGGCAAGATATCTCTCTGTCATCCTGAACTCAGGTCACTAAGGAATCGGGTGCTTTTCTGAAATGCATCATGGACGGGGCTTAATGGTCGGAGCATGAACGGGGTGTTGAAACCAACTTTTCGATCGAGCACGGAATACACGACGACATGATGCAATGGAGACCGTATAGGACTGAACCCAGTTTGCCATAAAAATCAGAGCTTATTTGGCTACAACCCAACGCCGTGCTGGCGTTTCCCCATTCTCTATACCAGCTGGGTTCCCAAACCCGAGCTTCGTCCTTAGCTCAAGAACATCCCCTCACTTCCCCACAACCGTATACCAATTTTTGTTCCGTGTTCCGTTCTCTCGTGAGAAAGTCTGGCCAGTGATCTACTGGGCCTTCTTGTCGCCCTGCTCCTGCGTCTTGCCGTATTGCTCAGAGAGCTCGTCGTAGCTCTTGTGCAGGCCGGCGCTCTGCTTCTTCAGGGTCTCGATGTCGCGGTCCTTCCTCTCCAGCTCCTTCTTGAGACGGCCGATCTCTCCGGCGTCACCGGCGACGGCGAGCTTCTCGCTCTCCTTGGCGCTGCCCTTGGTGCCCTCGTAGCCGCGGACCTTGTCCTCGAGGCGCATCACCTCAAGGATCATAACATAGGTGCGGTTCAGGATCAAGGACAGGAAGAGGGTGAAGCCGCAAAGGTACATGTTGCGCTGAGAGTAGAACTTGCGGGCTTGCACCTCGAGGCGCTCGTGACCCATGACGGCGGCGCTGTTGAGGGAGTTCGTTAGTAACCAGCTTTCATATGGTGGGAGAGTACCCCTTTTTTGGAAGGTGGGCATTTAGGAGTGTCAAGGGAGAATGGAAGGGAAGGGTAGTACGAACCCGCTGTTCTGCTTCTCGGTGGCCAGGGCGAGCTCGACCTGGACTCGGTACACGCGGTTGACGCTGTCGATGAAGAGGATCAGGATGAAGACGAATGTGATCTTCATCCAGTACTGAACCTTGGCGACGATCGGGCTCTCGGAAATGAAGCTGCAAAGGGACACAATCATCAGTCTCGAGCTCAAAAAGGCAATGGGAGATGAGCGAATAGCAGCGGGCAGGGGCTACGTACGTAAACAACTTCCTCTTAACGGCGAAGGGAAGGGGCACGATCAGGAGCATGAACAGCCCCATCTCGCCCATGAGCAACATAAACACCTGTTCACGTCAGAATCCGCCCTCGCTGATTGCCCATCGAGCTCTGCCCTCCATCCTCGCGAGGACAGAGCACAGCTCGCGGCGATTGGAGCTCGGGACGTACAAGAGTGTAGTAGAGAGTCATCTTGACTTGTGCGGGGAATGCTTCGGCTTGTGAAAAGGTGGTGGTGGTGGTCGTGTGCTCCCTGTCGAAATTGAGAGGTCGTAGGTTGTAGAAAGAAAACACTCGGAAAGCCCAAACTGACTTGGCCGACGGTGTTTTTGTGTTGTGCTGGCGAAAAGGGACGTGGGTATTTGGTTGGTATGGAGTGCTGTGATTTGTTGCGGGAGGAGAGGGTAGGCGAGCTTTGGGAGGAGCTGGCCTTTTGTACGATGTGTGCGAAGAGTGACGATGGTGGGACTGGTCCCGTAAGGCAGAGGTGGCAGGATTGGAGCACCACCACAAGCTAGAAGGAAGCTACCGGGAGGTAAATACAGAGTACCTACGTAAGGGTACGGGGAACGCAAGCTGAATACCTTACACTGAACCTTGGCGGGTCTGGCTGCCGCGTAGGTACGGATACGGTAGTGACGGGAGTGGTGAGCCGGGGGACAGCAACGAGGGAAAAAAAGACGTAAGTCAACAACGTCATCGGTGGCTCGTGCGTCAGCCTGGACAGAACCCGGAGGAAAGCTAAGGGTGCAGACTGCGCCTGATGCGGCCAGTGACAGCTGCTGCCAGATGGACACGGTCCAGAATTGCTGTCCGCGTTCCGCCCCGAGTGTCGGATTGACTCCAGTCATCCAATCTGACGTCAATGTCGAGATAGGTCGAGGAATGGTAACGATGTGGACATACGAATCAGGTTTGAGCTGTAGCATATTCCGTAGAGCCGCATCTGGCGCCAGACTGCCTAGCCGTATCCGCAATCGCCAATCTCACGGTCATTTCTAGCAATTTGTGCAAACCAGTGTATGCATTATTCTCTTCGCTTGTATATACGCTGCCTTGTATGGCTCTACTTTGGGTATTCATGGCAGACTTGAGGCCAAAGTAGCCAAGCGGCAGCAACCGCTCCCAAATGACACGGGAACCCATTCGCAAACCGAAACGCCCAGCTTTTTGAGTCCCAAGGGACACACAGTTGACCCAAAAAAAGAAATGTCCAAAATCGTACATTGGTGACAAAGAAAATTCAGAGCGAAGTCGACAGCCTCCGCGTCCTCCTACTCCTCCTCAGGTCCGGCAGGTTCGCGACAACCTCTTTCTAGTTGTAGAACACGCTCTTCTGGAAGCTCTCGGGGGACACATCACCAATCTTGGTCTTCACTTCCGGTGCCTTCGGAGCCTTCTCGCTCGTCAGCGAGTTGGCCCTGCTGGTATCGCTGGGCGCAGCCTTAATAGCGGCTAGGGGCTGGCCAGGACGCTTAATGACTTCCAGGTAAGTCGAGGGGAGGTATCCCATGCGACCGTCGCGAGCGCGGCATCTCCACCACTCGCTAGGGTTGCCCATAGGATCGCTCTTAGACAGAACGGCGACCAAGTCGCCCTTGCGCACCTCCATATCCACATCCTTGACTGCATTACCAGCCTGGGGCGTGAAGTCGTACATGACACGGCAGTAGTCGAGCTTGGAGGGATCCAAAGCCTGTTGTTCGCCGGCAAGGGCCATACGCCGGCGTTCCTCCTCCTCGGCGGATGCGGCCATGGTGTTGATCATCTTGCGCATCAGGTACGGGAGACCGAAAGCAGCAAGAAGGAAGAAGAAGAGAGGCTTGCGGGAAGCCTTGGGAGGTCCGAGGGGAGCGCCGTCAGGGCCGATGGGCTGGCGACCTTCGAACTTGGCGAACGCCGCCGGCGTGAGCGCTGTTGCGTCGGCTGGTGGTGGACGACCAGTGATCTTGGCGATGAGCGTGCGAATCCAGCGCATTAGAGTGAAAATGCCGAGGATCGAGCCCAGAGTGTCCCTAAGGTTGCTGAACTGCTCTGCCACCGAGACCATGGCTGTTGATGTTGTCAGTGATACGTTCCCACAATCAGTAAATATTGTCCAACATACCGAAAAAGCTTGAGTGTGTAGCCATATATGTGCTCTCCAACATCTGGGCGAACCCGCCAAAGGCTCCAACGATACCCTCCAACATCTGAAACGTCGCTTGTGTGTTGTTGTTGAATCGGTTCGTCAAGCTGTTTGGGTCGTTCGGGTTTCCAGGCATGCCGCCCATGCCCATACCGCCGTACATGCCTCCTCCGTACATGCCACCACCATATCCGCCATATCCTCCGTACATACCACCGCCGTATCCGCCGTATGAACCCATCCTGGAGTAGGGGCTGCCGTAGGGCGATGAGTAGGCGCCTCCGTAAGCGCTGCCGTATGGGCTTGCTGTCGCTCCGAGGCCGGCACCGAGACCGGTCCTGCTGTAGGCGGAAGCGTTCTGGTTAACGGCTGCGGCGAGGGAGGCAGGTCGCTCGGGGATGGCGGGCCCGGACGATGCGGTCGAAGAGAGAGAGGTGGCCGGTGTCGGGGTCGCGATCGAGGCGGCAGTTGGGGCGGCTGCTGGATTTCTTGTTAATAATCTTGATCTGGATGACAAGTTGGAAGCGTTGGTGCTGGTAGACGCACTGGACGCAGCAGTGGTTGCGCCGGGCCGTTCCCAGGGCTTGGGTGGTGATGCCATCTCTGCTTGTTTTACTCTAAGGAAGAAGTTTTCCTTACAGTCGTGATGTCTGTCGCTCGGCGTTATCTCGCAATCCGCCGGTCGGTTTGTGCTGCGGTGGCGACTTTGGCGTCTTTGTCTACCTAAGGTAGGTTTGTTTTTCCGTCGTCCGGACTCCGGGAATGCGACAGAGGATGGCTTCAGGCGGCCGAGTCCTCGAACCGGATGGCAATCAACCTCGATCTAATGCGATGTCGAATGACGATGCAACGACGTTGGCGATGTATAGGAAGGGTGAGGGGGGAGAGAAAAGTCGGGGTAGAGAGGGAAGATAGGCTCGCTGGGAAGGCCGACGCGGATTGGGCTGCTTGAGTAATGGGGACGGTCGGTGGAGGTCGGGGACGCTGCGCAGCGCAGTCGTAATGCGGCGAGTGACCCGGGCGCTCGTGCTTGGCGTTTACTGTTGCGTGGGAGAACCTGGAGTCGATGTGCGAGGGTGCTAGAAAGATGGGGTCGGGGGGTCATGCCTCGGTATTTCGGCGGGCGGCGTTGGTGCGTTTTCCGCTGAAGCCTACCTCGGCATCTTGGAGCAGCAGTAGATTACTTCGCAAACATTGGCTTTCAGGGTCCTCAGTTCGTTCTGGCAGTTTCGGATGTGGTTCCGGCGCTTTATCCTGTATCCATCATATTTACAGCTATTTATCACTTGTTGAATCGCAACCTATGACAGCCTGCCTTGTGTTGAAACGAAGTTGTCAATCACGGGTCAGCAGCCGATGGCGGGACAACCAGAACAAATACCAGGAGTAACGCCGTCAACATTGCATTCCCACTTCACGATGGATGTTTCAAAAGCGCAGTCAATGATAAAACCAAAAGCTTGCATTCTATTATCCTGATACTGATATCTCCAGCACCACCGAGCTAGCTCACTTCAGCCCAGCGAAAGCCTTGGCGTTCTTCACGTGCTCCTCCCATGTCGTCAGCTTGTCCTCGACAAGCGCATGGGACTCGTCCAGCTTCTCGCCGCCAAAGTACCCGAACTCGTCCAGCAGCCGCATGTTCTGCAGCATCTCCTCCGCCGCGAAGTCCGGCATGCCCATGCCCTTGAGCGCGCCGCGAAACGCGTCGTGCGGGATCTCGTTGTACTTGGCGTTCTTGCCGGCCTCCGGGTACACCCTCTTGAACGTCTCGACCGCCTCGCCCGTCGTCACGTACTCGGTCGCGCCCAGCACCCGCTTGCCGAGGAGCTTGTCGCGGTTCAGCACGATGGCCTTGACGAACTTGCCCGTGTCGGCCGACGCGTCGAAGAGGGGCATCGGGGCCGAAGCCGGGATCGGCAGGTTCAGGGCCCACGCGTTGTCCGGGGGCGTCGGGCGGAACATGCCGCCCGGGAGGTTGGACATGTAGAAGCCCGGCAGGAAAAAGGTCGATGGGAGAGGGAGCGTGCGAATGTATTCCTCGGCGGCGGCCTTGCTGTCGAAGTGGTAGACGTCGGGGAGCTTGCCCTTGGAAACTGCGAGCGGATGCTTGTTAGTCGAGTTGCGGTGCCTTGACATGAGTGAGGAGATACGTACGTTTGTTGATGTCGAGCAGGGAGCTGAAGATGAAGTGCTTAACGCCGGCCTCCTGCGCCTGGTTAGTATCCAGCCGCCATGGTGAAGACATCGTAACAACGCACCTGAGAAACATCGGCAATGTCCTTGCCTTGCCGGGTCTCCAGATCCTTATCCAGCTTGTCCCAGTAGTTGGTCACCGCGAAGACGGCCGTGGCGCCCTTCACTGCGGCTGCCAGTGACGACTTGTCACTCAGATCGGCCTGCACGGTTTCGGATTAGCATTCTCGACTGCTGCAAAAGTTGATGCTGGCATAAAACTTACACTGACAACCTCGACGCCCTTGGCCGCCAAAGCCTTGGAGGAGTCCTTGGTCGTGTCGCGGGTGACGCCGCGGACGGCCCAGTCCGCCTTGAGCTTGGAGTCGTTGAGAAAGATGTTGACGACGCTGCCGCCCTGGGCACCAGTCGCGCCGAACACGGTGATGATCTTCTTGGCCGCCATTGTGTATTTCGGTGGGCTTTCGCTTTTTCTGTAGAGTGTGTTCGTAGATTGAATGTTGTCAAACCTGACGATAATAGCTGTACGACGACGTCAGGATGGGGATTTCCGATATATTTATACGAGATTGTTCGGACGGACCTTGGTATGTTTGTACGAGGTATGTCTCACAATCGGACGGTCAAGTAAACAAGCCGGAGTTCGTAATGCAAGTCTGTGTATTCGTGTTGCCCGGTGGTTGGAAGTGGTGATCAATTCCTCGTTGGCAAAGGGCAGCATCGCCGAGTATTAATATACTTTGCTCTTCAAGCTTCAGCTACCTAGCTACCTGTGAAGCTAAGACAAGGCTTCACGGTACACAAAGCAAGAGATGCACTTCGACGTATCATGCCGAAAGGGGAAAAGGCCAAGACGGCGACATATTCCTCCTGCAAGCCCATCCTCTGAAGCTTTGTGCCTAAGAGGGATGCAGATATCGCGTCGCGACGAACCCTGCGGGCGTTACGCCCGGCCTGCCTGTATTGCCAGTAGGTGTGTCGATGTGTAAGCGGACGCATCCTCTGTGTCCGTCGCAGTTGATCCGCGAGAATCTTGATTGAGACAATATCGCCGCCGTCCACACCTAGCTATGCTTACTACGAAGCGCGCGCGAAGGAGCCTCAAACTGACACGCTAGGATGCTTGGTCGATCGGTTTACGCAGCTGGAAGCTTAGCTTACCAAGCGACGAATTCCCTCCACAATTCAAGGACGAAAACCACGAGCTTCTGCCAACCTCCAACGTCGCGAAGCGCGAAAAGTCCGAACCATGAACCTTGCTATATTGCTTGCTTGGCAAGAGTCCATGAGCATTCGAGAAAGTAGAAGACAGAAGCATACACTTTTGCAGATAAGTAATAGCTGACATTGCAGACCCTGAGGAATTTATCAGCCACGGATGATTGGGGTGTTCGGACTCCCGAGCTACCCCGCAATCGAGAAATGCGTTTCCCGTCTCTTGCAGAGAGACGGCATCAAGCACGCCGAGTTCCGAGCTAACATTGAATCAATCTGTGGAATTTCTATTAAGAGATACTTTTTAGCTTCCGCTTCTGATTTCGTTCTTGCAAGGCACCTAGCATAGCACAGCTCCTTGCCAACAACGCTATCACGTGGGTGCTTCGTGGGATCTGAAGGCGTCAATAGCCCAGATGCACCACTTCGGGGATTACCGTCATTAGGCCAGGCCAACACGAGCCTTCTGGCAAACCACGGGTTGTCATGTATTTCTCACAGGCTACTGGTCGGGTCATATCAAAAACTTCCAGATTCACGCTTCGAGCTGCTCGCAATACGATTTGCAAAGTTTCCATTTCCAGGATGTTTCCTGAACTTGCTGCTAGAAAAGATATGTCCATTCCTCCTTGGTCCATTTCCGTAACTGGTATTTCAAAATCAAAATAGGCGCACTTTTCCGGGGCCGGGTATCATCTTGGACGCCGTCTAAGAGTCATATCGTTTCGCAATCACCGCCTGCCCAACGCGAGGCATGTGCATGTAACCCCCGAATGATGTATGTGAAGTGAAGAAAAGGCCGTTGTCCAATCATCAGATACCATGATCCAATGCAAGCAAGGCTTGCTCGCCGCAGCGAGCTAGAAGTGAAATCCACCCAAATGGTTATAGAAGAAACACGCCATGCCAAACCCATATATGCAATCATCAACCTCTCAAAATCTCATCCACAATTTGACGTGATCCGCTTAGGTCGAGAGAGCGAACAAGCTGACCTTGTTGTTTGCGGAGGTAGATTCGCTGTTGAGCCAGCTCTCGACCTGCTCACGGCTGAGGCCGGTTGAGAAGTCGACGCTGCTGTCGAGGATCTTGACAGAAACCTGACCGGACTCGCCGTCAAGGACAGTGGCGACCTTGATAGGCTCACCAGTGGGACGGTCGAAGTAGTCGGAGGAGCCACCGGGCACGTTCGAGTGGAAAGTAGACTTGCACTTGGTGTCGCCAGGAGCGAGAACCTCAAAAACGTCGATCTCACCGCAGTCAGGCCAGCAGGAGCAGGAGTTGTATTGGGCGGTGCGAGGAATCTTGGCGTTCAGGAACCACAGAGCGGGCATGTCGGCGTTGAAACCAGTGGAGCCGTCCATGGGCATGTTGAATTCGAACAGCCAGACGGAGTCCTCTCCCTTGAAGCCGTGGTAGGCAACGGATCCGGGGCGGTAGTAGCCACAGCTGCCGTCGGTGCACTGCTTGTCGCTGTAGATGGCGAACTCCTTGTTGGAAGGGAGGTAGACGGGGTCGAGAACCTGGGGCGAAGAAGAACCGCCAGTGGCATCGGAGTTCAGGTAAGACAGAGAGTTGCCAAAAACACTGCGTGGGTTAGTGATCGCACAGTCATGGCATAGTGATGGCTCAACTTACTTGTCGAACTTGCCAGAGCCCTGGCCGCCGTAGTTGCCAAGGAAGACGATACCATCAGCAATGGCCTTCTCAGCATTGTAGTAGCCGACACGGGAGTAGTCGCTGCCTGAGCTACCAGTAGAGGGAGTGCTGGCCTTGCTGGAGCTGGAGGAGGCCTTGGGAGCAGCGAGAGAGCCAACCAGGTCCAGGACATTGGGGACAGCGGGAGCAGGGGTAGGTGTAGGCGCCACAACGGGGGCAGCAACAGGAGTCTCAGCCACAGGAGCAGCATCGGGAGTAGGACCGTTCCAGGTGTTGATCCAAGACTGAACAATGCCGTCAATGGTGGCAGTAACCCAGACATCGCCGCGCTTCTCCTCTGCATGCTGGTGGGCCTCGGCATGCTTCTTGTGCATGTGGTGGTGGCCGTGTCGACGGGCGTGAGTGTGAGAAACAGCCGGAGAGCGCTTGGCCTTGGGAGAAAGGTTGTACACGGCAACTTGCTTCAGGTTCATGGGACCACGGAAAAGAGGGGTGAGCTAAAATGATGTTAGTATCCAGTGCAAATGAGATTGTCTGAAGACTAAGGAATAAACTCACCTCCTCGTTGAAAGGGGCCAAAGGGCCTGAGAAAGCAACATCCTCAAAGCTGCAGGATCCATCGTCTGCCATGTTGGAAACGGCCTTGTAAGTGCCTGGGTGGCCAACGTTGGAGTACAGGATTTGGTTCACAAGACCGCACCACCAGTTACCACCCTCATTCTTGGAAGTACCAGAGCACTGCTGAAGGGCCTGGCCAAGACCGGCTGAAGCCAGCAAAACAGCGGTAGAAGACTTCATGTTGTTCGAGTTTTGTTTGGAAGAGTATGCTGGAATGAAAGTGATGTTGGATAAGATTGCTGGGAAATTGATGTTCGTTCCTTGAGTATTTGACCGGCCTCAAAGAGAATCTCAAGAGACGATGAAACGGCTTCTAGACTCTTTCGATGGTTGTCGGGTAGTCCAGGCTGTTCTTTAACTTGATCAGGGGGTTTCTGAGTGGGCGAGGTTGGAATGTAAAAGTCTCAATGAACCCTTGCCAAAACGGTGTGGTGTGTTGGTGAATCAACGCCAAGTGTTGAGGGTGTGGTATAAGGAATGACTGGTGACTATAAGTCACTTGTAAGGAAGGTCGATGCTATTCGGCGTCCGGCAAATCGGAGCAGTGAATCAACACTTGGTCGTGATCGTGGGGATAGAGGAAACAGAGGGAGAGAGAGGAAGTGGAGGAAGATAGGCGCGGGAGTGTTGGTTAATAAATTGGTCGTAGGGAAGAGGAGAGGAAGGAAGAGGCGCTTGGTCGGGGAACAAGGTTAATGGAGGATCCATCTAGGAAGGCAGGTGCTGAGCACTCAGTAAGGCAGGAAGGAACGACGAGGTGGACTTGCCCCAGCAGGAAGGAAGGAACCAACAGGGGCAAGTCACGGTCTTCCCAAGTGAAGGAAGGCAGCTCTATTCCCACACCTCTTTCCTCTTCCTGAGTGAATTAGCACGTGTGGGTTGCTTTCTGGAAAGACGTGGAGGGCCTTTAACAACAAGTGAAAAAAAGCCGTTGAATAATTGGATGAACGGGGAAACAGAACTGAGCCAGCCAATCCGCTTGTCGAATCCAGTTGAAACGACGGCTTGGAAGTTCATGGGGGGTTGTACCTTGCAGCTGGCCAAGGGGGGCCAAGGCCAAGCTAATCCCACCTCTCCCACCTTTTCCCACTCACCCAACTTCGAGCAACGAATACCTTCTCTTCCTCTTGTTCACCACCAACATCTTTGTACCTCTCTGCCGCCGTCACCGAAGCAGTTTGTCTGCCAATTGTGAGCCCACCGGCGACGCCAAGAGCCAAGTCAGTCGGCCTGGCCCTCATCCACCAAGTTTGAAGAATACGACCAACCACCAGCTGGCACGAGGGCTGAGTTTCCTCGGCGTTCTGGGCTCTAATCTGGACTTAAAATGACAGTCGGGGCGACCAAGGGACCAGTTGGCGGTGTCTAACATGGCAACCAGACGAACCGCATCGACCTAAACAATAGGGCCAGGCCAGTCGGGACGGATCAGCAGTCGAACACGAACAACCGCTTCCACGACCCGTCGACTTGTTGTTGCGACTAACTCTTCCATACTAGGGCCAACGGTTGCCGGCTCAGATCAAGCAGCGACCTACGCGTATATCCGCAGGCGGCTGGCGGCATTCTGCACCAGAAAACGTTGGTGCAGCCCGCGTCTATTCTGGTCTTCTTCGCGCAGAATGATTCCAATTCCCCGACGGACAGAAGGCGGCGATTTGGCGCCTTGGCTTGCCGTCCCTCTTCAGGTCGTCCAAGAAATTGAGACGGAGCCAGATAGCGCCCTCGAGCCCTCTCTGCCCTCATCGTCTGGGGGGAACATCGACCCGCCTATTTCGGGGGATTTGGGGGTGGCAGTGACAGCCTTGGAGTCTGGACGGGCTCTGTGCTGACGGAAGCTCAAAATCAAGCTTACCGTGGTGTGCGCCGACCGAAGCCAAGGTGTGTCTCCATCCCAATTCGGACAACAGTTGGTTCATCCCAATACTCAATCCTGGTGACATATCGAGTCCTCATCCCATCTCTAATCTCGACCATCAGATATGCCAATCACTTTGCTCGGCCGCTGGCCAATGCCCACAGCGCGGCCCGATGTTTAATCGCGCAACGCTTCCCTCTGCAGGCCACATCCCAACTCGACGTACCATTATGCCCATGCTGACACCGCGGAACGGACGGGTTGCGCCTTGCCTCTCGACACTTTGCTTTTGCCTTTTCCCCGTTCATTCGCGGCAGATTCAGCAGAAGACGACGATCACTCCGCTCGTACTCATTAACCCGCAATGTCAACTAGCCCTGGTAATTCGTTCTAGATCCGCTTTCTGACGGATGCTGTGGTTGCCGACGACCCAGTCTCGAAGGCGACAAAAACAAAAACCTTGGCCAACCAGACCAGGGCCAAAACGAAAAGTTCTGAGCAGAAAAGCAACAAAGAAAGAAAAGTCAATTATTCAGAGGCAACGAGAAAACCGCTCAAACAGACCCATGGACCCGCGCTGTAACGCATCGCGGTGGGCGGGATTGGTTCTCTCGCCGACCACGTCGACGTTGTTGATCCGCAGGCCCAGTCGTGGGACTCGGTGCAATATGCCGTGGCAAGGCAGAAGAAAGGAACAACAACCAGCCAAGGCATCCAGTCTCGAAATCTTACATGCAGTCTCGTGAATGGGCTATTTGGAGATTGGCACGTCAGCCAAAGCCGGCAGTGGCCAGAGGGCAAGTCGAAGCGGAAGCTCAGGACGATCACATCGTCTCGGGCAGCGACTTTTACGTTGGTTCCTGCATTAGCGGAACCGCTGGCCCGCGAGCATCTGGTTGGCTGTTCACCGCCGTCCTGCAGTGATGCATCCTATTCTCGCCGTGGCGATACCTTATTCGACTACACCTATTCGACCCTGACCTTCGCGCCTGCGACCTCAGGGCGTACGTACCACCTCAAAGGTCATCAGTGCCGGCGTATCAGAGAGCCACCGCATTCTGCTCCATGAGATTTGATATCGTCATGGCCTTCACTTATCGGCCTGTGACCTAATTCGACCCAAACTCTTAATCGCGCCACGTTACATGCTGTGTAAGAGCTCATCTCTCGCAATCATCCGTCAGAATGATCTTCGCCTCTCAACTCGCACCCGCCACGTGGAGAAGGCAGAAAAATCACATCGCTCCTCGCTCTCCGATTGGGGAATCCTCATCTGCAGCTCCCTCGTTTTTTGTGGCCTCGGACACGTGCCGGTCAGGAATGTTCAACGTCGTACCTGAAGATCACTTCTCCGGAGGAAAAAATAGGGACTCGGCCGGCCTGGATTGACGTATGCTTCAGCCCTGGCGGACCCTTCCATTCTCGCCCTGCAGGAAAAAAAAAAAAACCTTCGAAAACCCCTTCTGGCCAGACACTTGGTTCCGCGACGTGACAGCGCCTCGGGCAAATGCCGCTTGGAATGTGACTCAGATTTCGGGGGTCTCGTGAGGGCTTTTCTCCCCCCTCCCCGAATCATCGCCACGGCAGATGCCGCGAGGTCCAGCGGCAAAGCCCCAACGGCGGTATCTCGTGGGCAGGGATGCTGAGTCGGAGGGATGCCGCCGAGAGACATGCATGCATACCGCCACTCTCTTCACGAACGGTAAGGCTTTACGTATTGCTAGACAGACTGGTGGAAACCTTCGAGAAAGAACAAAATTCTGGATAGGATCGGCTTTCGGGTGGATGCTTCACGCCCACCTTTGACTTACACTGCCTGCCAGGCAGACAACGTTGTGCTTGGGTCTATGTTTTCTGTGACGAGAAGGCGCGTAACATTCCTAGGAGACGTGCGGTGATTTGTGATCCCATAGGAACACTTTCTCTGTGCGAGAAGAGGACGAGACTGTGGATGAGGACTGGTGTTACATGGTATTCTAACACACATCTAATCGACACATCTACAGGACACATCTATGCGGAGGCCTTGGCCTTCTTACCCCTCCGACCTCTGGTACTACGAGGCTGCTCATCGCCCTCATCCTCTTCCCCTTCCTCGTCCTCCGCCTCCTCCGCAGCCGCAGCTCTCCCCCTCGCCTTCCTCTTCCCCGTAGTCTTAGCCGGAGCCGCAGCAGGCGTCTCCTCCTGCGCCACGGGGGCCTCGCCGTTGGCATTCGCCCTCAACCGACTCACAGCGTTCGCCATCCTCTTGCTCGTCGTAGTCCTCTGCCTCGGCGCAAAAGCATCCCTCGCGCCCACGCCGACGGACCCCTCAAAGTACCGCGTGATATTGGTCTGCGTGCCTTCGATATCGCGCTTATTCATGTCCCGGATGACGGGCACCAGGACCTCGTCGGTGCGCTCCTTGCTCCACCCGATCGTGGCCATGAGGAACTGCCGCAGGCCCTCAAGGTCCGGCACGCCCCACTGGAACGGCTCCGGGCTGCTGTCGACCTCCGGGTGGATGTACGCGTCCGTGACGGCCGGGTTCGGGAAGCCCGCGGGCAGGAAGAGCTTGGTGGCCTGGGACTTGCGGAACTTGCGGCGGAACGGCGAGGCCGCGTCGGCCTCCTTCGGCCGGCTGTTCATCTGCACGTCCTGCCACCAGTCCCTGAACTGCGCGAGCCCGTCCTTGCCGGGGAACTCGGACAGGATCTCGACGGCCGTGACGGGACCGACGCCGGGCAGGCCCTCGGTATAATCGGAACCGAGGAGCTGGGCGATGGCGATGAGCTGGTCGCGGCCGAGGGACAGCTCCTTCTCGAGGTCGGAGCCGAGGTAGCATTCGACGAACTTGTTGCTGTTGAACATGTTCTTGTAGACGCGGGTGCCGCCGAAGAGGAAGGTATCCGAGTCGTCGGTGACGATGCCGTCGACGAGGCCGAGGTGGACGAGCTCCGCGCATTGCGCCTCGGCCTCCATCGGCGCCGTGATGTAAGGGATGCCGAAGAGGCGGAGGAGGGCCTGGCACTCCGTGACCATGACCTGGGTGACCTCGTCCGCGTCTCTGCGGTCCTTCTTCTGCTGCGTACGAAGCGCCTTGAGCTCCTTCTCGTACGCTTCCCTGTTTTCGCTTTCTGACTTGTTGTTCAGCTCGCTGGCGAAACGGGCGTGTTCCTCTGCCTCTTGGGCTAGGTTGGCGTAGAGTTCTTCGTCTTCCGGGTCACTAAACTCGTCGTCGCTGTCGGCAAACACGGCGGCCTCGGCGTCTTGAACCGGGTCTCCTGCTGTGTTGGGGTCGTCTAAAGTAGGGCCGTCCATGAGCTCCTCAAAAGTGAGCTCCGCCGGCTCCTCGGCGGGCTTGGGTTCCTCTGCTGCGACTTCGATATCTTCCATTTCGGGCTCTGGTGAGTCTGGCAATTCTGTGACTGTGACCTGCATGTCGTCATCGGCATCCTCGATTTGAATGTCTTCAAAGTCGAGGTCGGGGGACGGCGAGGCCTTTTTGGGTGACGCACCGGCCTTCTCGGCCGTAGTATTCGTCACTTCGATTTCTTTCTGTGGGCTGGGCTGTGCCGGTTCCGCAGGATCTGTTTTGGCAGTATCGTCTGTTGAAGAGACGATCTCCTGAGTGGTACCCTTCTTCGGAGAAGGGGGTGCGTCGAGAATCTCCACGTCGCTTTCTTCACTGTCCGATGACTGAATCTCGATGAGCTGATTCTGTCTCTGACGCGCAAACCTGCGTTCCTCCTCAAGCGCAGCCTCTCTGTCCTCGGTGTTGATTTCACTCTCGACCTGTCGCTGCTGCTTGATAGATTCTCGGATATCCGAATTATCAATCATCCAAGGCGGCAACGGCTTAGGGCCCTCTTCTTGCGGCTCTCTCTGGAAACCACCTTCGTTCTCGTCGTCGACGGCTTCCTCGTCGGCGCCTTCCACCATGAACCCGCCGCCGTTGTCAGCGTCCTCGGTGTTTTGAACCGACTTCTTGGGGTTCAGTGCCATCTGCTTTGAACCCGTCGCTTCTTGGGGCTTCTTGGCTGGCTGGGCCTTCTTCAAGAAGAGAGACGATCCCCAATCGAGCTTCGGGAATGGCAAAGGCCCGTCAAAAGGGTTCTTCACGTTGGGCACCGCTGGCTTGGGCTGGACCCTCTTCGCCTTGCGGGAGGCCTTGAGAGCGGCTTGGAAGTCCATTTCGTCGTCACTGCTGCTGGCATTACTCGCCCGCCGCTTCGGCACAGCAGCAGTAGACCTGTTGTTCACAATGTGGGCCACCATCCGTCCACTTGTGGCGGTAATCGGCTTCGGGGCTTCAACTGCCTTTTGCTTCCACTCTGGCATCTCCACATCCTCGAATTGTTCTTCGTCTTCCTTGTCTTCCGTTGTCTCTTTATGCTGGTTTTGTAATGACATGGCAATAGCGCGGTTGATGTCGTCTTCTTCCTCGGGGTGTATTCTCTCCTCATGCGGCTCTCCAGTCTCATGGTCGTGCTGTTCAGGCAAATCACCGCCGACGAAGAGAGTTTCTTCTTCTTCCTCTTCGAACAGCCCGCTCGTATTGGTATCGCGCCGGCTGCTGTAGATCTGTTGTCTTCTGAGAGCTGCATCCCTCGCGGCCTGTAAGCCCGCTGTCGGTAGCCGATTCAAACCCTCAACCGGAACGTCTTCGAAGTCGTCCTCCTCATCGGATGCTTCGGCTTTTTGCTTGTCCTGGAATTGGAAATCCAGGGCATCGACATCAATGGGCTTATGCGCTTCTCCCAGGTCTTTCTCTTTGCTCACGACACCGAGCGCCCAGCCACCTTCAGCTCCATCATTTTTGACCAGGATGTACTCCCTGTCCCTCTCGCCGGCGATTCGTCCGCCTCCATTCAAGGTTAAGTCAAGGCCAGTCATGCCGGCTTCTTTCATGAGTCGCTGAGTGAGATTGTTTCGTTCTTGCACACGCTCGATCTGAAATCTCGAAAACGCCATGCGGTCTGGGAACATCTCGTCCAGCTGCTCCTTACTGAGACCCATTCTCAGACGACTGCGTAGCCTTGCCGCGTTCAGGATGTTGTATCTATCCGCAGCTGGCAGACTTCTGAAGAACTCGCCGTCAAAGTCGATCTTGCTAAAGTCGTAGAGGTTGATGTCCTCGCCATTGTGAAATTGCCGCGCATACTCCTCGAGCTCCTCAATACTCATGATCCTAGGATCATCCGCCTTCGCCATGGACGCAATGTCGCCATCGAGCTCAGGCAAGTGATACGCGTCCTGTTTGAAGAACTTCCTTCCCCGCTGACGCTCCTGCTGGGACATGCCCACCTCGTCAACGTACACAATCTGGTCCACGTCGGGTATTTCCTCCTGGGGCTCTTCTCGCTCTCTGTGAATACCCCTCTCCGCGTCACGACGCCTCTTATCCTCCTCCTCCTCGGCAATCCTCTGCATCTGCACAGCAAGCAGTTTGCCCGCCGTGCGGACGGCATCCTCTCTGCGCCCCTCACGACGGCGCTTTCGGCCCTGGATCGTCAGACGCTTGAGCGCGGGAGCGCCGCCGTCGAAGACGAAGACAGGCTTGATGCCGAACCACAGAAGCTTGCAGATACGACGGAAGAAGCCGACGACGTGGGAGTTGCGCAGCGCGTTACCCTCCTTGTCGCGGACGGCTTTGAGGAATTGGTATATCCAGATGGAGGCATCGACGGCGAGGCGCTTCCGGTTGAGGGTCGCGAGGTTCGTTGGCCGCGCGCAGGGCTGCACGACCGTCCAGAGGCCGTTCACACCCATGGCTAGGACGGGAGAGGTAGGACGGTAACGGGTTCGGGATTCACGGAGGGGTTCGGTTTAGCCGGGATGCTCGGTGCTGCGAGAAGCGATCTTCTCATCTGCCGAATGGGTATCGCATGATCGTGGGCAGTATCGACGTCCTGGGTGACTCCGATGAGCGCGAGAGGTGTTTGTGGTTGTGTAAAAGTTCAGTGAAGTTGTGACTCTGTGAATGTGGGATGCCGCAATAGTTGCCTGCAAGCCATTTGACATGGGAGCTCAGGTAATGACGCGCTTTCCTCCACTAGAGGCGCCCTTATCGGGTTCTTATCAGTTGGCCCCGCTGAGCAGCAACCTCTCGTCGTGGAACAGCCCGCCGGCGCAAACGGTCTGTTTCTACCCGCCTCTCACCGCGGCAACGAATGCTGGAACAGGAGATGACCACGGTCCCTACCGAGAAGTCGCAATGGAAAAAGAAGAGGCAAGAGACTTCTTGACCTCGCTGCTCAACAAAAACCTGCGCGTCGTGGCAACTGATGGTCGCATGTTTTTGGGCCTTTTCAAGTGCACAGATCCTGCAAGTCATCCCTCCAATCCTTTCCGGAAGAGCGCCTCGAAGAAAGCCTTGCTAACGATTGGATTCACCGATAGGAGCGAAATGTCGTCTTAGCTCACACCTACGAGTACCGCCAGCCCTCGGCCCACCAGCGAGCGGAGGCCGCGAAAAAGGCTGCCGCAGGCATCGGATCGGTTACGATGGATATGGCATCCCGATACCTGGGCCTGGTCGTGGTACCGGGCCAGTATATCGAGAAGATCGAGGTGGAGGAATTCGCCAGCCAACTGAGGGGACGCAACCCATACGCCGATGCCACTATTGTATAGCACAAGGCTAAGGCGAAGAGCGTTCTTCGGTTCATGCAGGGAGACGACGGAAGACACGACTTTATACCAATGACGATGAATTGCGGAACGAATAAAGATTAGAACTACAAGAACAGTATTTTCGCCATCAACCTTTCCATCCGAAGTGTCTCTCCGCTGATAGCCTAGCCTGGCCTCAATTGTATTACCGAGGCACCAAACCCCTGAACACCAGAAACAAGCGCTATCCATAGACCATTACCACAAACATTGGTTGCGCGTATTGCGTCTCGATTACACCAAGGGGCGCCCAGCTCAAGTCACCGTTATGACGCGCCGCATCTATGCAACGATACTTTCGTGCTGACGTCCTCTGGTCTCGCCGTTCAAGCCATCGTCAGATCCCACGACAGAGTGGTGAATATCGTCCTCCTCATCCTCTTCGTCCTCGTACTCTGTCTCCTTGTTATGGGCCGGCATCCATGAGGAGTCGTCATTAAGGGGCGCGTCTTGGCCAGACAAGTCGTGGCCTCCCTCAGCACGTGCCTTGATGTTGTTTCTGCGCCTGGTCGACAAAGTGCGAGCGCGAGTCGAGAGCTTAGAGGAGACAGCGGCGTTAGAGGTGACCCAGTTGGTAAGAGCGTCCTCGCAATCTTGGATGATGGCCTTGCTGGCTTCGTATCCATCGTACGCAGCACGGGTCTCACCCGGAGTAACGGGAGTGTCGTCGATGAGTTCGAGCAAATGCTTTCCGTATCCGGCAATAATAGCAACCTTCTCGCAGTGCTCCCGTAAGGCGTCAAATTGGTAGGTGTAAGCAGCCTTTACCTTCTCGCGCGTGATGTTTGACAATTGAGCCTCGGCGACTAGCGACTCGGCCTCGGCCCTCACAAGTTCTTGTTCGAGAACAACAATCTTCGGGGAGTTGGGCTCCTTGTACTTGAGCTGAGCAATTTGGTCGGTGATCTTCTGTTTACCTACTCTCGTTGTCAGACAATGTCAAACCCTTCGTGAGAACCTTGTACTTACGGTCTCGGCTCGGTTGAACCGAAGCCTCGATGTTGCGAATACTCTTGATGGTAACGCGGTATTGGTCATATCGGTCGACGTATTGGTCCTCAAGCTCGCCAATCTCGTAGAGGAGAACACCAAGCTTGTCGGTGACATCGGAAACATCCTCATCGCAGGCTTCGCCCCAGATTGAAAGTTGTTGCTAACGAACTACATTCAGCAGGTGTACGGTGCAGCGACAACATGGCGGGGAAACCTACGGCAACTTCCATGCGTTCCCTGGCAACTTGCTCCAGACTGCGCATCACGTTCTTCTCCATCTTGACCAATTGGGACAGCTTCTTAGCAAGGTCTGGGCCAAAGGCGCCAGCAGACTTGTGACGGAGGGCATGGCCTGAGTGGACTGGTCAGCGACCATAAGGCCATATTGAGTCGGTCGCGAATAGAATCACGCGAGGGGAATAGGACTTCGAGGCTGGGACGTACCAAAGCCGCTACGGAACAGACGACCGGACTTGGTGGTCGATGGCGGAGGAGGTGGGTTCTGCGCTGAGGCGTTAGCACCATCCGACAGCGATGATCGGTGGGGAGATATTCGCATTACCTGGAGTTGAGAGGCGGTGGGCGCCCTCGTTTGGCGCATAGAATAAGTGCGATGCATGGTGACTACTGCGGCGATGGCGACAACAACGACAGTACAATTCGGTAAGAGGAGCGCTTGTTAACGCGATGCGTAATGCGACGACAAAGAATTCGATTCGGTTCAGAGGGTCGTTGGAAAGTAGGATATCGTATCGCGGGGTGGGACAAGGGGTGGGCAGAATAAGATCAAATGACGGTCGAGAGGAGACTGGGGTGATGCGAGGCCGGGTGTTTATATGTTGGCGCGCCGCAAAGGGTCCAGGAACATGCGTGGATGTTGCGGAGGGGACGGGACTTGTGGACGCGGGCGCTGGCGGGCTCCTGGTCTAGACATGGGAGGGTGAAGCGAAAGGGAATTGGACGACAGAATGCAGAAATGCTCCTAGTCTCTCAGTGGTCTTCGGCCTTCCCTTCTGTGCCTCTTTCGCGCTGACGACGTCATCTGTGTCTCTAGCTCGACTTTTTGGCGTTGTTCGCAGCGTCACCCAGCTAACCAGGTGCCTGCATCAATACGCGGGTACAAGCTAAGAACCCCACCTTGGAGGTACCCTGACTGGCCTTGTCGAGCTGAATTCGTCGCAATGTCATCGTCGAAAGCTACAACACCGGAAGCTCTGACCATTGTCACTCTCTGGTCATCTCCGGGCTCCCGTGGTGCTGCGGTAAGGGAAAGGGCACGGCAGGGCCTGGCACAGCCAGGCCGATCATCATCCGGGATGCCGCCGTCTTTTCTCGACCTTCCAGACCCTTCGCCCAATGTGGGCTCATGAAACAGGCGGCCGGGACTTGGGACGAAGAAACGGGAGCAACCTCTCCTCTGATGCATCCTGCAAGAAAACCCCGTCACCCCATATCTCTATGCGTGTCTGTTGGCTCCCGCAGCAGTCTGCAGGTCCTCAAGGGGCCGGGCTGAGACTGGGACTGGAAATAATCAGTCGTGTTACTAGGAACGGCCATCTCCATGCCGCTTCTGCCTCCAGCCCTCGACATTCCTATGTCTCAGTATTATCAACATCGATAAGGCATCGAATGCTATGCTGACCACGTCAGACACAGGGAGACAAACTTCGGCGAGTAAGGCAGCGAACTCACTCACTTCCATATACCCCAGTAGGCCATCTCAGTCAGGCTCGGTAAGTCGTTCAGCCAGACCGGCCGCATTGCCAAGGAACAGCAGCTCTGCGTGGGTTAGCGGTAAAAGCCGGGGGCTCAGGCTGGCGTCGTCCAAAATTGCTTTGGAGCTAAAGTGTCTCTGCTAGACCCAAAGGATGAGCGATGATTTCATCGACTGCATTATCTGTCAACTCATGAATTAGCGCCATCTGAATCCTGGCGGAGCCTGTTGATCTCAAATCAAAGTTGTCAAAGTGTCAGTTAACGATATTTTGGTCGGAGTAAACAAAACTGGCTTGTGCGAAAGGACTTACCACATAAGAATATTGATTGGTATCTTTTGTTTTGAGTCTTGGATTACGTGTACTCACAATATCATCGAAACCTCAGAGAGCTTTATTTTTGTTTGCACGTGTCCGTTTATACCGCGGTCCGAACTTCAATGGCCAACTGTCAGGAAATTTGAAGTCTCTTCGCATGCGTACTTAGACCTAGTCAACGCAAAATTGAGGTGTCAACCTGATAGATGTAGAGTCCGTTATTTGACGACATAGTCGCTTACTACATCGAATTTCAAATTTGCATCAATAGCGATGTTTCCAGAAGCTAATTGATGTTAGTTTTCCTATATTGATTTTTCTTTCACTTCAAACATTGGCAAATTTGAAGCTCAAAGGCAGGCGAGGGCTGCAACTACCTTATTGGCAACTGGACTTGAGAAATAGATAAGTCCGACCGTTGACATGCCCCCAACCCTAACCCTCACCCTGGTTGACTGATTCGTAGTAATCCAGCGTTACCTCAGGGCATGAGACTGGGTTACGTTTTCCCAGTGCCGTTCATTGAGTCTGTATCACATTACTTCGTATGACGAGTCTTTTTTTTTGTCGGCGCGTTCTACAGCTCTGAATCAGCTCCAAGTTTTCAGCTACCGCTCCGTTATCTAGGTAGTTGCCGTATGTTCCTTGACGCATTGAAGCTGCATCATATCAGACTGTCAGGTTTGAATGGAGAAGGGGCTCTCAGTGATACGGTGCCGGGGCCACCAAGAGAGCAAACAACGTGGCAAATCCGGCGCAGCTGAATATTTCCATTGCACCTTCCAAGTTGCACCGCACGACTCATTTCTCTAGCTATTTTCCTCCTGCCTATGTCAATTTAAGAACTTTCCATTGTTCCTGCCTGCGCCGTGCTCACGAGATAGCCACCTACAGAGCAAACGCGATCCCTTACCCAGGTGTTTGGTGGGATATTGTGGATGTTGCCTTGAGTGCACTGAACTTCTTGAAGCACAACCCCTGCTCCCCGGTTCCGTCCGTCCCGATTAGGCGTAGCGCATTGCAATCTCTCCCTCCAAGTCGCGCTTAGCTTCGCCATTCACCAACGCGTCTCACATATCCATCTCTTCTCTCATCATCAACCTCATCCGACAAAGTCCATCCAGAAGGAAAAATCGATCCTTTCTCCATCTCGGTCATCGCATCGTCATTGGACATTCGCGTATCGACAGTGAGCGCTCACTTCAGTCCGCCTGGCATGAGACTTCCGTAGTCAATGTTTACAGGTTTTGCTGACGCCGATTTTGGGGAAGAGGACATGAGCGACCGTGTCCGTGTTTGCGCCTGCAGCAACTGAGGAGGACCGAGGACAGAGCCGCCGTCAGAGGACTTCTGGACAGGAAGCTGCCACTTTTGTGCCTCCTGCCCATTCATCTTTCGCCATTTTACGCCATGTCCTTCCGCGTTGGGTCCGACCGGGACTCAACGGCTCAAAGAGGTCCTTACGTCGACCAACTCGCTGGATTTCAGTTCTCTTCCAACCGATTTCAACTCAGCCGAGAGCCTCAACCACACCCTCTGGTCGCAACAGGATCTGAAGACGCGGTTATCGACTTAACTTCCAGTCCACCAAAAAGTCCGTCTCCGAGCTACTGGTCAAGACCAAGTCACAACAGCCACCAAGAGAACAGCCACCAGCCTATTTTCTCGCCTGGCCAGCCACACACTGTTCATCTTTCGGATCCGAGCGGCGGCTCAACCGCCGTCTCCAGCAATGCTGCCTCAATTTTGGATCCCTCGCCGCCCCCAGATTCAAACCAGACTTCTGTCGATCTTGAGGACAAAGACGACGCCGAGATGCCTCGACGCCTGCCAACCGACGGCAATCTGAAGTCTCCCCAGCAGATCACGCCACCCTCATCCACCCGTCCATCGAGTTTTCAGTCTCCAAAGCACAGCAAGCATGGCTCTGCATCAAAAAAGCAGACACCAAAGAAGACCAAGGTGGACTTCAGTCAGATCACCGCTGCCCTCACAGACTTTTCCAAGGACATACGCAAAGATCACGAAAAGCTTTGCATGTATGCTCTCAAGTCCACCAAGCCAGTTGAGACGCGCGTCAAAACTGGTGTCGACTGGTTCGCTGACGTGAGCCTCTCACCGACCACTGAGGAGAAAGGAACCACCATGAAAATTCGGTGCAAGGTACTTAAAGTGCACATACCCCGTTAAGATGCTCCAAGAAACCCCTGATACTGATCTTGCTATAGCAACACTTTCGCGGCAGAAAGGCGGACCAGGCCAGGGATCTGCATTACAAGCCTGCCTGCGTCAAAACCAACAAGGACGCTGTGCCCAAATATCGATTTCACCACACCGAGATTGCGAAGAACGTCCTCTCGCCAAATTCCATGCTCAAGTTCAACCCCCATATTCGGGATGTTGCGCCCCATGAGGAGAAACAGTACGATCTCTGGCTTAAGGAGCTGGCTCGGATGGACTCCAGTTGCGGCTTCATTCCGCTAGGCAGCCGCGAGGACCAACAAGTTCGAGCTATTCGCAAGGAGCGGACATTCATCTTGTCTCTCTACCTGGATTCCTGGCTGAAGAAGCTTGGCATCGAAAAATGCAACCGAACAACATTGATCCGCCACATGGCGAGCTCCGAATCTGATGATGCAATCACGCCGCAGCAGAAGACGACCTTGGTCAACTTACACAGTGATGATAATTTCGCAACTGAGCCTAAAGCCCTTGAGGCGGCTAGAGTCTTCACTGAGGCATTCGATCATGTGTTTTACATAAAGGCAACGTCCGGCAAGCTGGGGATCCTTCTTCGCGATGTCCTTAAGCTGGACAAAACTGTCGAAGAAATTGTCGAGTCGAAGAAGACAGCAAAGGTTGGCCAGACCGAAACTGAGAAGGCACCATCTCTCCAGCAATCTCTTGAGCATTGGATCGAAACTCATACGGTCATGGGCTGCCTCATTTGCTACAGCAACTCCTGCGAGCATGGGGATTACAGTCTGGAAAATCACAAGAGAAACTTTTCTATGGACTGCATCGGAATGTACGGACAAATGTTTTCGGCGAACCGTACCGTATCTTCAAAGGACCCGGTTCAGCAATTGGATCCTCCACTCCCTTGCAAGCGACAATGTTTCCGAAACAATGCCATCGGTAGCTCTGATGCCAAATGCAGACCATGGACGGAGAATGAGACTCTCCTGTTGCAGGGTCTCTATGCTATCTTGGATCACAACAAAGTCAGGGTCAAGGCACAATGCGCGACAGCTGAGATTCTGGGTCGAGATTGCTGGGATGTTCATCGTCATTTGCAGTCTTTGGGCATCGTTCTCCCACCCATTCAGACCGTGGATCAGGAGCGGGTCAAAAACCTTTCATGGTACGATCGCAAAAAGAAGATGCTCATCGGGGACTGGCAGGACCAAACTTACTCTCATGACACCAAAGTCCGCCCATCTAACGACCCCTGTCACCATGAGGGTATCTGCTCTGCAGAGAATGATTGTCCTTGTGTTCTCAACAACATTCTCTGTGAGCGATTTTGCCGCTGCACTGAGGAGTGTTGCGCGTACAAATTTACCGGGTGTGGTTGCCATGCCAGCGGCAAGACATGTTTGCAGAAGCAGAAGGAAGGCCGCCCTTGCATTTGCGTTCAGCTAAACCGCGAGTGTGACCCGGATCTTTGCGGAACCTGCGGCGCCGCCGAACGAGCCGATCCTGCTAATCAGCACAACGATGCGATGTTTCACACGGGTTGTCAAAACATCTCTATCCAGCGAGGTGTGAGCAAAGCCGTCATCGTAGGACAAAGTCAACTGGAGGGCTGCGGATACGGTTTATTCACTGCAGAAGACATTGCCCAGGATGAGTTCGTCATTGAATACACCGGAGAGCTCATTGTCGCGGACGAGGGAGTCAGGAGAGAGGCGAGACGCGGGGAGGCTTTTGCTGCAGAGAAGAGCACTTCGTACGTGTTCAGTCTTTTGGACTATGAAGGCATCTGGGTTGATGCAGCTATCTATGGCAACCTCAGCCGCTATATCAATCACGCCGTCGAGAACGCCAACGTCCAACCGAGCATTTTCTACGTCAATGGCGAATACCGCATCCGCTTCTCGGCCACGCGCAACATCAAAGCTGGCGAAGAACTATTCTTCAACTACGGAGAGAACTTCCCCAACTTAACTAAGAAAATGATGAAAGAGAAGGCGGATGTTGAAGCCGACGAAGCAGCAGGGGGTACTGTAACTGCGCCTACCAAGCGCGGTCGTGGTAGAGGCGGACGCCGGGCACGAACCGTTTCAGAAAAGCCTGCTACGCAGAAACTTACCAAAGCCAAGATTGCGAAGGCCGTTCGCACAGGAGCGCGCAAGGAGGCGCCGAAGATATCAGTGGACGACTTTGAGGCTCTGGCCGACTTGGACGACATGCCAGGCCCGAGTCGAAAACGGAAGCGGGCTGCTAAGAGCGATGATGAGGAGGAGGAATACCACCCATCGCTTGAGTCCGAAGATGCGCAAGAAGCAGGCAAGCGCGTCCCTGCTGCCCAACGCCGTGCTCGCCGCACGAGGTCCAGAGGACGCAATGCCTTCTCAGACTCCGAGGCAGAAGACTCTACCCAGGCATCACCTCATCCTAAGCGCGGACGAGGACGTGGTCGTGTTGCTGCTTCTGAGAATGCCGCCACTGAAACGGTCACAGCGAGCCAAAGTTTCTCCGCAAAAGGGGATACCAGCGGGCCACCTGTGAAGAAACGTCGCGGACGTCCACCGAAGAATCCTCGCCCGGCAAGTCCGGTCGCTGAGAATGATGACGTCCAGAACGAAATACACGCAAGTTTCAACTCCTCCAAGAGCGGCGCAGAGGCTGTAGAGGGCGATACAATTTCTGTAGTGAACCCTCCAAGGTCTGCTCGCGGACGCAGAGTCATCTCGCATGGTTTTAGCCCACGGGTTGATCGCATGGATCTTGACGATGAGGCCCTAGACATCAACGCAACTCCGACTCGCTCGAGGGGTCGAAAAACAGCCGATGAGCAGTCAGCTGCGGTCAGGGACACTCCGCGGACTAGACGTATGTCGATGTCACAGGCTCTCCAGCGAGCTGACGAGTCGGAAGGGGATGGTGTGACTAGGACTCCAGCTTCGCAACGAAGGGCACGACAACGACGCCCTGTAACGGAAGTCAACGATAGCGAATCAAGTTACCACACACGCGAGGTCCCATCCGACTCTGAGGACGAGGATGATGACGTTATCGATCGTTCGACGATGAGACGTGCTTCGAGAAAACGAAAGATGCCAGCCAGGTACCGATCATCGGACGATGAGTCTTGAGTCGTGAACATACAATACAACCTTATCTTCAGGGTCTTTACGACAGACATAGGAAATGTGATAATTAGTTGGTGGTTGGAAGGCAACGCGACAACTTGATGACGGCAGTAGCATTGGGTGGAGGGGTAATTGGTTTGGTTTTCTTCGTTTTTGCTGCATCAAATTGGCATTCTTCCGGTATCGCTAGGCCCTTCTTCCGATGGGGCTCAAGCTATTTGGGATACCGGGCGCTTGGCCCGGCGTAACTCTGAGGAGCACATTGCATACATAGTTTTTGGCCGTGGATACTGGTTTCATAAGCCACATAGTTGTATGCGCGATTTTTCAATACATACATGCATTGGCACTGAAGTTACTCGGCCTATTTATGTGAGAATATCATGGTGTTTGACATGCACAAGACTTGCGGGATAAGAACAGCCCATCCGTGGCTACGTATTCAGCAGAAGCTCCAAATGGGACATGAGTGGAAGCTCTTGAACTTCCGGCAGCCAGTGCTTCATTACCCCGCCTAAAGTTGCGTATACCAAGATTCAAACCAGCGGGGTCTATCTAATTTAGATCACTAGACATAAGATGAAAATCTGGGACTGATATTAAGTTTTAATGTGAACAGAAACTTTTCATCTACACGTAAGCTGTGTGTTCTCGTCGAATGTCCCAACCAAATGCCGCCTTTTCGTCTGATGAGCCTGATTGATTTGTGGTCTCCCTATTGTAGTAGATGTTAGCCTATTTAGGTGACAATGTTTAAAGAGGCCTAATTGACTGATGAGTATCGACTACCTGTAGTCAGGCCCCTACTCTATTAAGATGTTCAAGCATTTTGATGCATGCTGGAGTTGTGCGTAACAGAGACTTGTTGTGCGTGAGATGTTGTTCCAGCTTCAAGTAACCTCCTCTCTTTGAGAGTTCGTAACAAGAGCGGATTTCTCGCAGGATACGATACTGACGTCTTTCACCATTATAGGCTTCTGGAGCGCAATTTGAAGGTGTGGCTTGTTCGACTGGCTTTTCATATTGTATCCGTTAGTCCCGAGTCACTGGGGTTGTTGTGATACGTATTTTGAGGGCCTGTCAAGACATACAGATCTCTTTGCGAGATACAATGGAATCCGATGCCTAGTTACTCAGAGCTGAATAACTTCATCTGAAGCCATTCAATACCAAGCATCTAGGCTCATGGTGTTGTGTGTCTGCGTGTTTCTTCGTGAGGCTGTCACGCGGTGTCGACACGTTATCAATTGCAGAATTGTATTGGTTCCAGGACAGAGCGATTTATGAGATTCACGATGAAATCTAAACAGCGTCGATTATTTCTGAAGCATACTTTTTTCTAAGCTCCGCCTTGAAAATGCTCAACTAGATAGCGGATACAGACCGTAATCTGTAGGCATTTCACGTTCTCAAATGACAGGATCAAAATACCCCATAACGCCAACACCACTCCGCCTCCGTCCCTTTCAAGTATACAAATGTCTCTTTCTATATCATACACCACCTCCTTTCGTAGCCTTCCCCCCAAAAGCTACCTCTTGAAAATCCGCCTCTCAACCGTACGCAGAATAGCGTAGGAAACAGACGCAAACAAGAAGGCGAGCTCGAACCCGATGTCGCCGCCGAGCGCGCCGCCAGCAAGCTTTCCGATGGGCCCCGTGAACCAGGTCTGCGACATGCCGAGGACGGCGCCCATGACACCCATGAGGAAGGCGGTGATGGCGGCGAAGCCGGGCGGGAGGCGGGAGGGGACGTCGTAGTCGTCGATGTCGTAGCCGGCGATGCCGCGCTTGAAGAGGACGTGGTCGGTGACGCTGACGCCCTCGTAGATGGCGAGCCAGTAGGCGATGATGAGCATGAAGTTCTCGAGCCAGGCCTCGAAGCGGTCGTAGCCGGGGACGCTGATGGCGATGTAGACGGCGGTGCCGGCGAAGACCCAGACCCAGCGGGGGACGCGGGCGGTGTGGCGGGAGAGGACCTGGAGGGAGAGGGAGACGGAGTAGATGTTGGGGCAGTTGTTGGCGATGATGGAGAGGGCGAGGACGACGAGGCAGAACTGGCCGAAGCCACCGAGGCGGGGGACGAGGACGGCCGCGAGGAGGCCGCCGATGCCCGAGGCGGAGTAGGCCTCGCTGAAGACCGGGTCCTGGACGCTGGCGGTCATGACGGCGGCGCCGAGGAGCTCGGTGAAGCAGAGGGTGAAGAAGAGGCCGGTGAAGGTGACGAGGAACACGCGCAGGCGCGGGGTGGAGGCCGGGTAGTAGCAGGTGTAGTCTGCGGCGTCTGTTGAGGCAATTGGTTAGATCTTCAAGATGCTGTGTTTTTGACGGAAGTTGCGTGTAAGACTCACAAGACGTCCATCCAGTGGCGAAGCCGAATACACTCGCAGCAAAGCTGAGGACAGAGCCCGCCTCGGAAGGGCCCGAGTTCAGCGGTAGCATGTTGTTGAACTTGCCCGAGTGAGCGAAGACGCCGAGGACGATGAGGAAGATGATGAAGCATGGAATCCAAGAAAACCGCTCGTAAGTATGAACGATCCGGTAACCAAAGGTGCAGATAATCAGAGTCGCTATGGCGATGACAAGAATGCCGGCCCATCCTGGCATATCGTTGTTCACGGCATGGAAGAGTTGAGCGCCGACGATGGTGTTGACTGAAGACCAACCCAGACATGCGAGGATGTTGAAGACGGCAACTGGACGATCGTGTTAGTGGCATCGTGTGTAAAGCAACAGGTACTCGTCATCACATACTCAGTTTAACCGCATAGTACCCATACCAATAGCGAGAGAGAACCATCTGCCGGAGACCGAACTTGGGACCGAAAGTCGAGAAGAAGCACACGGGCATGATGCCGAGAGCGTTGATGAAGATGATCGTCAGAGCTGTATCGAGGAAGCCGAGGTTGAATACCGGGATGGCGAGGACGCCGATGGCGAAACTAGACACAACCATGTTCGCGCTGCACCACTACGCGATGCTGGTCAGAAAAGCGCCCCTCGATTTCGGGTCTCATTGGCCGGCGAGACTTACCAGCGTCCCGACGTTGGCGATGGTGTCGTTTATCCGCTCGTCTTCCGGAACCCTCTCAATGCCTCGCTGTTCGACGCCGAATTTGCCCGCTAACCTCTGGAGTTTCGCATACGTGCTGGTTCCCGCCGCGAAGTCCTCTTGGTGAACGCCGGCCGCCCCTACGTAGCCGCGAGACACATCCTTCTTCTCGCCGTTCGACTCGACGTCGCTTTTGGATTCGAATATCGCCATCTTTTCGACTTGGGAAGGTCCCCGTCTCCTTGGTCCTCTTGGTTCGTATGAGTTGTCACCGCAAGTTCATGTCTTGGTCCAGTAGTGGTCTAGGGAACGAGAGTCGAACGTGTCGCAAACGGCGCAAGACCACGACAGGTGAGACGTGTAGATACTTCGAAGACACTTGCAACCAGTGAGGGGAAGGACAGGTCCGCGAAGATTGGACGAAAGGAAAGTCACATAGTGGCGAGCCGGGCAGTAATAGTAATATTCACACGCAGCGGAAAGTGGAGGAGCCCTTATCAGCAAAGGCAAGACGCGCGCGAATTCTACGGGATGGCCAGTACCCAGATTTCCGGGCTCGAGATGCAGCCATTTTTTCGCTGAAAAGCACACACCAAGCAGCATGTTCTGACGCGAAACCTTGGTGGGGGGAGATGGAGCGATCAAAGATAAGGAACCGCGGCATTGAAGAATCGTTGACGATTCCCCACCGACGCGTCCCTGAGAGCAATCTGGTGTGGCCCGGAAGTAAGCCGGCACTTGCGAGCCGTATGGAATAGGTCCGTTAAAGGAGGGACCGCACTGGAGTCTCAAAGCTGAGCTAGAAAAAGGGCAGAGAGGCGAATTCGGGATTCCCGGGTTGGTTTCGTCCAATGGCGAGTTTTGGTGTTGAAAACCCTTTTGGTGGGAATGGAGGCCGTCAGGCGACACTTGCGGAACTGAGCAGATCTCTCTCGGGCAGGTCAGGACTGAGAATCTCCCGGCTGCGTGGGTTGACGATGTCTTCTTCGTTGAGGGTGAGGGCCCAGGGGCTAGTCGTGATGTTCGCTCGATCCCGCACGTTACCCCAAGTTCTCCTCCACGGAGCCAAGAGAATAGGCGCAGTAGATAAGGCGGGATTGCCCACGCGAGCATGCGGCCAAGTCCGTGAACCTGCGACGCTGTAGTGAGTGTACGTAAGGTCAAAGAGTCGAGGGTTTCTGGAAGACTTCTTCCTTATCTTCACGGATGGAAGTCCGCGATTAGATAGGGAATTGGGAGGTTTGCAATTGGATGGTGAAGAGAGCAGGGTGCCCGCAATGGGGACGAATGGCATGCCGCAGTGCCGAGTGCATGGAGTGAGAGATTGATGATCATTTTGCTTTCATCGAAGCAATCAATGAAGGGCTGGGATGCCAAGAGGAAAACCCCCGATCCAAGCTAGGAACTGGGCTTCGTTCAGTCATTAGTCGATGTTTCTATCAAACCAAATTGAACTATTGGTGATAGGAATCCGCCGCAAATCTGGACAGACAGGAGGAAGACGAAGCTAACCACGGCTTCCAGGTCAGGGTTCGTGCCCATAAAGCTTAGCCTTCAAGAACCAGGGTCATAACAGTGGCAGCCACAGTCGATGCCTGTGGCGGTGCTCAGGCAAGACGGTTCCTTCCGCCGTGGAAGTTGTCAGTAGATCTGCCCGGGAGCCCCTATCGCCAATCCTTCTTGCATCAACAAATAGTTTTGCACATGAACATTGCTTCCCGTGGTTGGCATGTCTATACCGAAGAAGCAATTGACATTCTTCAGAGTTCTTTCCCCAAACATCCATCACGATGAAACGGATAAATCGGACTTGCTCCCACGACGTCTGGAGGTTGGGTTGGACCATCGAAAGCCAACATCGCCGCACATTCCTCTGCCGGCCTGGTTTTCATACTCCACATTGTCTTCGTCAATGGCACTGAGACATGCCTTACAAACAATAGAAGCCTTTGGGAAGAATGCGGCTCCCATTTTCCAAGGACCAACAACCTCTAGAAACCCGGACCAACCTCGAATGACCCGCGCTTGACGCACGCGCGCTGATTATCCAAGTTCCGAGTCCTCAACAGACAACATCACCTGGCACCCTGTTTCGTTTTTTTCCTTGTTTCTTCCAGTTCGCCAAGCTCCCAAGATCTTGCCCCAGACACAGATTTACAAGACTCGACGGCAAGGGGCCCTTTCTCCCGGTGTCCTACAATCAAGACAAGACATGACACCGAGGTCACTCACAAACACCAACCTGGAGTCTGACTGCATCCCGCACCATGTCTCGCAAGCACGCCAGACAGCTCAATGAGCAAGTACAAGTCGTACACCCGTACGAATTTATCGCACACAGAGCACGGCATGATCGCTGGCAATGTTACGGCGGGGAAAATCAGCAGCGTCGGTATCTCTTGATTGACAGCAACCGGGGCAGATCTTGAAGCAAGATCCTGTCGGGAGCCAAGTCGAGTCTAGACCTGCCATCCTCCGGCCTGCTCGTCGTTGCACACGCTCATCTACATCCTGAAACTCCATCAACGCAGGGAACTAAGACCCAATCTGTCGTCCGATACCGAATACTCCCTTCCAACTCTCTGGGCAATCAGAAGCAATTTTAGAGACACCAGTCCGAGCTTTTGCACTGACACCGGCAGCTATTGGCTCGGCCTTTCAGGGCAACGTTGCTGTTCACTGCTCAGCACGTTGGACGACGCCGTTTGCGGTCGGCCTGTTGCATGGACTCGGCACGATGAAGGCACCCAGAAGACGGTTAGGAGAGCGCAAACCTTCGCATCCGGCCATAAGTTGTTCTGGACGGCAAGATCACACTCAATGCTCACGAAGACACGAGGAAGTTTCCTGACTCTTTCGACGCACGAAACCCACGAACCCCCGTCCAAGACGCAAGCTAGAAAAAAACAAACATCGGACGAAGCCACGACTCAGACTTTGTTTTTCAGTCGTCTGATGTTTAGCACATGCTGCAAGACTAAGATACTCTAACGCAAGGAAACAGAACAAAACATCATCGATGACTGATTAATTATTCCCTATCTGCAGTAGGGCTGAAGTCAGCTCAGTCATCATGACTTCAAATCTTTCTGGGCAACAAATGTCGCCGTCGACTTCCAATTACGTCTTCTACCCTCTCAGCCACAGTTTCTATTCTTGTCTTACCTTTTCCAACGCCTCTATCGGCTCTGCCGCGCCTCATTTCCTCGTCACAGCTCTCGTGGCCTCAGCTCCCCCCACCAAACCTGCGCTAAGCCGCTCATCACCCTAGTCTTACCTCTCGTCCTAATGGCACAAGGCACAATGTTTCCAACATTCTCGGTCCCCGCCGATTGTTAGCCATTCCCAAGAACCTGTTCGGAAACGATACCCATTAGCGTTGTTTCCCTTACTTTGGGGTCTCGGTTCGACCAAATAATGTCCCCGCGTGGCTGAATCGTCATCCGCCTCCCTCCTCACCCTACATCCCCATAGTCCCACGATGGTAGATCATCAGCGGCTTGGCAATCACTCGCGACCCCCGTCCACCTTTGCCTGTAGAACGGGGTACATGTCTGCTCCCGCGAGCGGTGGCAGATAGCAGCTGTCATCGTTGATAACGCTCCGCGTCCGACATGGCAAAGCTGCCGTGTCTCAGTAACGCACGTTAGAATTGACGAATTTTTAGATTCGAGGGTAGTGTACAAGTAGTCTCGAAGCACACACACACAACATGCGCGCAATCAGCGCACTTCGTCCCTTGCTCTAGTCTATTGTTTCCTTCCGGAACCTCGAGTCTCCAACGTCCGCGAGCTATCCCCAGCTAGATCGATCGCTCGCTCGCCAGGGAAGGGAGATGGACATGGACTAAGGGTATCTCGTACCCACGGGGCAATTAAGCTGCGAGGTGTGGCGCGGACTAACGCCGTCACCCATGGTTCCCGTCAGGCTTTCCTATCACTCACTGCAGCTCACTTACATTTGTTGTTTGCCCGTATTATTAAAAGACCAGCCTTCCCGCCAGGCCGTCATCCGATCTACTTTCCCCATCGCAGCATTCCATCGGCAACCTGGGCGTGTTCGTGGGCTTTATATCAGACTCTTGGCCGTTTCCTCCAACGTCTCTTCACTCGCTTTCGGCCTACTGTCTCTCGCCCCTCGCTATCTCTCGACACGCCCAGCATTCCGCATCTCTCACTTCTTCGATATCTCATAACCGTTTACACCAAAACACCTTCAAACATGCAGCTGTACGCCATTGTCTCCGCGGCCGCCGTCGCCGTCTTCTCTCTCAGCGCCGCGGTCCAGGCCAGACCGTTGCCATGCCCAGACGTTCGTGTCCCTCGACTAACACCACACAAACACCAGTTTCCTGACCTCTCTTCCAGTTCAAACGCGATCTCATCCTCAACAACCAAGCCAGCCCCGAGATCTGCTGCACATACGGCATCTGCAAAGGCGACGTCAACATCATCAGCGGTTGAAAGTCTTTCGGACGAAAGCTTCGACTTCCACTCAAAGCAGATAGCATCAGCAAACATCTGGCGGACACCATGATGACGAAACGGTCACACAAACGACACACAAACCTCTCATCCCTCGAATGAGCCAATACACTCACACAAAACAAAACGACACACGCGCGTACAAATGCATCTTTCGGCGTTCATGGTTGGGGGGGTCTACAAATCAGTTTCTGGGGGCGCAACGCGGCGTTGCACAAACTGCTGTCACTCTTTTTCCCTTTGTAAGAATGCAGACATTTCGCATTCACGGTATCCAGGATCAGGCGCCCCAGAATACGCACGCCTCGGCACGTTTGGGGCCATTGGGGGGGCCACCGGGGAGTTCCATGAGGCGCAAAAAGGACGGCGACATTTTTTTTCATTTGACTTTCTCTTCTAATTTCGTGTTGGTCGGAGTTCCGCCCGTTTTACCAACGTCGTGGTGGTTGCGTGGGGGCTGGCTGCAGGCTTACTGCGGCGCGCGCGCGCGCGCGCGCATGTAGAACAAGATGAGACATGTTGCCTCGAGAGATTGGGCCGGGTGTCCTCTGGACTGGGGTGTCCAGCAAATCCAAACGATTGCATACTTTAAGCCTTTGAATAATGGTTCTCTATGGACTGATTGAAGACTAAACATCGTGAGAAGCCAGGCCTTGATGGCTTACTTCAAAAAGTTGGGGAAGCCTTGTCGCATCTCTTGCTCGTGAGTGAGGCGAAATCAGTGGAAAGTAGACATATGAACACATGTACACGACAGTGAAATGGAAACACGGCGCTGACCGGGGTTTCTGTCATCTCCCTCGGCGACATTTCTCATCCCACGTTGGCCACCCCATTGGTCGCCGTCTCGTATCGAGACTGCATGCGCCGTTCGTGAAAGATAAGGCCTCTTCACATGCCCATTTTAGCATACTCACGTACTCTCACATATTTCGGACACTAGGACCGGGCGAAATCGAAATCGTGTTGGGATCGTGAACGCGGGGCCAGGCGAGAGAAGCGTCAGCCATCATGTGCCCGCGCCGACCGACGCCTTCTCTCACGAACTCGTACCCGCGAGGAAGGTCTCGCTGTTAATGACGAAACCATACGAGCCCTGCGACGGCTTGGGTGAGCGAACCATCACCTCACGATAGCCTCACAAAAGAGAAAAGTCACATTCACCAAATTCATGACCCGAGTGGAGGTGGGAGAGGGGGTTGACTCACGGCGACGTTGTAAAGACACACCTCCGGCGCCCCAGGCGTCCCCGTCGCGCAGCAGTCCTCGACCATGACGCAGTCCCAGCCGCCGTTGTAGGCGTCGGTGAGGGTCCCCAGGACGCACTGGTCCGTGTTGACGCCGGCGAAGAGGAGAGTCCGCGTCTCCTCGCCGGGCCCGTCCAGCCACTTCCGGAGCGGCTGCTCCGGGCTCCACATGCCGGACATCCTGTTCTTGTCGCAGTGCACGTCGGTGGCCCTCTCGGCGCACCGCTTCAGCGGCTCGTAGATGTCGGCGTTCCAGCTCCCCTTGACGAGGCACCGGCCCTTGCCGTCGCCGAGATCCGTGCCGAGGCCGAGGCGGAGGACCTTGTCGCCCGGGGCGGCGCCGTGGATGAGGGACCGGGAGAAGCCGCGCTGGACGCTGGCGGGCATCGCGGCGAGGTCTTGGTCGGTCAGGCCCCAATTTAGCCAGATTATCTGCGTCGTCTCGCATCAATCAACGTTACACACCATTTCTTGGGAAAGGGGGGTGGATTTGCCGGCAGCGGTAGGTTTAGACCGTCAGCTTTCCTCCCCCCCGGGATGTGTCTTCGGTGCAAGATGAGTCCCCCGGCGTCGAGTCCGACTGGCGGGGAAATGGCTGCATACCTGGACGCCTAATTCGCGGCATTTCTCGACGACAACCTTCGTCTTTTCCACCGCGGCCAGACCGGCGGGATGATCTCGAAAGCTCGGATGCAGAAAGAAATTCTGCATGTCGACAATCACGAGCGCCGTGCTGTGGGGGGACACGGATATGAAGGTCTCCGGGGGGCCCTGGGAGGTGCCGACCGTCCAGGCCGGCGACCGGTCCCGGGTGAGATCATAGGTTCGTGACGATTTGTCGTAACGCCATTCGTCCCCCGGCGGGCCGAAGACCAATGAGTCCGACTCTGGGCGCATGACGAGGAAAAGAGTCGCGAAAAAAGTGCGACAATACGAAAGTTCCGAGTTTTATCCTCGGATATTCTAACACCGACAGCGCGCGGGTATAGCCTGGCCTTTTCCCCGATTGCGGGTAATACCACGATGCGGTCAGGGAGACGAAAGGTTGGGTCGACTGGTGGATGTTATAAAGTGGAAGACGGACGAAAATCATTCGTGCAACAGCACCACCAAGAGTCGGTAGATAAGAAATCCCGCAGCGCTTGTGTCGGGTGTCTATCAAACTCGCCCTTTGCCTTCGGGTTGCCCTCCATCAGGAAGGAGTTAGACGTCGGCGCGGCTATTGCCCGGTCCCGGGGTGAGAATGGAACAAACAAAGTGTCATAACTCGGACGTATGCTACAGCGAATTCTCAGAAAGTAATTAGCTTTCAGATGCGCCTTATGGCGGATGAGACGTCGACAGGCGCATCCATGCAGGCGCATATCGAAGAGGTAGGTGTCGACGGCCGAGGTAAGCCGTCGCATGGAACGATGTAGCGCGCGCGGTGTGGACGTCCAGAATTCGATCTGGTATGGTTGAGCCTAAGCACGGAGTATGGTGTCCAGCCAAGGGATCTTGCGTCGGACGCCGTCGCGATTCGTGGAGCGAGATGCGCTTCCCCCTCCCTCAACAACAAGCGAAGATGCAACGAGCGCAGAAGAAGTGAAGGGGGAAAACAGCAGAACCCCAACGAAGTCCCCGGCTTGCATACCACGTGAACGCAATGAGAAAAATCCCCGCGGGACGAGTGGTCAGGCCGATGCCCCTCCCGGCGCGCCTGGACCTGCAAAGGACGCGAGCCGGCGGCTTCAAGAAATCAACAACTCAGTGTCGCCAGGCGTCTGAATGATCGTGTCGCGGGGCAAAAGGTGGTTGTCGGGTGAAGATGGACATCGTGATTGGAGCGGGAAGTCGCAAAGAGAAAAAATCGGTCTTACAGCGACCGAACAATTCCCACATAGCGGCAGCACCCCACCCCCTGCCAACAAGCTTCGACCCTGCGTGACGTTGCGACGTGGGGAACTGGGGTTAACTATTCGCCTCGACCCCTCGAGAGGAGGGGCTGCTCTTAAAACATCGACGGGCCCGGAGACCTTGTTGTGAGCTGGCCCGGCCATTGACCGCAAATCCTGTGAAGAAAGAAGAAGGGTATATATCCAGTCGTGCCCAGTCGCCGATAGACCGCATTAGAGGTTCGAGCTTTGCTTCGCCCTGCCCTGCCCTGCTTCGTTCTGTCCCTCCCTCACCTCCGTCTTCTCGCTTCTTCCAGCCGTCCCGTCTTCGTTCTGTGGCACTGAATAGACCAGCGCACACACGTACAGCACACAAGCACCCGGATCTCACAATGTCTCCCTCAGCCGTTGAGACCCCTGCGTCCGTTGGCGCCGTCAAGCCATCCAAGGCCAACATTGGTGTTTTCACCAACCCCGCACACGATCTCTGGATCAACGATGCCGAGCCCAAGTTGGAAGCTGTGCAGGCCGGAGAGGGACTGCAGCAGGGCGAGGTCACCATTGCCATCCGCAGCACCGGCATTTGCGGGTAAGCATCTTCGCAGGAGCCAGAGTCGCCCGACAAGTTACGAGGAGAGAAGCTGACAGATGTACAGGTCCGATGTTCACTTCTGGAAGCACGGATGCATCGGACCCATGATTGTCGATGGCGACCACATTCTCGGCCATGAGTCGGCCGGTGAGATTATCGCCGTCCACCCCAGCGTCACCCACCTCAAGCCCGGCGACCGAGTTGCCGTCGAGCCGAACGTCATCTGCAACGAATGCGAGCCCTGCTTGACTGGTCGCTACAACGGTTGCGAGAAGGTGCAGTTCCTGTCCACCCCGCCGGTGCCGGGCCTTCTGCGGCGATACGTCAACCACCCGGCCGTATGGTGCCACAAGATTGGTAACATGTCGTATGAGGACGGTGCGATGCTGGAGCCGCTGAGCGTCGCCCTCGCCGGTATGCAGCGTGCCGGTGTTCGTCTTGGCGATCCGGTCCTCGTCTGCGGTGCGGGACCCATCGGTCTGATCACTCTTCTCTGCGCCAAGGCGGCCGGTGCGTGCCCGCTGGTTGTCACCGACATCGATGACGGCCGTCTGGCTTTCGCCAAGGAGCTGGTGCCGTCGGCCATCACCCATAAGGTCGGGCGCGGCACGGCCGAGGAGGAGGCCAAGCGCATTGTCGAGTCCTTCGGGGGCATTGAGCCGGCCGTGGCCATGGAGTGCACGGGTGTGGAGAGCAGTATCGCGTCGGCCATCTGGGCGTGCAAGTTTGGTGGAAAGGTCTTCATCATCGGCGTCGGCCGTAACGAGATCAACATCCCCTTCATGCGTGCCAGCGTTCGCGAGGTCGACATCCAGCTGCAGTACCGCTACTGCAACACGTGGCCTCGTGCCATTCGTCTTGTTGAGAGCGGCGTGATCAACCTCAAAAAGCTGGTGACGCACAAGTTCAAGTTGGAGAACGCCCTCGACGCTTTCGAGGCAGCCAGAGACCCCAAGACGGGAGCCATCAAGGTTATGATCCAGAGCTTGGACTAAAGGGCGGGTAAAGGGTTGGTGTTTTGGGCATAATACGGCGGTTATGGCGATTTGGTGTCATGGTTGGTCATTTATAGTTATAGAGACGATTTCCCAATATTGTGTCTCAACTTTGGTGTGTGTGGTGAATTCGTGGTATTCATAGGCAAGTTGCGTGATGCTGAGGTGATTGTGGCTCTCGTTGATGCAGAAGTGATGATGTCGATGTGAAGGAAGCAATTACATGAATACCTGGGTAAGCTGCGTTGAAGTCGAAAAAAATGAACAGAAACTCTTAAGGAAAGCAGGTCCATCACATAATCCCCGTTCTTGTCAAGGTTATCTCCCTTCATGTACAATTTCCACCCATTCAAAGACCCCCACATCCCTGGCAAATACCGCTTCTGATTGGCCAAGACATGAAGCGGCATAGCCCGTTGGGCCGGCCGTCGCGCCTGAGGTGCCTGCCTGCCCTTGTACCTGACGCCTGACGGTTGCCGTTGGCGGTTGACCTAAGGTAAGCAGTTGGTTTTTTTTGGTGCAAGAAACTGCTGCCAGCACCTTGCGCACGGGCCACTTGTCCGGCTCGCAACAACAGCACAAGCGAAATCTTCCGAGAGGTCGGAGGAAGACAGAGAGAGCTCTTTTTTTCCTCACGCAAAAATCAACATCACCAACCGCTCCCCCTCTCCCATCAATTGGCCGCCAACGAAGCTCCCCTCTCGTCCCCGGAGCCGTTCAATTCGATCCATTCCGTCCCGAGTTCCAGATCCACCGGTTTATCCGAATTCCTCAAAATGTCTTCCGCCCTCGCCAGGCCGCTGATGCGGTCCACCGCCCGCACTCTCCCTTCCCGCATTGCCGTCCGCTGCGAGTCAACCACCACCCAGAAGGCTGCCGCCGATGCCACCAAGAAGGCTTCCGAAGCCACCAAGAAGGCCGCTGATGCCGCAAAGGATGCCACTGCTAAGGCCAGCGAGTACTCCGCCAAGGCCGCCCAGGGCCTGAGCCGCGCTGCCAGCGCTGCCGGTCCCGCCATCTCTGGTGCCGTGAGCGCCCTCGGCAAGGTCGGTGGCCGTACCGGCAAGGTTATCAACTTCATCGAGAGTATGTTATATCCTCGAGCGCAACATCAGAGCACTCGGAGACGGCATCGCAATGCGTTTTCCGCGGCTTTATACGAAGCCAATTGCTGACGCAATCTCCCGTATAGGACAAGTCCCCTGGGTCGTCTACTACTCCCGCGTCGGCCTCGAACTCTCCAAGATTGTCTTCCACGGCCAGAAGATGGCTCCTCCGTAAGCCTTCCGGACAAGCGATTCCCGCCTTCTCCAGTATCTGACCGTCATCCGTAGCCCCGTCTCCACCTTCCAGACCTACTTCCAGACTGCCCTGAACTCCCTCAAGAACCCTAGCGGCCTCCTCAGCTCCGCCTCCGCGACTGCCAGCTCCGCTGCCTCGGCCGCCGCCGCCGCCAAGCCCGCCAACGTCGCCTCGCGCATCAACACCGCTACCGTCGCCACCGGCGCCGTTGTCGCCGCCGAGTGCCTCGGTTTCTTCACCGTCGGCGAGATGATCGGCCGCTTCAAGATCGTCGGCTACCACGGCGAGACCCACGCCGCCCACCACTAGATCAGACAAGCGTCGCAACTCGCCCATTCTCGAAAACGACCTTGTGTGAAGGAAAGGGGCCGAGGAGATGTGTTTCTCTAAATTAATTCAACTGCATCTAAAGAAAGACCGGAACTGGTGGTATCGGGATATAGACACCGGGGTTAGGGGATGTTATGGAACCAGACACGCATGAACGCTCAATGACCCGTGTAGGAGGTTCATGTGCCCAGGTGCCGCGCGCCCTCTTTGCAAGGGAGGCGCCGTATCTGGGAACGCGGGACGAGACATGGCTTCGTTGGGATCTTGGATCCGGTCCCTTCGGACGGGCATTCTCAACAGACAACCTTTTTTATTTTCCTTATGTAGACTCTGTACATCACACGTCAAACGCAGCCACTCAAGCTGCAAAGCTCGCCTCCTGCGGGTAAATATCAGGAGAACCATTCATCCACTGTCCCTCCAGTGATTTCGTGCGGAAGTTGTGCACTGGAGTTGCCGACATCGGAATGCTGGGATGTTCTTGCCGAGATCGTGGGAAAGTACAAGCTGGCTGAAGCCAGGTGGGATAAACGTAAACAACCCTTGGAGGAACTTTCTAGAGAAGGTTGGCGAGAACGACAATTTCAGACTTGTCAAGAGCTACCCGCCTACATAGCAGTCTAAGGTAGGCACCTAAGGTATGCCAAACTAAGGTACGAGGGTCGCGCTTGATACAGACTACTTTCACCCTCGTCATTCAAGACCAGTCTAGGCAGGCGCTTCAGGCCGACGGTTTCCTTTTGGGAACTATCTTTGACAACCTAGAGAGCAGCCGTGGCCCAGGTCCTGCCAACACTAGATTAGAAGTATGTCTTGTATTTCTGTTGGCCAGGTTGTTTTCTTCCTTTTTCCATGCCGTCTCGCGATTATTCTTCTTTTTACAACTTTCTCGCGATCATTTATCTATTCTACCCATCTTACTTCCAAAGATGACCGGCTTTACCTGGGATGGCCTACCCGGAGAGCTCCGGAACAAGGTGCTTGGATTCCTGTCCAACCTTGGCGGCCCTTACAGCTCGATTGCTTTAGTTTCACGAGAATAGTATTCCGTCATTGAGCCGCGCCTCTTCGAACATATCAGCCTGACACCAGCACGCCTCACCGACCCCGACTCTGCGGCCATCCTCTCCAGAAAGAAAAGACTGATCAAATACATATGGTTCCGTGTGGAACTGCGGGAGTATGACTGTAACTCTTGCGATCCAGAAGAAGAGGAGTATTGGGGGCTGAGTCGCGCTGATGACAAATTGATCATGGATGGATTTGAGAATTTGTTGTGGGCTCTCATAGCATGGGAGGATGGCGATGAGTTGACTCTCGACATCAGTGTCTACTCGCCGAGTGACACGCAGCACTGGTTTAAATACCTGAGCTTCCATCCAGATACTCACCGCGGCGAGTGTTCGCCGCTGCAGCGCAACGGACATTATCAAGGAACCCCTATTGACGACCCAGATCATGGCTGGGTTGCCGGGCGACAAACATCTACTCCCGATTGGTACGCCGTCGACATATTATTCGAACGTATCATGGGCCAGGGACCATTCAGAACCGAAACCCAGGAGAAGAATTGGTGGCAGACACTGCCCCTTGTTCCCGCAGTCACGACTGTGCTTCTTCGTCAGCAAACCCGTCGACGTTGGAAGCCAGTCACCCTCAAGCACATGCTGGAACGTTTCCCCAACATGAAGGAGCTTTGTTACGAGCCTTGGAGAGAGTGGGATCGCGAACTGGTTCGCCTGACCAACATTGGTGAGTAACACGTCATAGCTAGCAATCCAATAATGATAGTGGCTGCTAACCCACCGATCTTGATCCAGAGAGTGAGAGTCTGGTCGAGATGTTCGCCACAACGAGACTGTCGAACCTGGCAATCTTCGAGAATTTCCACCGGTCATACCCGCCCTCGTGGATCAACCAGTTCGCCAGGAGACCGTCCCCTGTGGTTAGCCGCAAAATTGCGAAGGTCAGCCTAAAACTCGTGACACTATCGGCATGCTTCATTACCGACGCCAGTTACTTCTTCGAAGCGCGCGAAGAGTCATGGAATTGGGAGAATCTCACATCTCTCGCGCTGACATCGAAATTACTCACTCATGATGTGGACGCTGCGAGCATCAACGAAATGCTACGACTTGCGGCAGAGGCCGCACTACATATGCCAAAGCTTGAGGTCATGGAGCTGTGGAACGGAAGAGAGCGTGTGGCGATGTTGTTTCGCTACCAGAAGGCCAAAAATGGACAGTCGGCTGTCATCACGGTACGGGGAACGTTCCAGCTTGCCCTCGATCCTGAGGTTATAGAAGCTTGGAACGCGGTCGCGACCCAACTTGGCCATGGTTGGGTCGATATTCAGAGCTCCATCATCAACCCAAATACTATCCGAAGCCACGGTGATGCGATACGCCAGCTGGGACTCTCGACGCAAGTCGTCAGACCTGTCTCGCTGCAACAGATCCTCGACGAGCATGAAGACCGGGCCTAGCTGAATGACGACACGAGGGCAGAAGCATAGTTAGCAGAAATCGGCAAACAAGAGTTTGTCTCTAGTTTACAAGGTCACGAGTATGGTGTAAGGGGAGGACGATAAGGGCGAAATGCAACTGTTAGAAGGAGACATCAAGTCATAGATATAATCCTGTAGGCATGAATTCAAGTCCCCCGAAACCAAGTACAGGAAGAATAGCACGCTCATTGAAGCATACCACCTGAGTCGCTCATCGTCCACATGATGCACTCTTGGCCTGGCCATTCGATTGATTGGAGTTCCCGTCTATGTCACAGGTGGAGGGAGTGTTCAAGAGCCGTCACGTTTGCTCTTTGAGAAGGCATTGAGCCCTCGCCTATGTAAAATGCTTGTTCTATCGTAGCCTAAGTTCCAAGGTCCATCTTGGCGTCACTGACGATACAATTAGGGAGAATTCCATTCGAGGGGTGAGCACGCATATGTAGTGATCAAAACCATATTCACAATGCCGAAGATGATTAAAGCCAGGCATTTCGGATGATGTTAAATGGCTACCCCATGCAATTTCTCAGAATTTAGGATGACTGGAACGATGTCAACAGAGATACGATGAATATACAAGAGACAACGACATCAAAGACGACAACACCAGAGACTACGATGCCAGAGACCACAACACCGTACACACCAACACCATAGACGACAGCAATAGAGATTACGAAGCCAGGAATGACGAATTTAATGCCAGCTACGCCTAAAACCAAACTTCGATAACATCAACTGAGATTATTGAAGAGCCTGGTGGTCTTTCTTACTTCTATGCAGTGGATATCACATGCACCTTTCACCATCTGTTGATACCAGCTCATCGTCAGCAACTCGGAAATGACATCAACCTCGGTCCCGAACTCGGTCTCGTCAAAGACGCCTTCAACAAACCGGCGAATCACGCCAGCCTATTCACCCCTTGATCGTTCCCGACTTCCACGAGCGGACTTGGCCAAACACACACGTCACCAACAGGCACCAGCTCTCCTGAACCGAAGAAGTCCCAGAGCTGGAGCCCGCCAAGGACAGGAAACCGGAGACTAGGCAGCACAGAGGAAGATCTCAGGATGCCGGCTTGGAAGCAAAGTCAGGGGGCGGGCTGGGGGTTGAGCCGAGATAACTCGACGTCTAGTCAAAGCTCGGGTTACACAGCCAAAAGCGCCTGCCCTGAGCCCAAACCCCCCTCCGCGTTCCTGGACGATGGCCGGTCGACCGATCCTTCGGTCTCGAGCAGCGTCAAGGGCGGTTCATTGGCCGGGGAGACGAGGAAGGAGCCAGGAACTTCCATTCCACCCCTTTCCTTCTGCCCCTCCGGGACGTCACACCAACGTTCCCACCATTCCCCCTGGAGCCGTGAGCCAGCCGGTTGGGATTTTGTCCAGGTCGGGTTGACAAGTATGGAGTACATACGACTTCCAACGACGAGGTCCCACGGCACAAGGGATGTAAACAGGGGACGTAGACGAGCTGTGCCGCACTCCAAGATGCTCCAGGGCCGGAGTACCGCTTCATGAACGACATGTCATCCAAGCCTGGCCCCGTGCTGAGCCGCCGCCAGGCCAAAAACCAACGTCATGCCTATCCTAACCCCTCTGGGAACCGAGTAGCAAGTCCAAAGCAATACCAACGACGAGGGCTTCTCAGGCATTCTTCACCAAAGTTCCAAACATTCGCAACCAACAGAACAACATGAAGCAAACAACCCCCCAGCCCCTGTTGGTTGGTGGCTCTGTCTCGTGGCAACCGGGGGGAGCCACCAACGCACGTGAAGTTTGTGATAAGAGTATCCATATCTCCCAGGCTTCTCAAGCAGCAAGCTACCCCTACTGCTTTTTTTAATATTAATAAATTAAATTACTAACTTTTTAGGCTTAAGTAATTAAATTTTACTTATAGCTATATTCTCTATAGTAACTTTAATCTATTAGCTCTATATTAAACTCTACCTTAGAATTTTAGGGGTAATTAAAAGCCCCCTTTAGGATCTAGCGCTCTAAATTAACTAACTCCTCCTCTATAAGAGAGTTCTATATATAGGGTAGTAAGGGCTATAAATAGCCTCTTTATTACCCTTATAAGTATTTAAAAATATAACTATTTATATAGATAAATATTAACTAGCTAGCTATATTAAGCTATAATTAGTTATAAATAGAATTATATATAAAATTTAATATTAAAAAGCTCCTCTTTAATAGTATCAATATAATAGTTATATTAAATATATATTATATAAGAGGTATTAAATTTAAGCCTATAACTTTAATATATTTCTATATTATAAATAAATACTATAAAGGCTTCTAGAAGTTTAAAAGTAGCCTAAATAGAGACCTAGAGGTAAAATATAAGTCTAATATCTTAATATAGTAAGTATTATACTAAGTAGTAATAAGTATAGTCTCTTTAAAAGCTAATTAAATATTATACTCTATTTAAATTAATTAAATTTATATATTATATTAAATAAAAAGAGAGTAGTATTAATACAGTTAATAAGTAGTAGTTACTTCTAAAAGTAGTAGTTATACTTTTTAAATATCTCTATTTAGTTAATAGTATATATAGAGGTAATATAGTATAATTTAAAGTATTATTAAATAGACTTCTATTAATTTAATATATAGCTAATATTATTATAATTAGACTTTATACTTTTAATAGCTATAGTAATAGAGTAGATTAAATTAATAAAAGCCTTAATATATAGCTAGAAAAATTTATTACTAAATATATTAATTAATACTATAGTTAGTATAAGTTTACTATTATAAGTAGTATTATATTAAGTAGTAATATTTAGTAAGTAGAGGTATTAAATTAAAGCTATTTTAGATTATAGTATTAATAAGAGGTACCTCTCTATATTACCTTAATATATAAATAATAGTATAATAAAGGCTCTTACTTTATTATAAATAATATACTAAATATTATATTATCTTATTAACTATAGCCTTAAAGTATAAAAGTAATAAATAATATCTTAAGCCTTATTATTAACTAAGTGTTAAGTAGGTAGCTTAATAATATTACTAATAAAGAGGTTTATACTATAAGAGTTATAAAGTACTAAAATAATATACTTAAAGCCTAAATAAAGAATAAACTTATAGTATAAAGCCTATATAGAATTATTTATATCTATTATAAAAGTATTAATCTTATAGAGATATAAGATATTATTAATAGTAATAATAGCTTTAAGGATAGAGATAAGCTCTTTAGTACTCTATTTAGCCCTATAAAAGTAGTTAGTAGTTAATATTATAAACTAAAAGAAGGTAGTACTATTAAGTAGAATAATAATAATATTAATAACTTAGTTTCTAATAGTATTATTAAAGCTATTAAAAGTTATATTAATATAGAGTAAAGAGTTAATAGTAAACTTAACTTTATAGTAAAACTTATTATAGACCTAAAATAGGAGTTAATTATAAAGCTTCTATATATTAAATAGTTTATATTTAGAGTAGATAGTATAATAGGAAGTAAAAGTCTATTTATTATAGTAATATATAAAAAACTACTTATTAGTAAATATAGCTATAGTAGTATAATAGTTAAGTTTATTAATAAGATCTATAAATAGGCTATTAATAATAATAAGCTAGGTACTTATTTAGCTAAATATAGGCTAATAGAGGGATTTCGTATATTTAAATATATTATACTTAATAAAATAGTCTCTCTAATATATAATAGTATTAATAATTACTTAGTTATAGTATTAATATTATTTTTTTTATATTTATTATTATAATTAGTAAAAGGTTAAAATTAAGCCTTAATAGTATACTTTTTTATACCTCTTAAGGCTATTATAAGGCATTAATAATAAATTTAATAATAATAATAATAAGTAGATATAGTATTATAAAAGGAAAAAAAGGCTCTAAATTGCTACCTAAGAGTAATTAATAGGTTAATAAGAGGCTAAGCTAGCTAAAAGAGGTAAGGTATATTAATTTAACCTACTTTTATTAGTTAATTTAGCTTAATTAATAATTACGCTTTTTTAGTCTGAAGCTGATTTTTATAGAACCCTGGTATCTCTAAAAAAACATGTTGGTTCCGTATTTGTACCCGGACACAGTATCCCTCCTCCGCCCTGCCCCGGTGGCGGCGTCGCCAACTAGTCACCGAGGAACACTCGACGACCAGGACCCCCTTGACTTGCTCGGTGTGGATCGTTACCACTCCAGCGGGATTCCAACGACGTGCAAACAGAGGGCAAACATGCACACGTTCGTCTAGAAGCCCCACGCGGCGGTCCATGCTAGGAACGGGGGGCGGACACGGGGATGGAGACGGGGACGGGGATGAGGGTGGTCAGCGAGGCGGGACTGAGGGAAGTCTAGAATCCTGTCCAATTCCGGTAACGTGGTCGGGACCGCCAGGGGTAAGATAGACCATGTTATGTGTCCCGGTTATGGGACTTTGGAGGACATGTTGTTGGTTTGGACGTTATATCTCTCTCGTGTATTTGGTTTCAGGTGACCGTGCTCGCATTCCCGAGCGGTTGAACATGGTCAAATACTCGTGGAGATGCTTTCTGTTTTCGGGGCTTCGTATTTGTATGGAATTAACCAAATACGGACCTTGCTCCTGGCGGTTTGGAAGAGGTACCCGATGCGGTAACTCGCTCAGGAGAGCCTCGTGTAGAGACTCGGCTGAATTGTCGGACTTCAACAGCCTCACGTGTCGGTTGGTGTTGCTCCTATTTGCACAATAGTGGCGTAGAGGAGCCCCAAAAGAAGAAAATGCCGGGGTTTCTCAATCCGATATAGCTTCATCGGAGACGGAGCCCGACTCCGCGGCTCCCAACGATGGACGAAAAACATTGGAAAAGCACTGCCTTCCAACAGCACCTCGGTTTTCTCGATATGAACGTTGTGCTTGTAGATCACCAAATTGTTCACTCACGCTCGGAGGACCAACTTGCTGTCGTTGGCCCCCGCGAACGA